CTGTGTAGTCAAGGCTGTTCTTACACCGATCCCCCTGCCTCCACTTCCTAGGCGCTGGGTTACACTGGTGTGTTACATGTCTGACACTGGTTATGTTTTTCAAGCAAAACAATTCAACCAAAATTTTATTTTGTGCCTAGTCCAGGCCCTCTGTAACTCTTCATGAATTTTAGGTCCAAATTGCAGTTATTTATAGAAGAGGATTTGGGGATTCTGATGGAATTACGTTGAATCTGGAGAGCAATTGGGAGAAAATCAGCTTTTTAACAGTGTCCACTCCTTCAAATAAGCTGTATGGCTACCTTTACTTAGACCTTCCTACATTTTTTTTCAGCAATGTTTTTTTTTTTGAGGTGTGCAGTAAAGAGATTTCACAACAATTTTAGTGTTCATTCTAGAATAGCTTGTATTTTTTATGTCACTGTGATATTTAAAATCTTTTCTCTTTTTCTTTCTCTTTTCCTTCCTTCCTCCTTATTTCCTTCCTTCCTTCCTTCCTTCCTTCCTTCCTTCCTTCCTTCCTTCCTTCCTTCCTTCCTTCCTTCCTTCCTCCTTCTCCCCTCTCTCCCTCCCTCCCTCCCTACCCACCTTCGTTTCTGAGACAGGTCTCACTATGTAGCCCTGGATGGCCTGGAACTTGCTTTGCTCACTAGGCTGGCCTTGAACTCACAGGGATCCACTTGCCTCTGCTTCCCAAGTGCTGGGATTAAAGGCGTGTACCACCACACCCTGCTTTGGGTCAGTTTTCTTTCATTATGATAGAGCTCTATGTTTTATGTTTCCTTAAATATGTGGAGTTACTCATGTCTGTTTCTTCCAATGCTCATTTGTGTTGCTAGTAGACTTCATGATTTGCCTTTGTTTTTATTTTTCGAGACAAGGTTTCTCTGTAGCCTTTGTTATCCTGGAACTCACTCTGTAGACCAGGCTGACACTGAACTAAGCGATATGCCTGCCTCTGTCTCCTGAATGCTGGGATTAAAGGCGTGGGATTAAAGACATGCCAGACAAATTTTGCTATTTATTGTCTCTTTAGTTGAAATGCGTTTTTACTTTTCATGTGACTCCTGGTTATTTTAAAGGACTCTGTTTAAATCTTATTTCTTGGCCATTAGTGGTGACACATACCTGTAATTCTAAACCCTGGGAGGCTAAATTAGGAGGGTTGTCAGTTTCAGGTCAGCCTGGGGAATGTGGCAACAAGACCCTGCTTCATCTGCTCGCCCCCATTTCTTTATTTCTTCTTTTCTCTTATGACTTAGCTTATCTACTTTTTCTACTGTATTAGTCACACATGTTCTTCATATGGCCATGTTACATACTGTCCTCATCTCTAACTTTTCTTGGACATACATGTTTGTTTTATGTGTATGATCTTACCAACTCCCTGGAATGAATGGTAGACTCCCTAGTTGCAAGTACCTCAATCTTGGGCTCGCTTTATAACTGTGTTAGTATTTTGTGTGCAGTTGGTATGAAATTAAAATGCATGTCAAAAGTCATTAATATGAACAATATGTTTGTGTATAATCCAAATTACCTATGGTGAGTTATACATTTTATTAGAAAATGTGATAACTAGGGTTGATTTTAGCTCAGTTGGTAGTACTTCATTTGTATGCACTGGCCCTGGGTTTATTCCTCCATACTATATAAACCAGGTTGACTGTAACTCCAGTACAATATAAACCAGGTTGACTGTAACCCTAGTACAGTGTAAACCAGGTGTGATGTCTGTAATCCCAGTACAGTGCAAACCAGGTGTGATGTCTGTAATCCCAGTACAGTGTAAACCAGGTGTGATGTCTGTAACCCCAGTACAGTGTAAACCAGGTGTGATGTCTGTAATCCCAGTACAGTGTAAACCAGGTGTGATGTCTGTAATCCCAGTACAGTGTAAACCAGGTGTGATGTCTGTAACCCCAGTACAGTGTAAACCAGGTGTGATGGCTGTAACTCCAGTACAGTGTAAACCAGGTGTGATGGCTGTAACTCCAGTACAGTGTAAACCAGGTTGACTGTAACCCAACACATGGGAGGTTGAGGCAGAAAGATCAGAAGTTGAGGGCCGTACTTGGCTATGGTGTAAATTAGATCAATCTGAGTTTCATTAGACCTGGTCTTGAAAGAAAGAGAGAGAGAGAAAAAGATGATACTTCATGATACAAAACAGTATATGCTAACAGCCAAGCGACAGAAAACACTCCAGGCATTGTAAACAGGGACGGAGGACAGAAAATTGTCCCAGAGGAGAAATGGGATTTGAACAGGCTCTGAAGTAGAGGTAGGATTTAAGTGAAGAAAAAAGACATGCCCTTCCCACTAAAGGAATAGTATGTGGAAAGGTCTTGGGGTAGCAATGTGTATCATTCCTGCTGGAGATGAGAGGGGAGACCAGTGTGGGAAAAGCTGGGAGCGGGGAGGTGTGGATTTGCACAGAGGCTCTTATTATGAGGCTGAGGACTGGGGCCAAGGGTTTAGCATTCCCACTTCTAATGGCAGATAGTGATGCGCTCTTAAAATTTTTCCTCTTTATTTTGCTACTTACATATCTACATTTATTTTTAATTTGTATGCATTCAAGCGTGTGTGCCTGTATGTGCAAGCAAGTGACCTCTGAGCTATCCCTTCAGCTCCACTAGTTATATTCTTATTTTCTGCCAACCTTCCCTTGTCCCTTTACTTCCCTTCTCCGTCGCTCCTCCTCTTCCCTCCCTCCTACCCTTTCTTCCCCGTTTCTGTCCTTGTGGATGTTTGTGCAGGTGTGTGTATGTATAGAGACTAGGGGCCAGCAGTTCCCCTCAGGAGCTGTCCACCTTGGTTCTTGTGACACTCTCTCACTGGGATGGTCTTACTGGAACTTGCTGTGTAGTCTACAAGCCCCGGTGCCGGTCCCTGCCTCCTCAGTGCTGGGACCATGAGCGCGTGCTGCGACACCTGACTTTCATGTGGGTGCCTGGACTGAACTTCGGTGTGAAGCAGGCATTTGCCCTGCGAACTCTGTCTCTGGGCTCTCCCTTGGTGCCGTATGTCTTGGGTTGCTTGTGCATTGCTGTTTTCTTCACCCTTCCACTGTTATTTCTGTCGCTCGTTTAGTACTCATGCTCTCTGACTCGCATAGGCCAGTCTCTCGCTGCTTTGGACCTGGTGCTGGGTGCTTTGCCTTTTCTGGGAATCCATCTTCTTAGTTCTTTCTTGCTTTCCTTTCTTCACTGATTCAGAGTGACTGGGCAGCTGCTCTGTTTTGTTGCTGAGCCTGGCAGCTGGGAGATGTGTGTTTTCAGGGAACTCTGTTCTAGCTTCCTTACCCCACCGGACCTAAACTGTCTGTACCTTTAATTAAGAAAAGTGAAACCACCTCCCAGAGGTCATGGCACTGAGAAGTCTAGTGTACGGTGGGTAGGAATGGAGTCTTGTGTCATCACATTGACTTAGACAATGAGCCTTTTTATTGCTTTGTTCACTTCCCCAGGGGCTTCGTTTCATTGTTCTGTTTTTGTGTATTTAGGTGGGGTTGAGAGAGATATCTTGCCCTGCACATTTCTGCTGTAGGCCTGTGAGGTGCATAAAATTAAGGGAGATTTTTCTGTGAGGGGTACAGGAATGGTGGCGGCGTTGAACGAGATTCTAGGTGTGCTCAATAGCGTTGGAACAGAAGTCTGTGTGAGCAGTACATAGCACCAAAGTCTGAGAACCCAGAAGAGGCAACTATATAGAAAGGAGTCCCAGGAAGCCTGAGAGTTGAGGAACTGGCTTTGGATTTTGCAAGTGATAATGTAAATACTATAGTGAAGTTGCTAATTAAAAATTGAATATTTTTTTTCCCCAAACTAGGGCCAGGAACTCTGTGCAGCAGTGCTGGCCCAGACTCCCATTCATGATTTCACTTTCTTCCACTCTGTGGCTAACCTTCTTACCCATGCCTTGTGGTTCAGGACCACTTGCCTTGCCTTTTGTGGCTATTCCACAATCCTTCAAGAGGACTGACTGGCTGTGGGAGGAGATGTCAGGGTCTTTGGTGGCAGCTGTAAGGGCAAACTGAATGTTGTTTAACCCCTGATTAAAATGGGCCTGTTGCCTAAGGCCTTCTCTCTCTCTCTCTCTCTCTCTCTCTCTCTCTCTCTCTCTCTCTCTCTCTCTCTCTCTCTCTGTCTCTCCCGTGTCTTACATATGGGTACTTTATTCTAGTTTGGAGAGGAGCTGCTTCTCTGTGTTCTCCTGTCTCCTCACACTTATAGGACAAGAGTAGGAACTAAATTTGGTAGATTCGCCAGGGAATTCCATGGTCCAGGAAGAGAATATTGGCACATCACAGATTTTCCCTGTGATGTCATGCTCTTATTGGGTAATTGTCAGATCATCAGATTGTATTTACTAATGTATTTAAACATTAATCAGGAAGTAGACTCAGACACTGGGCGTTATCTTAAGCATAGGAAACCTCAAAGCCCACCCCCACAGTGACACACTTCTCTAAGGAGGCCATACCTATTCCAACAAAGTCACACTTCTTAAGATCTTATGGGGGCCAATTACATCCAAACTACCACACACTGTGTGACAGCCCTGGCTGTGCTGGAACTCACAGAGATCTGCCTTTGTGCGCCAGCACCACTGCCTGGTGGCCTAGGGCAGTTTCTGCGAGGCAATGTGAAGGTGCCCACAGCAAGAGGCTGTAGTAGGAGCCCCGAGCCATCGCTCTTGTCTTGACTGAGGGGTGACTGGGGGCCCAGAGAGGGACTTGAGTCTGCCTGACCCCTCATCCTTAGGTCTCGATTCCTGTCTAGTCCTTCTTGTTTTGTGGCTCTTCAGTTTCATCTTTTTAGCTCTTCTTCGAGGCTGCTCATTTTTTCCTTCTGGCCTGTGCTCTCCTGGGTTACGATGTATCTTCCTAAAAGTGATTCAGTGAAGTCCCATTGCAGGCTTCCTACCCCTTCTGTCCCACCCATCCCTTCTTCATGCTTATTCCGGGTCTGACGCCTTGCTGTTCATTCCTCCAGAGCACGGACATTCTCAGCACTGTCGGCTATGACAGCATCATCCAGCATCTGAACAATGGCCGCAAGAACTGCAAGGAATTCGAAGAGTTTTTAAAAGAAAGGTAAGATGCCCAGGTCTTCCACACGCCCCACCCCCACCTCAGACCGGGAATCATTTCTCTTGTCTTTTTGTTAGTACTGGGCACGTGTGTGCTGCAGTGAGCGTGTGGGAGTCAGAGGACAGCTTTGCGCAGTTGGCTCATTTCCAGCTTTACATAGGCTCTGGGGATTGAACTCGGATTGTCCAGCTTGCCCTCCAAGCATGTCACCCTCAAGCCATCTTACCCACTGTAATTTGTTGTTGTTGATTGTGTTTACCAGTTCCGAAGACCCTCTGCTACACAGTGTGAAAGGATCCCAAGAAGTGACTGGTATTATTCTAGAATTAATATTAATATGCCTTCTCAGGGAGAAATTACTCTGCACATTCAGAGATTAATGAAAGGGAAAAGTGTTTTTAGCATAGCATGTGTCCAGCTCTGGCTAATGCCCATTGAGGAGCCAGTCATAAGCAGATGGTTTTAGTGGCTCCACACACACTGTCATCCTTAAGTTTAGGTTTAGTTCCAGGTCACACTTTGAATGGTTTAAACAGAGATACGAGACCGCAAGTCTGGCCGCTTGGCAGATGGGAGATTGGCACAGCAAAGTCATTGCCAGACTTATTTAAGTTCAACAGTGTTGTACTTTTCCAATAGTTGTTACCTGGGGTCATCTTGCCCACTTGGAAGAATTATGCTTTTCTGGAGAAGAGCGCAGGGGACTTAATGGCAGGGCTAGGACCTAATGATGTGTAACCTGTGCTGCCCTTAGATATGGAGATGAGGCTAGTGGCCATTTGTAATTCAGAGTTTTCTCCTTTTGTTATGGGAATGGAGCCTAATTGGGGGCCTATATTTGTAAACAAACATTACCATCCTAACGTCCTAAATTCCACTGACCTCAAACATACCTGGTTAGCACACTTCTTATATTTGGTGTATTGTGGAGGTAATTCCTCTTAACTAAATTCTACTTTGAGTGACTTCATGTCTCCTAAGCAAATCTGTTTGTAAACATTTATAGTTGGGACACTCACGTTTCTTTTACATCAATGCCTGTTCTAAAATTCCTAGGAGCCAATTTGGAAATAAGACTGATAAATGTAGCAGCACATAGACCGCAGCAAGCACACAAACTGTGGTAAGAAGCATGGTATCGGTGACACTGAAGAAGCAGATTAAGAGTTGGCAAAATAAACTGGGTGGTGGTGGAGCATGCCTTTAATCCCAGCACTTGGGACGCAGAGGCAGGAGGATGTCTGTGAGTTCAAGACCAGCCTGGTCTACAGAGGGAGGTCCAGGACAGCCAGGGCTACACAGTGAACCCCTGTCTTGAACTCCCCCCACAAAAGAATTGACAAAATAGTCAGGTGGCGGTGGTGTGTGCCTTTCATTCCAGCACTCAGGAGATAGAGGACAACCAAGAGCTATCTAGTTGAGACCCTGTCTTGGGAGAAAAAAAAATTAGGAATTGGCAAAATACAATAAACAAACAAATGAAACAACAAAATTCCAGGGTAGCTTCATGGGAGAGTGGTTCCTTGCAAGGCTCTGGCTGGAGAGGTGGCTCGGACAGCTGTGGGAGACAGCCGGAGGTGGCAATCAGCAGCTGGAGGTGGTAAGAGGGGGGACAGGACCTCATTCAGACACCAGAAGATGAGGCACTGTGGGAGAAGTGGGAACAGCACCTTGCTGTCTTGGAAGCTCTAGGGAGAATGTGGTTGTATAGCCTCTGGTGTCACCAGGGCTCCTTGATGTCTTTCAGCCCCATAGTCCCCTACCCGCTTTGTCACTAACAGGGAGTCTTGACTGTGTCTTCCTCATCTACGTCTTGTGAGGACTCCTACAATGATGGATTAGGTGCTGACCTGCTCAAGGGTGCTCTCATCTCAGCTAATTACATCTGCAGTGACCCTATTCCAAAGAAGAGTACAATCTGAGACCATGGGGACTGTCCTTGGACATGGTCAGTTTTTAAAGGGACACAGCCCATGACATGCAGATGGAGCAGGCAGGAAGCTGATTCCTACAAAGGAAAGAACACCAGGAGAAGAGTCTAATCACTTCCTCTTCTGATCCTGCTTCCTTAGTCATTGTCAGGGACATGCATCAACAGCATCTATCTGTTTCCTCATCACTAAAAGGAAGCCATTGTACTCTTGTTCTGTAAACTCTCTTGAGCAAGGAGCTCCACCAGCACAAAACGGATGTTCCAGAAATGATAACAAGGGGCTGGAGGGATGGCTCAGAGGCTAAGAGCACTTGTAGCTCTTGCAGAGGACCAAGGTTCCATTCCCAGCATCCACATGGCAGCTCACAAACATCCACAACTCCAGATCCAGAGGATCTCAAGCCCTCTTTCTTTGGCCTGTATGTGCTCTGCACACACATACTACATAGACATAAATGCAGGCAAAGCACGCATACATAAAAATTAAAAAAGTGAATCTTAAAAAAAGACAAAATGATGAACGGGACCAATGAGGGGGTTGGTGGGTGGTGATCTAGGTAGAGGTTTTTCCTGTCAAAGGGAATTTCTACAAACTCCTGGTGGTTCCTTCCTTGTCTGTGGCCTCAGAACCCAGTACTTCCCCTATGCTTGGGATCTTCCTCTGGATGTCAATGGTGGTTCCCCTGGTTTCAGAGGATGACTCTCAAGTTTCACTTCAGTAAAGCTCCCCCTTTTCTTCAGAGAGCAGACTACTGGGCGTACTGGGGGTGGGGATCCTGCCCACTGTGGCCCTACTGCTAGGGCTCCTCCCCCTGGAAGCTATGGGGTGGTTCTTCAGGAGCGTGCAGGAGGGAGAAGGGAGGGCAAGAGACAGGGATGCTCTGCTAGGTTCTGCCTGCAACACGTGGGAAAGCTGGATGATGACTTTTGAAGTGCTGATGTTTAGTTATCTCTAGTTTTTCTTTTCTTTTTTCTTTTTTTTTTTGGTTTTTCGAGACAGGGTTTCTCTGTATTGTTTTGGAGACTGTCCTGGAACTCGCGCTGTAGACCAGGCTGGCCTCAAACTCACAGAGATCCACCTGCCCCTGCCTCCTGAGTGCTGGGCTTAAAGGCGTGCGCCACCAACGCCCGGCTATCGCTAGTTTTAATGCCAAAATAAAGTAGGGAACTTTTTACTTCCAAAGCTGGAGACAAAGTCCTGGAAGGATTGATTTGGTTTAAGGAGCAGTTCTACTTCCAGTGAGAGGAAAGAGCAGATAAGAGCCATGGCTTAACACAGGGAATAATAAACATTTTAAGATGCAGAGAAAGAGGGAAGCAGAGCGACACTAGCAGAGCCAGAAGAGACCCCAGGAAAAGTCTCTTCTCTGCACTAGGCAGCCGTGGGGTGCCATTGTAAAAAGACCCCTGCAGTCTCCGGGGCTCTGATGTCTTTGAACCATGCTCTTGGGAAACTGAGAGCAAGCGCTGTAGGATTGTGTGCTGAAACCTGGTCAGAATGCTTCTAGACTGCAGGAAGAAACTTTGATCAGAGCTATACAGTCTCGCTGAGACGGAAACTTGGTCGGAGCAGAGTCTGCAGGGGAATGTAGATAGACCCAGTTTCCAAGCAGCAAACAGGACTCCTGAAGGGTTGTCCCTAGGTGTGACCAGCATCTATAACCCAACCTTACAAAGGGATGTCTAGGGGTGTGACAGTCCTCTGCGAGCCAGAGAAAGGGACAGTTAGACTAGCAAACAGGCTGGACTACATCAGGCTCCATCCCGTACTTAGCTCTCTATCCTTTCTTTAGTCTTCCTTATTTAACACCAGCGCCAGATTAGCAGGCCAACTCTGGTCTCCTTTGGTTTTGTCCTCAACCTCTCTCTTTTCCTTTTTTGCCCCCCTTTTCAAAAAGTACAGGCTTTTCCTGGTTTGTAGGGTTTCTGTGTCTCAGCCTCACGAGGTCTGTCTGCATGGTTGTAGATTAGCCGAGTGTATGAATTTACAGATGTCTTTTCATTTTACTTTTAGCCAAAACTGACTCATCTCTCCTACTGTTTCCTCTTTTATTCATATTTCCCCTCTTCCTTTTTTACCTTCTATCAATCCAATACTAATTATTAGTCTTATTCTGAGTTTTTTTTGCCCAATTTGCACAGTAGTTAACATATCACTCTATGATCAGTGCTCCTTTACTTCCTAAAATGATTGGCATTTAAGAAGTGTTTTTTTTTTTAATTTGACTATTACTGGATTTTCATAGTAGACATACCGTTTGATAGTGATCCTTTTGAAGACAGTATTCTAATTTCAGGGGCGCACTGGGGATTGAGCCTGGTGTACTAGACACCATTTCAGCAGAGAAAACAAGAATTCAGCCCTAATGAAATCTAGTCTTTGTTGAATGTTAAAAACACTTCCCCGGAAGGAATTAGAGCAACTTAAAGAGAATTCAACCGATGACCCAAACACAGATGCACAGGTCCCAATGCAAAAGCATAAAAAACATGAAACACCAAGACAGCATAACTTCTCCAAGGTTAGTAATACAGTAGAAATGGCTTCCAGTGAGAGTGAGTTAGACAAAATCATAGACAACAAATTCAAAAGAATGATTGTAAGTATATTCAAATAGATCAAAGAGGTTAAAAGCTTCTGAATGAACTCCAAGGGAACACAAATAACTGAGTAGAATAACGTGATCTGCATAGGATATGAAAATAGAAGTCAGCAGAGACAGAAATACTCAAGAAATCCAAGTGGAATATTGGAAATAAAAATTCAATAACTCAAACAAAAAGCTCTACAGAAAGGCTCACCAATGAAATGGATCATGGGTGGTTCAGAATATTAGTGTTTAAAGACAAGGTAGAAAATTTTCATCATTCAGACTGTAAAAAGTATAAATTCACAAGAAGGTATGGACAGAACATTTCTGGGATACTCTGAAAAGACTAAATTTATAAATTATAGGCATAGAGCAAAAAGAAGTTCATACTAAAAGCATAGAAAACTTTGTCAATAAAGTCATAACAGGAAATTCCTCAAATCTAGGGAAAGAGGTACCCTGCTTTGGTACACGTGGCAGTTAAAACACTAAACTAGGGAAAAAAATCTCCTCATGTCAAATTGTAGTTAAAGAAGTAAATAGACAGAACAAAGAATACATATTGAAATCTGCATGAGATAAACACTAGCTTACATATAAAACCAGGCTCATCCAAGAGATTTCTCAACATAAACTTTAAAAGGCGGGAGGGCATTAATGTACCTACTTGAAGGAAAATGAAACACTTTTTGTTATTATTAAGAAATGTGTGACCGCTAGTCAAGCTCTGCGGAAGATACTTGAAGGAATCTTTCAGACTGAGAAGGAAGGCAAACATATCTATGAGGCTGCAAGAAAGGATAAGCTACACTGAAACAGTGAATAATCAAACAAGGATGAGGAAAACCACCAAACACCATATAACCAACAAAGTGGCATGTGTTAATACAAATCTTTTGATAATAATTTTGAATATTAATGGTCTCAAGTCCCAATTAAAACACAGATTAACATATTGGATTAAAAAACAGATCCTATGTATTTGTTAGACCTAAGAAACATACCTCAGCATCAAAGACAGATGCTACCGCACGGTAAAAGGAGGAAAAAATTCCAAGCAAATGGACCTAGTAAACAAGCAAATGTTGTCGTTTTAATACCTGACAAAATTCACTCCAAACTAGTCAAGAAGGGGTAATAAATGTTACTTTATGCTGTTAAAATGGAATGACCCATCAAGAGGACATTGGAATTCTAAACATGGGTGCATCAAATATGAGTGCACTCGATTTTATAAAAACAAATACTATTAGATGTAAAGTTACATATCAACCCCAGCACAATAGCACTGGGTTACTTCAATATCACACTTCTACAATAGATAGGCCATCCCAAGGGGAAAAATATGTGTCTATGATAAATAATATCATACACCAAGGGGAACCTTTATGGACTATTTCATCCAGAGGTGTAGGATGGACATTTTCCTCAGCAGAACATATGATAGGACATGTGGAAATTCTTAGCACATGTGAACTTATTCCTTGTATTTTGACCACAGTGGAATAAAACTGTAGACCAACAGCAAGAGAAACTATACGATATACACAAACTCATGGAGAGTAAATAATACACTATTACATGATGGATCGCTGATGAAATCAAGAAGGAAATGAAAAAAATCCTACATTGAATGAAAATGAATATATTATATCAAAACTGCTAGGATACAATGAAAGAAATTCTGAGAGAAAGGTTCATAACCACATTGCCCATATTAATAATTAAGAGATCTTAAATAACTTAATGATCATCCTTAGGGCAAGGACAAGTTGAACATAAAATCAGTGGGTAAAAGAAATAATATCAAGCCAGAAATTACTGAAAGAGAAATAATATAAAGAATCAATGAAACAAACAAGTATTTATTTGAAGAGATCAACAAAATAGGCATACCCTAGTCAAACGAACCAAAAGAAAAAGAAAGAAGACACAAATTAATAAAAATAAGCAAACCTAAAAGTGGAATGGAGACTTTACAACAGATACCAGGGAAATTCAGAAAATTCTTGGGATATGCTTTAAGTTGGAAAATCTAAAAGTAATGGATGAATTTCTGATGCATATGATTTCCCCAAATTAAACCAAGGTGGGGTAAGGAGTTTAAACAGAGGGATTGGAGAGATGGCTCAGTGGTTAAGAGTGCTTGCTGTTTATTCTTCCAGAGGACCCAGGTTTGGTTCCCACCATCCATGTCACATGGCTCACAACTGCCTGTAACTCCATCAGGGGATCCAGTGACTTCTTTTGGCCTTTTTGGGCACCTAAACACATATGTATATATACATTTGCACATGTGCACACATGCACACACAAATAATAAAATAAAATAACACATCTACATAAGGTAAAGGAGGGGCTAGCTCATGCTCTTTTGGGTTGTGGAGAACATGGGAAGGGCAGAGACTGCATCTTCTGGAGCAGGAAGACGGCGACTGTTATTTACTCTTTTCTGTGTAAGTACTTCCCCAATAAATACTTATTTATCATTTATCTTGGGTCTGGTGGACTCATTTAAACCCCACCTTCATCCACAACAATTGTTGAGATTTGGGGGCAGTAATAAAATCTCCCAGTAAAGAAAAAAGTCTAAGCCCAGATGGACTCACTGGTGAAGCCTATCAAGCATCTATCTATCTATCTATCTATCTATCTATCTATCTATCTATCTATCGGCAGGGTCTTGCTACATAGCTATGGCTATCCTGGAACTTTCTATGTAGACCAGGCTGGCCCCAAATTCACCATTCCCAGCTTCTACCAGACTTTTAAAGGAGAATTAACACCAATGCTTGAACTATTTATTCCATAAGATAGAAAGGAGTGCTTCAAGCTCAGATAAAAACACAACAGCAACCCAATAAAGTCATAAACCAATATCTTTGATGACTGTATATGTAAAAATATAAATAAAATGCTCACAAGCTAAATAAAAGAAAACATTAAAGAGATCAATTGCTCTGGCCAAGGTGATTTCATTCTAGAGATTCAAGGATGGTTCAACAGATGATAATCAATAAATGTTGCACATTGTATAAATGGGCTCAAGAACAGAAATCACATGATCATCTTAATAGATACAGAAAAGGCTTTTGACAAAATCCAGCATCCCTTTATCATAAAATCATGAAGAGGCAACAATAGAAGGAACATTTGTCAACATTACAAAAGTATATATAACAAGCTACACTGGGCATTAAACATTTTCCCTAAAATCAAGGGCAAGACAAGCATGCCCATTTTCTCTACTTTTGTTCAATGTAGTGCTCAAAGTCTTAGAGAAAAAGACAAAAGAAAAAAATAAAAGTGATATAAATAAATAGTAAAGAAAGAAGTCAAAGTCATTTTATTTTAAGATGACTCGATTCTATAAATAATAGACCCTAAGGTTCTGGGAAACCCTTGCAGCAAAATGGCAGGATGCAACATCAAACACCAAACCCTCAACCTTTTGTGTACCAGCAACACACATAACGAGAAAGAAATCTGGCAAGCAGTTCTACTCACACCTGCCTTAAAAGATACCTCGAGATAAACCCAGCCAATGAAGAGAAAGACCTCTCCGAAGAAAGCTTTAAAATTCTTATTAAATCAAAGACAGTTGAAGATGGGAAGACAGCTCATGGATGGGAAGAATCAACATTGTGAAAATGACTATCTTTAAAATGTTTTTTTACATTTTTTTAGCAGATAATCAGCAGATGTGTGCTCCAAGCTTAGTTAGAGACCCTGTCTCAAGGGAAGAAGATGGAGTGTGAGTTAGGGCTAGGTTAGGGTTAGGGTTAGGATTCTAGTCTTTACATATGGGCACACAGTCACATGCTCATGTATGCCCACACAGTACAGACATATATTAACAAACAAAAATTTTAAAAGTATCCATTTCAATCACCATCAAATGATACAACTAACTGTTTGTGGTATATTTGTGCATGTTCATGTATGTGCATGCACATATGTGTGGCTGCACATCTATGTGTGTACACATATGTTGTGCAGATCAGAAGTTGCTGTGCATGTCTTCTCAACTGTTTTTCACCATTTTTTTACTTTATTTATTTGTAGTGTGTATGTTTTCTTAAGACTTATTTTTATTTATGTGTATGTGTCCACATGCCATGTGTGTATGGGAGCCAAGAAGGTCAGAAGTGAATGTCTGATCCTCTGGAGTGACCGGTGAATTGGCTGATTGGTGTGCTATGAACTAAACCCAGGTCCTCTGGAAGAGCAACAAGTGCTCTTAACCATGAGCCATTTCTCTAGCCCCCTCTTTTTGTTTTTTGAAGCAAGGTCTCATAATCCTCAACTGGCCTCAAACTGCCTGTATCACCATGCCTGTGGCTTTGGGTTTCATTTTATTTTACTTATTTTTAGTTTTTTTTTTTAAATACTGAGTCTTATATCTTAGACAGTGACATTACATCTGAACTTCTATAGTAGATGAACAACTTTCATTCAGGAGGAGTGTCTTCTGTGTCTTAGCTAAGAACTATATGAAGGACCTATGACCGTCTCTTCTGTTCCCTCTAGGGCATCAATTGAAGAGAAGTATGGCAAAGACCTGCTGAGTCTCTCCAGGAAGAAGCCATGTGGACAGTCCGAGATCAAGTAGGTACCAGTGTCCTTCTGACTACTAGGCTGGCCCTGCTGTTTCAGCAAGTACAATTGAGTGGCAATTTCATCATGTAAGACTGAAAGAATATTTTTTTATTCCTTGTTGCAAATTATGAGAAGTGTATGTCTTTTCATAGATCCTTTTTTAAAGGTTTGACTTACTTTACTTTTTAAAATCATCTTTTTTTTAAAATTGAGCTATACATTTTCCCCTGCTCCTCTTCTCTCCTCCCCTTTCCCCTTCCGCCCTTCTCCCTCATGCTCCTAATTTACTCAGGAGATGGTGCCTTTCCCCTTCCTAGGTGGATCCATGTGTGTCTCTCTTAGGGTTTTTTCATGTATCTTATTGGGACACAGGATTTGTGATTGATTCCATGTTAGCACAATTTTTTTCCAGTATGGTCTGAAGAATCCTAAGATACACATTTAGTTTAAAGTGGCCCTGGACAAGGTCACCTTCTTCTCTGACAGTTACAAACACAGACCCTTGTTGCAGAAACACAGTGAAATCGAAAATTTAGTTTATAATGTGTGCACATGCACGCATACAATCACATACACACACAGGAACATACACAGGCACACACACATACATACCCACATACACAAAGGTTATTGTGAATACAATTCCACAATGCAATAGATAGCAGAATTAGATATACATAGATTTTTTTTTGGTTTTTCGAGACAGGGTTTCTCTGTACTGTTTTGGAGGCTGTCCTGGAACTAGCTCTATAGACCAGGCTGGCCTCGAACTCACAGAGATCTGCCTGCCTCTGCCTCCCGAGTGCTAGGATTAAAGGCGTGCGCCACCAATGCCTGGCACATAGATTTTTAAAAGTGCTGCAATGAACAGATCTAAACACCTCAAGTATATGGGGTATGTTTATAGAAGAGTGAATTAAAAGCTTAAGTGAGGAGAGTTTTAGAAATGTCCTAGAAATTTTGAAAAAGAATCAGATATGAATAAAACCATCAGGGAACTCGCTCTGTAGACCAGGCTGGCCTCAAACTCACAAAGATCCTCCTGCCTCTGACTCCTGAGTGCTGGGATCAAAGGTGTGCATCACCACGGCCCAGCACAATGCATTATTCTTAAAAAGAACTGAAAGTAGATTGTAAGTTTACCACTCCAAAACAGTGGTAAGGATGTGAGGTAATGGATATGTTAATTGCTTTACAATGCATATAAATTTCAAAATATCGTGTTGCACATGGTAAATATGCACAATTTTATTTTTCAATTAAAAGATAAAAATTTAAAAAGGAATAAGCTTGACCTATAGTTTCTGATCAGTAAGTATATACTTTTAATCCAGCACCTGGGAAACAGAGGTAGGTAGATCTCTGAGTTCGAGGTCAGTCTGGTCTACATGGTGAGTTCCAGGACAGCTTGGGCTACAGAGTTAGACTCAATATCAGGAAAAAAATAGATTTTCTGAGACAAAGAGTCAGTTAAGAGCCAGGGTTTGAGCTGGGGCATGGTGATGCATGCCTGTAATCCTAGCACTTGGGAAGTGGAAGTAGGAGGGTTACAAGTTTAAGGCTGGCTGCAGCTGTGCAGCATGCTTGGCTATGTGAGTTGCTGTAAACATGTATGCACACACACACACACACACACACACACACACACACACACACACACACACCGCAGATACTCACCCAAAGTGCAAACCAGGACTTGAGCTCTCTCTTTAGTTGTTCTGTTTTCATATTCAAATGACAATGTGTTCTTATGAGAAAGGGATCAGATTCCTATGTTATCACTGGGGAAGATAAAACGCAGAGTCTTTGCATTCTGCTTGACCCAGGGCAGACAGTGTAGAACCGTTTATGCCTGGGATTGAGGGCTGATCTTAAGAGGTTCCAGTCTGTTACTGTTTTCTGAAGCTCCAGGGCAAAAGTGAATCTAGAGCCCCCATGTTAAGATGTAGGCAAAGAGAAGCACGTGAAAACATGGTAATACAATTATATGGATGATTTCCAGAACTGACATTGCATATGTACTTGTTTTTCAGTACCTTGAAGAGAGCCCTTGAAGTCTTCAAGCAGCGTAAGTGAATTATTTTATTTTATTTTATTTGTGTGGGTGTTTTGCCTGCATGTATGTCTGTACCAGGTGTGTGCCTGGTGCCCACAGAGGCCAGAAGAGGGCATCAGATCCCCGAGAACTGGAGTTACAGTGGCTGTCAATACTGTGTGAGTGCTGGGAATTGAACATGGGTCCTCCTGAAGAGTAGCCAGTACTCTTATTGCTCAGCCATCACTCCAACCCCTAGTGCGAAATGGCATTTTCTGTCCTTGTTAAGCTCTGTGTCTTTCTTCTAAGGTGAGTTATATTTTGAACAGTAGTTTAGCACTGGGTAAAAAGATTTAGCACAACCGTAAGGTGAGAACTAGCTCTGCAAAGTAGAAATGAGAGAGACTCTTCACATCTACCTGTCACTTGAGTAGCTGTGGATAGCACAGATTCATGGCCCATCTGAGGTTCTGACTCAGGGAGTTTGGAGTAGGGCCCGGGATTCTGTGTGCTCTTAAGTTCCAAACGGGAACACTGCTAGGCAAGGACACCCTGTCCTGCTTTGCTGTAAGAGCTATCATTGTGTGAGTGTTTGTCTGCAACCCACCTGATTCAGACTTACCCAACCCGTTTTATGTTCTTCTTGTGTGGCTTTTCTCTTCCCAGAGACACTTGTGCAGGACTTCAGCCACTGGGGTAGTATCATAACTGTCTTGTCATTTCTCCCAGATTTCCAGACATTTTTATCATTTTTATGCAGAAGAAATCTTTATTTTCTTAGCGTGTGTATTCATGTGTGTAAGGATATATGAGTGTAGAGGTCAGAGCACAACTTTGGGGGCTCTTAACCTTTCTGTTTGTCGAAGCAGGATCTCTCTTGTTTTTTTTTTACCATACAGCATACTCCAGGCTAGCTGACAGGCAAGCTTCTGGGGATTTCTCCAATCAGTGCCTCCCATCTCTTGGGAGTACTAGATCTCAGATGCATGGCACACATCCGGCTTGTTTCGTTGTTCCGGGAATCTAACTTAAGTCGTTAGACTTGCTCGGCCAGTGGTTTTACTCAATGGCAAGACAAGCTCTACAAGACATTTTAAATTATGGCAGTCTTCAAAGAACAGAGTACCTGGCCATTCTTTCCTCGTATTGTAATCTGGCACGTGGTCCCACAGGCCACTCCCCTAGACCTGCTCTCTCAGTGGGTACCAGCAATCTTTCCCATGTGTCAGGTCTCATGGGACTTTCTCGCCCATTTTGCCATGTCCATTGGTGTTGCCCTTGTTTGGTTATGAATCTGACTTGGAATTACACCAGCAGATTTTTATTGGTTACAGTAATGAGGTGACATCCGGGAATCTGGGGTGAGACTTGTTACATTGCTCTCCAGAGATTCCTGCCCAGCTCAGTGTTGCTCAGGATTTCTACTTCCGGGGCTCCCAGAACCAAGGGGAGGAACTACACGTGCTAGTTTATAATAAAGGATATTGCAAAGGCAATGGCTTAAGGCGAGGGGGTGGAGGCGGGACCCTGAGGAACTTTCATGCCCTCTTTGAGCACACTGTGCAGGAATGGGCTCAGCAGGCTTAGCTGCTCCGATGCCGCCCGTTCTGTTGCTATGAGCAACACTCAGTTATCTTCACGTGCTTGGCTATTAGGAAACTCTCAAAGCCATTTCTGTTTTGATTTTACGGAGACTTCATTGGATAGGCACGCTTGTTAACAGACTGAGTGGGAGAGTCAGTCTTCCTGGCCTCTGGAGTATCATGTCTACCTGCAGGGCATGGAGTGAGACCCCCGAAGGGAATTGGGTCCTTTGACCTACTACTGCCAGACAAGATAAAGAATTTTTTATTATGGCCCACTAAAGGCATAGGCAGATTAGTTTTCACAATATTCCTTGGGCAGCAGTCACAAAAGCAGTGGGATGAAACTAAAGTAAATATTATTATAGACCATATGTGTAAAAGGTACGTTAGTAAATCCGTCTCTCAATTTCTCCATAGACAGTGTCTCCTTCCCCCTTTAATTCAGCGATGGATCTGCTTCTCAGTGTAGTTGCAGCATCCTTCCATGCTCCTCCTTTACATATACACTGTCAGCCAAGAGTCCCGGAGCAAAGAGCTTCAGCATAGCTTGGCTTGCCCAAGTAATTTACTTTTTTGCTCTTTTTTGTTCTCTACTCCCTCTAAAAAAATAGCTTTATTGTTTCTGTTGTGGCTGTACATACTGGTGATCTTAGCACTCAGGAGCCAGAGACAGGAGGATCGTGAGTTTCTGGGGTACACAGCAAGAGACAATACTAAAGAAACAAACAAGAAACAAAGCAAAACAAAAGCCCTCAACAGTTTTATTTTTCTTATTAAGATGATATATTAAGAATATTAAATATTGAGCCGGGTGTTGGTGGTGCACGCCTTTAATCCCAGCACTCGGGAGGCAGAGGCAGGCGGATCTCTGTGAGTTCGAGACCAGCCTGGTTTACCGAGCGAATTCCAGGACAGCCTCCAAAACAATACAGAGAAACCCTGTCTTGAAAAAACAAACAAACAAAAAAGAATATTAAATATTGAATTTAGTATAATAGATACTTCAAATGAGACAGCTGACTCTGCAGGAGACAGTGAACACTGGAATTTTTATTTCTCAATGTAAAGTAGTTCTTGGTGATTATTTTGCCAGGTATTTAGATGTACTTTATTTTTAAATGCATTTAGATACATGTTTATTATATATATAATATACTTATTCATATACATAAATAATAATATGTCATGGGAGTTGTTCAGAGTCTCTCTGGGTTGAGCCAGAACACATGTTAATGTTTTGTTTTATTGGTTTTTCAAAGCACATGTTTTAATTTTAAAAAAGCATGATAGCAGTTTGTCATATATCTTAAATTTTTTTATTCTGTGTGTATAGGTATTTTGTCAGCATGTATGTCTGTGTATCATGTGTGTGCCTGGTGCTAGCAGAGACTAGAAGAGGGTGGGTGCTGGATCCCTGGAGCTTAAGTTATCAGTGGCTGTGAGGCACCATGTGGCTGCTGGGACATGAACTCAGGTCCTCTGCAGGAGCAGTATGTGCTCCTAACCACTGAGCTATCTCATAAGCTCCCCAACCTTTGTTTTAATCCTCTACACAAATTTAGGTATGAGTATTTTTACATAAGACTACAGCATCACATTTCTCTAGAATTTTCTGTTTATTTAATAGTTATTTCAGTTCATAGACTTCTGCCTCATTCTTCACATTAAAAAGAATTTTGACCTTCCAAAATGCCAGATTTTCTCCACAAAGTTAGTGCTATTTTCCCCCACCAAGAGTGACATTCTTTCACTGGTCACTAGTAACCTTGAGTTTCTTTGCTTTTACAGTTTTTATAAAACTGGAAGGTTAAAAATGGTAACATGTACTGTGTTTAAAGCTCTGTTTTCTTCAGTACCCTTAAGTCCAAATGTAGTTTCCAAGCATGTATTAGCCATTTTATTCACTCTTTTCAATTTCACATTAAGTAAATATGGTATATCTGTATATATACACATTTTCCTTTATTAATAAAATTGCTATTTTGGAGTTTGAAATTTTAATCTAATTTTATTTTCAGAAACTGGCAATTTAAAGCAGTAAAATAATTATATGAAACATTTAAGGAATCACTTATTTTGAACAAAAAGTTATATAGAGCCATTTGTGCCCAACCGAATGATGAAAAAACATTTTAGAAGCATTGGGTATTCAATAAAACAGTATTAGAGTAAAGGAGGTTCTTAGAGGCCTTAATGTATATCAAGCAATCAATAGTGTTCAAATTTAGCTTGTCTAAACTTAATATAATGAAATAAAACTAAATTACATTAAGGACCCTTTACAAGTCGTACTTGGGCCTGGAGAGATGGCTCAGTGGACCTGGGTTCAATTTCCAGTACCCACAAGGCAACTCACACCTGTTTGTAACTCCAGTTCCAGGATTTCTGACACCCTCATACAGACATACATGTAGGCAAAATGCCAATACACATTAAAAATCTGTGTTGTGCCACTGTACCTGAGCAGGGGCCTGCCTGAAGTGTGTCTGATACCTGGTGTCATTCCATTGACGGACCCAATTTCCGCTTTCCCAGCAGCTAGCAGCGGGGAATAGCTTCTGGCTAGGAGTGAGGTTTTGTATTCACTTCCTTTCCTCTGAATGGGATCTGTCTGGCTTGAGCTTGTGCAGGTCTTGTGCACACGTTCACAATCTGTGTGTTCCATCAGCTCTATTGTATCGTCTACCACCTCTGCCTCTTAACTCTTCCATCCTCGATTCCACATAGATCCCCCACTCATGAGGCGACGATGTGATATGAACATCTCATTTAGGGCTGAGCATTTATGAAAGTGCTTTTTGTTATGTAAGTTGCTAATGCTCTCTGTTTGTCTGTCTGTCTCTCTCTCTGTGTCTTCTAACTTCAAGGTTATTATTATTTTTTATGTGTATTGGCATATTTTGTACATGTACATATGAGGGTGTCAGATCCTCTGGAACTGCAGTTACAGACAATTGTGAGCAGCCATGTGGTACTGGGAGTTGAACTTGGGTCCTTTGGAAGAGTAGCCAGCAAGGTTGTTTTAACAGTACAAGTTAGAATTCTTTTCTTGTCATGCAAGTGTCAAGATTTGAGTTTGTATCCCAGGAAAATTCGTAAAACCAAATTTGGTAGTACCTGTGTGTAATCCCAGGCAGAAGCAGGAGAATTCTTAGAAGCTCACAGACGAGATAGTTTTGTGCACACAGTGGCAAAACCAAAAGAAAAATCTGTTTCAAACAAGGTGGAAGGTGAGAACTACCACTCATGTGTGTCCTCTGACCTCTACACATGTACTGTGACATGTGAGTTCTTGACTCACACAGGGAAATGTGCCACGCGCGCGCGCGCGCGCACACACACACACACACACACACACACACACAAGGTTTTTAGAAAATTATTGTTTTTATTAGATCAATCTTTCTAGCTTTAATGGCATATTTCTTTTCCTTCCTTCCTTCCTTCCTTCCTTCCTTCCTTCCTTCCTTCCTTCCTTCCTTCCTTCCTTCCTTCCTTCCTTCCTTCCTTCCTTCCTTCCTTCCTTCCTTCCTTCCTTCCTTCCTTTTTGAGACAGTTCTATATAGCCCTGGCTGTCCTGGAACTCACTATGTAGATAAATCTGGTCTCACTTCTGCCTCTGCCTCCCAAGGTCTGGGATTAATGGTGTATGCAAATCACACACAGCCTAATTTGAACAAAATACAACTGTATTTTTCCTTTCCTTTCTGTTATAAAGATAAATAACCTTCAGAGGCCAAAGCGTTGCACAAACTTTTGATAAATGTTTAAACTCATGAGAGGTCAGAGATAAAAAGCCACCAGAGATCATGAAAAGATGTAGAGAATCAAATTCAGTGATTCCTTTTATTTTTTAGGTGCATTGGTGTTTTGCTTGCATGGATGTCTGTGTGAGTGTGCCAGATCCCCTGTACTGTGAGTTACAGATAGTTGTGAGCTGCCATGTGGGTGCTGGGAATTGAACCAGGGTCCTCTAGAAGAGCAGCCAGTGATTTTTTTTAATCATTTTTTATTTTAATTTTAAATAGCTTGTTTTACATGTCAATCCCAGTTCCCTCTCCCTCCCCTCTTCCCGCACTCCCCTTCCCCCCTCCCTCCCACCCTATTGCCAAATCCTTCCACATAGGGGATATCTAGAGTCTGTCATTTTACTCTTGGTAGGATCAAGGCACTCCCCTAAGAGTCCAGGCTGAGAGAGCATCTCTCTTTGTGCTATAGGCACATGAAGACAGTTTGTATACCAGGGATAGACACTGATCCACAGCTCAGGGCCCCATAGGTTTCCCAGGCCTTCTCACTGACACTCACATTTGGGGGGTCCAGATCAGTCCCATGCTGGCCTCCCCACTGTCGGTCTGGGGTCCAAGAGCACTCCCCTGTTCAGATCAGCTGTCTCTGCTGGTTTTGCCAGCCCATTCTTTGCCAATTTGCTCATCACTCCTCTCTGTCACTGGGTTCCTTGGGTTCAGTTCAGTGATTAGTTGTGTGTTTGCCTCTGCTTCCATCAGTCACAGGATGAAGGCTCCCGGATGGTTATAGACATCAAGTTCATTATCAGGAATGGGCATTCGAGGTGGTCCCTCCACTATTGCTTAGCTTGCCAATTGATGTTATACCTTTAGATCACTCGAGGTCACTCTGGTGCCTGATCTGTCTTCGATCCTATGATTCCCTCTTCCCCTATTCTACCCCCACCCCCTCAACTTCCTGTTCCCCCATGACCAACTCCCTTCCTCTTTACCCCCTCTATTCTTCCCAGGTCCCACTCCCCCTTCCCCTCGCCGTGTTCCCCATCCATTCAGAGGATCTTGTCTCCATCCTCTTCTCTTGGGTACTATGCATATATGCTTATCTTTTAGGTTCTTTCCTGTTTCCCAGACTCTCTATCAGTGGAAGTGCAGACTGGCACTATCCTGATCCATATCTAAAATCCATATATGAGTGAGTACATACCATGTTTGTCTTTTTGCGACTGGGTTACCTCACTCAGGATGGTTTCTTCCAGTGCTATCCATTTCCCTGCGAATTTCAAGATTCCATTGTTTTTTTCTGCTGAGTAATACTCCATTGTGTAAATGTACCACATTTTCTCTATCCACTCTTCAGTTGAGGGGCATCTAGGTTGCTTCCAGGTTCTGGCTATTACAAACAATGCGAGCAGCCAGTGATTTTAACCTCTAAGCCATCTCTCCAGCCCCAAGAATCAAATTTGAAATTGTGGTGTTCTCAGTAGCACTCTACTTCTATTTCTCTTGCTATGATAAAATATTCTGACAAAAGAAATTAGGGGGAATTATTCATCTTATAATTCCAGTCAGGGCCTATCACGGGAGGGAAGTCATTATGCTCACAGGCAAGGGCAGAGAGTAATGCTTTCCTGTGCTCAGCTGATTTCTCCACTTTTATAAAGTTCAGGGTCCCCTGACTGGGAAATGGTGTTGCCCACAATAGATTGGATCTTCCCACATCAATTGACTTAAGACAACTACCCGTAGACACGCCCACAGGTCAACCCTCATTGAGAATTTTTTTCCAGGTGATTCTAGGTTGTGCCAAGTTGACAATTAAAGCCAATGTCCATCTCAGGATATAAGGTTGTTGACTGGTAATCTAGGTCCCCACCCCCACCCCCACCCCCAAACCCTGGGCATTAGCTTTGAGCTGAGTAGTGGTGATGAACACCTTTAATCCCAGAACTTTGGAAGGCAGAGACAGGAGGATCTTTGAGTTTATAGGGAACCTGGTCTACAAAGCCTCCGTTAGATAGGGCTACACCGAGAAATCCTATCTCGAACAAACAAACAAACAAACCAAAAAACCTTAACTTTGGTCTTGGTGGGGCACAAGAAGGACTTCAGTAAGTCTCTTGGTGACCTAGAGACGTATTCTTAATTTTGTTTCTTGCTCCAGATTTGTATATATAGTTTTGAATGATTGTATGTATTTGAATTTAGACTCATATGGGCCCTGACTTTGCCTTATTTACAAATTCTTTTCACAGAGGTAGACAATGTGGCCCAGTGTCACATCCAACTTGCACAGACTCTCAGAGAAGAGGCCAGGAAGATGGAAGAATTCAGGGAAAAGCAAAAGCTACAAAGGAAAAAGGTTAGTTTTGTATGTGTTACAATATTGCCTTTCTTCTGTGGAAAAATCTCAGACATGCCTGTTACTAAATTGCTCAATTTCTGAGCATAGTGGTGGACACTTTTAATCCCAGCACTTGGGAGGCAGAGGCAGAGCTCTGTGAGTTGGAGGCCAGCTTGGCCTACATAGTGAGTTTCTAGACATCCAGAGCTACATAGTGTGACCCTGTCTCAAACAACGACAACAACACCCAAACAACAACAAAAGCAAAACCCTGCACAGCTTGGTTCCCACCCCCAATATAATCAAAATCTTTTTCTGGCCTGAGAAATTACATATTGGAGTCTCCACGTAGACTCAATATAGGATCATATGCCCTGTTCCCCAGGTCAGTCAGTCTTCCTTTTAATAAAACGTTGAAGGAGTGCTGGAGAAATACTTCAGTTAATAAAATGCTCCCATGGCAGCATAAGGCTGTGATTTTAGACACCAAGAACCTGGGTGAAATTCTTAGGGGATTCAGTGGTTCTGTTTGTAAGTCTCATCTTTTCAGATCTTCTGCCCCTGTCAGTACTGTGGCTGGAGATCTCTTTACTCCCATCAGTGGCATCTAGCACATCCTAGCTAGTGAGCTTCCAGATCACACTCCTCCTAAGCAAGGCAGTAGGGGAAGGATGGAGACTTGGAGGAGACTCACGATTTCCTTGAAGTTCATAATGTAATGGAATAATCCTGTTTTATAACTAGAGAAACTGTGGCCCTGGGAAGTTCAAGTTGTTTTGTCTTCAAAGTAGCTCTGGAGGAGCTCCTTCTTTTTATTTAAAGATATATTAATTTTCATTTTATGTGTATGCATGCTTGCCCACATGTATATGTGTGCACCACAGGTGTGACTGGTGCCTACAGAGTCAGAAGAGGGTAACAGATCTCTTGGAACTGGAGTTACAGACTGTTGGGAGCCATCATGTGGGTGCTGGGAACTGAACCCAGGTCTTCTGGGAAAGCAGTCAGTGCTGTTAACTACTTAACATCTCTCTAACCCCCATGAGACTCTTTTCATTGACGGAATTTATTCCACCTATAGGAAAGGTGATGTGAGTGAATGAGAGTCATTATGATAAAAGTAGTAAATGTTTGGGGACTTAGAAGAATCAAGAAATAACTTCAGGTTTATAGTATGGTGCTCTTTAGACCAGACCAGCCACAATTTTATTTTTTTCCTGAAAAGCCTGTATATGCAGGCTGATCCTTTAGTCAAGTAGAGCCCTTCAAGAATGTCTTTCAGGACTGGAAGACTGGCACCAAAGGTTTCTATTCAGGTCTCTGTGGACATTTGGGGACCTGCCACTCTTCTTGGAGGTCTCTGGAATCTCTTCTTTATCCTAGCTTTTGACTGTACCTGGTGTGTTTACAGTCTGTGCATCCAATCAATGGCCAATGTTGAGACTGATTGTGTCCTAACCTCTCGGGATGAGTGACTTTGCCTACAGTTTTAAGTTGTAGTCTGGGTTGGCACAAACTGTCAGGTTGTCCACAGCATCTTAAGAACCTTCCTGTCTCACATCTGCCATCATTTCAGCAGCTGCTTTTCCCTTTGTTTGTTTGAGACATGGTCTCGTGGAGCCCAGGCTGGCCTCCAGCTCACTGGATAGCTGAGCCTACTGCCTCCACCTCCTGAGTACTAGTAGACATGTGCTGCTACGCCTGACTTAGAGTTCTCTTTGCACACCACCGCCTCTTCCTATTGCTCCGCTGTTGCTTGTGCAATGTCTCTTAGCATGAAGGAAGGACAGACGTGGATGGTTAAGAAACGCTGTGTCAAACACTTTCACATGTTCTCTCAACCGCTGAGGTTGCATCTATCCCAAAGCCTTTTTCCAAGCAGAATTATTGTGTGTGCTGTACTCATTGGATGACAGATTCTTTTGTCTAACATTACCAAGTCAACTCTGCCACATCTTTGAGGAGATTATAGGTTTTTTTTTTTGAGACAGGGTCTCCCTATGTAGCCCTGTAACTCTCTATATCTCTTGGTTGGTCTCTAATGTATGTAGATCCCCCTGTCTTTGCCTCCCAAGTGCTGGGATTAAAGGTGTGCACCACTGTACCCAACACCAGGTTTTTAAAAGTTACCTTTTAATTATATATATATATTTAATAATTTATGTTTTTAATGTGCATTGATGGTTTGCCTATGTGTGTGCCTGTGTGAGGGTGCCAGATCGCCTGGAACTGGATAGTTGTAAGCTGCCATGTGGATTCTAGGAATTGAACCCTGGTCCTCTGGGAGAGCAGCCAGTGCTCTTAACCATTGAGCCATCTCAACAGCCCCTTATTTACATATTTTTAATTGAAATAAAATTGCATCACCCCCCTTCTCTCTCCAGCCTCTCTTAACTACCTGCCTTGGACCGCTCCCATAGTTTGTGTGTGTGTGTGTGTGTGTGTGTGTGTGTGTGTGTGTGTGTGTGTGTGTTCATGGAGGCACTGAATCCCCTGGGACTGGAGTTACAGGAGTTTGGGAACCACCTGACATGGGTGCTGGGAACCAAACTTGGGTCCTCTCAAGTGCTGAGTTATCTCTCCAGCCCCTGAAATGACAGTTTTTGTCTCTCTTCTCCTCTCCCTCCCATGCCCCCTCTTGAGACAGGGTCTCTGTATAGCCCTGGCTATTCTGGAACTCACTACATAGACCAGGCTGACCTGGAATTCACAGAGGTCCACCTGCTTCTGCTTCCTGAGTGCTGGGATCAAAGGCGTGTGCTACCACTCCTAGCTGAAATGACAGCAAAAGAACTTGGAGGTTGGAAAGATGGCTCAGCAGTTGAGTGTGTATTGTCCTTGCAGGGGATATGAGTTCCATTCTCAGCACTCATGTTAGATGGTTGACGACCACCTGGAACTCAGCTCTAGGAGTATGTGATCCTTCCAGCCTCCATGGGCACTGCATTCTCATGTACATGAGCACACACAGACAGGCACAGACATACAATTTTTAAAAAAGCAAGCTGAGTGTGGTGGCAGACACCTTTAACACCCTGGAGGCAGAGGCAGCAGGTCTCTGCAAATTCAAGACCATGGTTTACACAATGCGTTCCAGGCCAGTGGGAGTTACATAGTGTAGTCTTGTCTCAAAAAGAAGGGAAGGAAAGACTAACCAAAAAGTTAAGGAGAGGCCGGGCGTTGGTGGCACACGCCTTTAATCCCAGCACTCGGGAGGCAGAGGCAGGTGGATCTCTGTGAGTTCGAGACCAGCCTGGACTACCAAGCGAGTTCCAGGACAGCCTCCAAAGCCACAGAGAAACCCTGCCTCGAAAAACCAAAAAAAAAAAAAAAAAAAAAAAAAAAAAAAGCTAAGGAGAGGAGATATCGTGTCTCACATGGACCAGTTAAAAGAAAAATAAAAGAAGCATAGTACTTTTGTCAGCTGAGCTATACACATGTGACAAGCATACTACCTTTGTCAACTGAGCTATGCGTATGTGACTCCACTAAAAGGGGGCAGTTTCCTCACATCCTCAGGTGTCCTCAGCAGCCCTGTCCCTTGTGGGGAGAGCTGTTAGCTTTGCATGGCTTCTGGAACTTTCCCGCTAATGTCACACACACCCAGTGGTTGGAGTGAGAGACGCAGGAGAGCATAGCATGCTCACTTCAAGTTCCCTTCTCAGCAGGAGTCACTTTCAAAACATTGAAAAGTTTATTTAGAAAATTAGTTATGTGTTTCACAATGGACTCGGGTGGCTTTGGGTACCTATTTTTTTTTAAAGAACACGTTTTAGGGGGAAAATGTGTCAATGCTAACTTCCGTTTTTAAAATTGTCACACTGCATGCTCTAGTCTTCCACTTCTTGGAAACTGAGCTGTTTCCACTCATCAAAAGAACTAGTCAGTTGCTTGCTTTTCTTGCCTCTCTTTCTCTTTCTCTCATGCTGCTGGTTGAATCCAGGTTCTTGGTTGTGCTATGCAAGTACAGTATTCAGCTGTGTCTCCACATGTAATTTACTGATTCATTTTTAAAAGCCTAATAAATTTTAAATAGGATGTTTTCTCCCTTTAGATTTTTTTAAAATTTTAGATTTAAAAAGTCTTTAATCCTAGCACTTGGGAGGCTGAGGTAGGCAGATCTCTGTAAGTTCAAGGACAGCCTGATCTACATAGTAAGATCCAGGAGAGCCAAGGTTGCATAGTGAGACCCTGTCCCAAAAAAACAAACAAGTCCTTACCTTGCATCTATGAGTGTTTTGTCTGTTTATGTCTGCATACCATATGTGTGTCTGGTGCTTGTGGAAGTTAGAAGGAAGTGTCGGAGATGGTCCTGAACAAGAGATGCAATTGTTATGAGCCACCATGTGGGTGCTGGGAATTGAACCTAGGTCCTCTGCAGGAGCAACAAGTGGCTCCTAATTGATGAATCACCACTCTAGTCCTGTTTTCTTATTTTAAATTTCATTTTTATTTTCTCTGTGTGTGCATGTGTTTGTGTGCGTGTACGTGTGTACATATGTGTACATGCCATGGTGTATATGTGGACATCAGAGGGCAACTTACAAGAGTTGATTCTCTTCTCCCACCATGTGGGTCTTGGGGATTGAATTATCAGGCTTGGCAGTAAGTGCCCTTATTTACTGAGATATCTAAACAAGGCCAGACCTCCTGATCCTTCCTAAACAGTTCTACCAACTAGAGGCCAAGCATTCAAATATTTGAACCTCTGGGGGCCATCATCATCCAGACCACCACACTGACTTTGTTTCTTTGGCTCACGAAGTTCATTGCCATCAGGAAAATGGCCAAGTAGTACCTATACAGAACTGCTTCACGCAGAAGTGATAGAGAAATGGAAACTAGGAAAACTGTGTCTGAGAGGTAGCTATTTATTATGAGCAGCATTGTTTTGATCAACGAAAGTACCACCATCGCAACTGCAATGAAGAAACCATGCTCAGGTGAACTACATGGAGTTTACCTTGCCGGCTTAGATGAGGCAGAGGATCATTACCGTTAGCGGTGCCACAGATACCTCCTTCTTCCCCTGGTGACTTGTAAAGCGTTCATCATTGATGGGCCACAGACATGGAGGTTGAGCTCCTAATTGCCTGTGCTGACAAAGTTTTCAGAATAAATCTGCTTTTAAAATACAAATGGTATTTTAACAAAAATTTGAAATTCTTGAAACCAAAGTCCTTGGTTCTAGGTTTGCTGAAGATAGCACTCCATGGTGATTAATGAGTCTTTGGGGGTGTTTTGAGCATTCAGGACCTGGTGTGCAAGTGCCCTGGCTAATTAAGATGCAGCATCATTAACTGCCTGTGACTTCTTGAGCAAGGAGTTTAGTCTCTGTTCTGTACTGTCCCCATTTGTGACCAGGAGACAGTAGATAGCACATTTTGCTTCTGGGTGACATGAAGACTAAACTGGATAACCCATGTTGAACACTTAAGCCCTCAAAACAAGCTGCTGTTAGCAGGGACTTGCAGATTTTATTGACAGTGCTTGTATTCTCTTCACAGACAGAAACTATAATGGATGCTGCCCACAAGCAAAGAAACTCACAGTTCAAGAAAGCCATGGATGTGAGTCACACTTGCTGCTGTATTTGTAGTAGTGATACTTATCAGGAATTCTGTGCTTGTGCATGAACACGCTCATGCTGAAATGATGTTTCAGCGATGCCGTTTATCAGTGTGCTGTTAAGGAGAATACTTCCTGCTAAGGTCTTGGGAAGCTTGAAGATGGGAGAGTGTGGGTGGGTGCTGTTTTGTTTTTGGCAAGCTGGTTGTAGAACTCTGTCCTCTGGAATTGGTATGGCTATTAACTTCTAAGTCAGAATATCTGTGGCTACCGACATCCCTAGTAAGACTGGACCCAGTAAGATTATCTCCTGCAGGAAAGGGAGGGTCACAGGGCAGCGAATGAGTGGTCCCAAGCAGGACAAGGGACCTCACAAGGCCACACCTTCAACAAGGACACGGGTAGGTAACAGCTTGGGGTAGGGTCAGACTTTTCCTTTGCGGTGTAGCTTTCCATAAGTTGTCTATGCTTCTGTAGGTGACCTTTCACCCTTGTTCCTATAAATATCCATAGTCAAACTCACTAGTCCACCAAGCTGGACTTGAGTGGAATCATCTCTTTGGTCTGTGGGTATCTAATGGGGGCGAGTTCATCTCTGCTGGAACTAGAAAAATAAAACCAGTTCTCTTAAATATTTCAGGATGTGATACAAAAGCATGTGACACACAAATGTACACATACACACACAATTGTACACCTACATACAAATGCACACAGATACACAGGCACACACACATACATATATACACACAGAGACAAACACAGAGATACATAGAGACACACACATACATACAAGTATACACACTCTACATGCATATACACACATATCCTATTTATCACTACACACATACACATCCTATTTATCACTATACCCACATACATATCCTATTTATCAACACACACACATATCTTATTTAACACTACACACACACACACACACACAATTTATCTTGTATTTGAACTTTCTACCTCATGGTGATTCTGAACCTTGATTGTTGCTCATTTTACTGAATGACCCTTTTGTGTTTTGAGATATGTGGGAATTATAAAGCCCCCTTTCCTTTAAGCGATTTATTAACAATGCCTGGCAACTAGTTGTAATCTGTAGGTTATATCTTTCACCAAAATCGGGATTGCCTCAGTTACTTGTCAAGTGTGGTTTTAGCCTGTCTTCTTTTAGGATTCCAAGTCCATGAGGCATTGGCTTGCTTCATTTTTGTACAAAAGGCCCCAAGCCTCTGTTAGATTTTTTTCAGCCATTTTTATCCACTGGTGGTTAATTTTGAATGCCGATGTGATTGGATTAAAAATACCAAGGGCATTAATGAAGCTCACCTGGAATCTTTTCTGTGAGGGTCTTTCCCCAGAGGCTTAAGGAAGACAGTCAGGCCCTGAATGTGCTGCCACCATCCTACGGCCTGGGCTCTGAGTCTGAATTAAAAAGGGAAAAGGGAAAAGGCCAGGTGAACTCTAGCATTTCCCTTTCTCTACTTCCTGGTCCAATCCACTGAGATGTGAGGAGTTCCGGGTTCTGTTGCCATGGACCCCACCATCTCTTTCCTGCCATGATGGATGGTGAACTGAGGTAAATCCTTCCTCCCACCAGCTGCCTCTTGATCACAGTGGTGATAAAATACCAGATATACTCTTGGTCACATGAGGTGACGCTTTACTGTTCATGTAGTCCTCTATCTCTTCTGTTCTTCATCGGGCTTTTGTGTTTTCAAACTACTTTGCAATTCCGAGATTTCCTTTTCTCTTCTATTTCTTTCCTTAGCTTTTCTGTATCTTTGCCGTGCTGTTTTGCTTTGGTTTGTTTTGGTGTGTAGTTGTTTGGTGAATTCGTTTGCAGTCTTGGTCTAAAATCTGTCATCTTGGTGCTGGCTTTTTCTGATTGTCCATTCAGTTGGATTTTTTTTCTAGTTCTTGGTTTGGGTGGTACTCAATTGATTTGAGTATCTATGGCATTACAAAAAAAGCTTTGGGTTGTTTGAACCATGTTTTAGCTGGTTTCCTGTGATAGCATGTCAGTAGGAGGTGAGGCAATTGCTTCGTTACTGCTATCTGGGGTTAAGAGAGTTCAGGTTCCCCCTCTGCCCTCACCAGACGTTCTATTTTTCACTACACTTCCTCTGCTACTACCCCAGGAGGGAAGGGACTTGACTACCATAGGTCCAGTAGGTCAAGTTGGGTAAGGAGGGTAGAAGCTCAGGTCCCCACAAGGTGGCCACTGCTTCTGTCTTGAAGAAGAGATACTGCAGTTCCTGCTGCTGTTGATCTCTAAGCAGGGGAGCTGGGTGTCACATGATAGCCTGGTAATGGTGGGAGTCTAGGCTCTCTCATTGACTTAACTATAGTGTGTGTGTGAGCCCTAGTTTGTTTATTGTTTGTGTGTGTGTCATGGCACTCATGTGGAGGTCAAAGGAACCTTTGTGGAGTCAGTTTTCTCTTTCCACATCTATGGTTCCAGGGTGGTCAAACTCAGTTAACATGCTTGCACAGTGAGTACCTCTACCCACTAAGCCATCTTGCTGGTCTGAGCCCTTGTTATTTATGCTGTGTTTAGTGTCAGGGGACTGGTTATTATTTTTTTAATGTTTTAGTTAGGTTAGCCTTTTTCTAGTCTTTTGTCTAAGGAGAGCAGGTAAAAATTATTTTGAGTTGTTACTGTATTTTTGAGCCACCTGCTTCTTGGAAATGGATCTGTGATGTATGAGGCAAGGAAACTCACTCTTGGGTTGCTCTTTGGCCAAGGTTACTAGCCAGTTTGTCTTTGTGAACTTTCACTTTCAGAATCATATGTTGGTTTTATATATAGTGCTTTGGAGTTTTAGATGTCACAGCAGTGTGGTGGTACATATAGACAATCCCAGCAATCAGGTGTCTGAGGCAGGAGGATCAGAGTTTGAGGTCAGCTTGGGTTACATAGCAAGTCAAAAGCCAGCCTGAGCTACATAGTGAGACCCTGTCTCAGAAACCCAAGGACTTAGATATAGCCAGTGACCAAGTGCTTCCTTAGAGTATATAGCCCTAGGCTCCATTCTCAGTACCACAAGGAAGTGTGGGGGTATAGTGATCATCCTTGGTAGAGAGAGATATCTCCAAGGTGTTGTATAAAAGGATGTTACATGGGTCTTTTTACATGATTGCCATGCATTTTTACATAATTATGAAAACCAGGAATGTACTATTTCTATAATAAAATTTTACATGCTATGTAATTATAGAGTATATAGCTAATATAACAGACAGCATATAGAGAAAGCTCATGAAAGGATAACCACAATTGAGTTACTTATGAGAACTATAGGGAAGTATGTATAATAATAAACACAAACCACCTCTCCAAAGAAGCCACCATCCTTTGGAGATCATCTCCAATTGGATTGTACTGGTTCTGTGGGTTCAATTGCACATGTCAACATGTAAAAACTATAAAAGTACAGTTTGTATCTTATTTTGTCATTATGTACCTTTGGAGATAAGAATCCTTACTTTATAGATGGGGAAACAAAGGCACAGAGATGTAATTTATTCAAAACAAAACAAATACATAGATAATGGTGAGACTGGATTTGAACCTCCACACTATGGTTTCAACACTTGATCTCTGTTTCACAGGCAGCTGAAGAGAAATAAACCAAGAAAAAGGTTGTATTTTTGGTTGTGAGCTAAGCCTTGGTGGCTTCGCCATCTCTCTAGCCAAGAAAGGATATCTTCATTCTTAGTCAATTATAACTATTCGCTTATTGATTGATTCATAGCTTTGTTTTGTGTTGTTTAAACAAGCTAAGACTTTGTTTCTAGACCTGAAACAAACTAATTTTTTTGATTCAACCATGGTTAGAGTTTGTGAAATGATTCCATAATTCTGGTAGTAACAGTGGCATAAGATAGGCCATTGGCTACTTTAAACTGACACCAGGTAATAATTAAATTGAGGGCTGAAATCAATAAAGTAGAAACAAAGAAAACAATATAAAGAATCAATGAAACAAAGAGTTGGTTCCTCGAGAAAATCAACAAGACATACAAACCTTTATGTAAACTAACCAAAAGGCAGAGAGGGAACATGCAAAGTAACAAAATCAGAAATGAAAAGGGTGACATAACAACAGACACTGTGGAAATCCAGAGAATCATCAAGTCATGCTTTGAAAACCTGTACTCCACAAAATTGGAAAATTTTAAGGAAATGAACAATTTTCTGGATAGGTATCACTTACTAAAATTAAATCAAGAACAGATAAGCACTTTAAATAGACCTATAACCCCTAATGAAATAGAAGCAGTCATCAAAAGTCTCCCAACCAAAAAGAAACCCAGGTTTCAGTACAGAATTCTTTACACTATGTAGAACTGAAGTCTTTAAAAAGAAACATGACTGTACTAAAGTGGAAGAGAAGTAGCATTGCTGTGCATGGCAGTGGCTGGGAACTCTAGAATACTGATGCCTGCTGAGAAGAAGAGGGAGTTGGTTCCAGTGACCAAGTGATTGCACATAGGATTATAAATGTCACACAGCTGGATTGCACATCTTAGATGTTATATACACGGGGGTGCATGTGATCATATTGTATAATTGTATGAAAATTTCAAGAACAAGGAAAATCAGAAAAGTTAGTTATATACATTTCAAGCCCCATTTCTTAGTCTTTAGTGACCATGTGCTTTGTGCCAGCAAATGGCAGCTGTTACTTCCTTGGGCTGGAGGCCACTCTGTGAATAGTTTGGAAAAGGGCTGGAACTAGAGTGACTTCTCAGAGAGCAGTGAAAAGGACACATCCCCTCTGAGAACCTAACATCTGTTGATTCCAGCACGGACTAGAGCTTGTGCTGGACCTGGACTGCTTTTCACACTGCATACCCTGCTCACCCATATTCATCCTCTGTTTGTAAACAAAGGCCAAGAAGAATTATGAGCAGAAGTGCCGGGACAAGGATGAGGCCGAGCAAGCTGTCCACCGCAGTGCCAACGTGGCCAACCCAAGGCAGCAAGAAAAGGTACCCAGCATGGTCTACAACCTGAAGAGTCAGAGATGCACCTGTGTCAGTTTAAAATCAACTAGGGTTTCGTATGATGCGCATGTGTGTTGTTCTAGTAGGCAGGAGGGTCATGAGGTTAATGCCAGACAAAAAATAAAAAGATTTCTATCCTAAGTCTCTGGCAACAGTGTCTTTGGCTTGTAACCTTCACAGTAAAACCAAAAGCCCTTGTAACATTTTTGAGGTTGGGGAAAGTACCAGAGAAGCACACATTGGAGAACAGTGGGTGGAATGAGAGGCCTGAGGTTTTTGTTTTTATTTTTTTATTTTTTTGTGACAGGGTTTCTCTGTTAGTTTTGGAGGCTATCCTGGAACTCGCTCTGTAGACCAGGCTGGCTTCAAACTCAGATATCTACCTGTCTCTGCCTCTCGAGTGCTGGGATTAAAGGTGTCTGCTACCACCACCTGGCTTCATATTCTTTTTAAATGCCTTAAAACCTCAGTTCCTGTATTCTTTGTTGACAGAATGCTTCTTGTGGGTGAGGGTTCTACATTTTTTTTTTTTTTGGTTTTTCGAGACAGGGTTTCTCTGTAGCTTTAGAGGCTGTCCTGGAACTCGCTCTGTAGACCAGGCTGGCCTCGAACTCACAGAGATCCACCTGCCTCTGCCTCCCGAGTGCTGGGATTAAAGGCGTGCGACACCAACGCCCGGCTGAGGGTTCTACATTTAATAAAATGGGCTGAAGTAATAATATTAGTGAATTAAATAATACATTTAGTAATATGGCTGGAGCAGTGACACAGCAGTTAAGAGCACTGATTGCTCTTCCAGGGAATCTGAGTTAGATTCCCAGAACCCACATGGCAGCTCACAACCATCTCTAACTCCAGTCCCAGGGTGTACAACACCATCTTCTGACCTCTTTGGGTGCCAGGCACAAAGTGGTACACAGACATACATGTAAGCAAAACACTCCTACACACACAAAATATAAAATAAATTAATAATGTATAATCTGAATACAATGTTATCCACAGCTTGAGGGCAGGGAGAGGTGTCTCTAGGAAGACACAGGATGGCTGTTTTCTGATGCTGAGAAGATGAAAGAGTGAAGATGAAAGATCTGCTTCTAAGTGGCGTGTATATAGGACTTGGACCAGATCTCACCTCACCATCGCTATTGCTTTTACATGTGTTTGCCCGTAGAAGCCTGGTTCAGCTTCCTAATCTCTCTCTGGTTTTGGTCCTCACAGCTTTTTGTGAAACTGGCAACTTCAAAGACCGCAGTAGAAGATTCAGGTGCTCTGATCTGGGGGCATGAGAGGGGGGGTTGGTTGGGGGCTGTTCACATTATTAAGAATATGTAGGATTAACAGGCTACAACCCAGCAAGCCTGTCTGGTTTCTAAACCAAGCCCCGGCCCATTGCAGACAAAGCATACATGCTGCACATCAACATGCTGGAGAAGGTCCGAGAAGACTGGCAGAGCGAGCACGTTAAAGCCTGTGAGGTACGTACCTAGGACTGGAAGCAGCGTGGGATGGAGCACATCTTCCTCCCACAACCTGAGAATTTGCTTTCATTTTAGCGCTGTAATTTAAGAAAAGCAGTGTGTGAGAGAAAGATGCCAAGAGACAGGGCTCAAGCAGAGGGATTTTCTATTAGGGAGAGGGATCATAAAAAGGGGGGAAGGGGAGGGGAGACCGACCTCCAGGGAAGGGAGCAGCAGGAGAGAGTTGGGGGGGGCAAAAGACAAACAGAAGGAGAGAAAGAAGGAAAGATGGGAGGTGGGCAGGGCCCTTTTAAAAGGGAACAGAGTGAACAGGCACAGGTGGTGCTCTTAGCGGCAGCAGCTGAGGGCAAATCCTGTTAGGACCCCAAGGACAGGCCAGTACAGATGCCTGAACACTAACAAGTGCCTCGTGTTTCATTCAGGCATTGAACATCAGGACGAGTTAGACACTGAAAATTTAAGTGAAGAATGGAAGGGATTGGAATGATATCCTCTAATCTTCATCCTTTTGCCTCACCCCCAGCCTGACTTCAGTGTTCAGGCCGCTCCAAAGCTAATGTTTGCTTAGGGCAGGCATGACCCAGCTACATCAGTTAGTGGTGGCTTGTACTTGCTAGGTTCTGAGTGGGAATACACAGGACTCCATAATTTTCTAGAGGAAACTTAAAAGACACAAGCTGGAAAGTTCCTCAACTTTCTGACATCAGTTTTTAATAGCGTCCCGGGGCCAGCAGAACCAGCATTATCTGCGGACTGGGTAGAAATGTGGGTTCTCAGCTCAGTCCAGGCCTTCTGGGAGGCAGCCAGCTCGCAGTGTGCGTGTGCGTGCTCACACGTTCGTGTGTGTGTGTGTGTGTGTGTGTGTGTGTGTGTGTGTGTGTGTGTTGGGAATCAAGCCTAGGACCTCATGCTTGTTCGTGCTCTACCACTGAGATATGTTCTCAGCCCAGCCATGTTTTTTTGAAGATGTTTGCATGTCTCATGTTCCAGCCTAAAGGTTACTCTCCACACCTTTTCCTCTCTCAAGGATACCTGGGAGGCCCTTGGTGTGAGGCCCAGTGGGCCTTTGTAGTTTCTTTGTGTGGTGCTGGTGATCAAACCCAGAGCCTTATGCATGCTAGTCAAGCATTGGTCCACTGAGCTGTACCCCTGGATCAACACTGGTGATTTAAAAAAAAACTTATTTGATTGATCTTGTTTGATTTATCTCTACAATTTGGTACTCTGGGACTTATGCCCACACTAAGCACTTTCTTCTGATTTCCTTTTTAAACTCCACTCCTCAATGTAGGTTAATGTTGTTTAAGTCATAGCCAGTCTGAATGGATGGCCCTTCTTTACATATGTATACACATGTAGTTGTTTTTCTGTAGGTGTTTGAGGCCCAAGAATGTGAGCGAATCAACTTCTTCCGGAATGCATTGTGGTTACATGTGAATCAGCTGTCACAGCAATGTGTCACAAATGATGAAGTAAGTCAGAGGCATTCACAGAGGGCTGCGCTCTGCGGGTTAGAATCATCAGAGCAGAAAGAACCATCAGTGTTTATTAGTTCATCCTCTCTCCCCTCTTCCTGCTTCCATTTGAGGTACAGAGAGATAGTAACTTGAGCATTGCTTTCATCTTCCTGACTCCCGGTCCATTTTACCATGGTGACTCTCTGAGAAACCGGGAGTTAGGGATGGATAGCAGATAATGAAACCCAAACATGGTTTCTTGTGTGGAAGACAGATGTCACAGAAGAATGTGAGTCCCAGAGACAGCTCCAGTGTAGAGTGCTAACACTTCCTGCACCAAGTATTAACATACTGACCCATGGCAGGTTGATGGTCACCCAGGGTGAGGATTTGCTTCTGTGGCTTCATGGTGCTTGTCTAGAATTAACTTGTGAGCAGCAACAGGAACTGGGTCCCCAGATATGAAAGACACCAGGTGAGGTTGTCATAGCCTTTGCTAAGAAATAGCCCCACTCTCAGGTGGGACATGACTTTAGAAGAATGATCAGATGTCTAGGAAACCCCGTAGAATTGAGGAAGAACTTATCCACAAGTTGAGAGTTGAGTAGTGATGTTTGCATTTGTGTGTGGCACTGAGACTTGGTCATGGGCTTGTATCATGGGACTTGGCATGTAGTTTCTTTATTCCATCAATACTTGAAAGAAGTAACCAGGGTTTTGGTCTGCCTCTCAGAAAGAAATATTTCCTTGTATCTTAATTTTTTTCATTTAAAAAAGGCAATAGTACAGATGGACTAGAATGGTGCCCTTATGTGAGTTTTGGACTTGGGAATGTCTTTTACTTTCAAAACAAAGTTGCAAAAGACTTGGCTGCTCATGAAAGTTCCTTTCATATCAAGTGGTGCCATAATTATCATCAATAAACTTATACATAATGCTTTACCTTGTTTTTATCAGATGTACGAACAAGTCCGTAAGAGTCTGGAAATGTGCAGCATTGAGAGGGACATCCAGTATTTTGTGAACCATCGTAAAACTGGACAGACCCCACCAGGTGAGCTGAGTGGCATGTTAAGCAACAGTATTAGTCTTTCTTGTCATGGGTCACAGAGGATATAAGATACACTGTATTAGTCAGCTTCTGCTGCTGTAACAAGTACCTGATGTAGATTGGCCAGTAAGACACAGGTTTACTTTAGCTATAGTTTTCAAGGCTTTAGTCCAGTCAATTGATGAAGGCTGTATTGAGGCAGTACTCTGTGGCAGACAGTGGCCCAGAGGACTGTTCACCATACAGCCAGGAGATGTGAAAGAGGAGGAGATCAGGGTATGCCTCCAATGGCCTGACCTGGTGTGTTCCTACTGGGTTATACTTCTTAAAGGTTCTGTCACCTTCCATTAGCGCTAAGCTAGGGACAAAGTCTCTAACACATAGGCTCTTGGGGAGCATTCTAGGTCTCCCTACCTTTTTTTTTTGCGACAGGGTCTCATGTATTCTAGGCTAATCTTAAACTTGCTGTGCAGCTGTGGATGACATTGAACTCCAGATCTTTTTGCATCCCCCTCCTGAGCACTGAGGTGAAAGACATGTGCACTCAGACTGGTTTTATGCAGCACTGGGTGACAAAGCCAGGGCTTTGTGTATCCTAGGCAAGTGTTCTACCAACTACGAGACAACCCCAACTTTACCTGTTTCTGATGCCTTCTGTCTTATAAATCCTAGCACCCATCATGTATGAGAATTTCTACTCTCCTCAGCGGAATGCAGCCCCACCAGGAAAGACTACAGGGCCCAATGTAGCAAGGTAATAACCACCTGCTTTTCATGTGAAGAAAAATATTTTAATAAATGTTTCTATTATTAATAATCTAAGATATTGCCTTTTATTTTAAATAGACCACATTTGCATAACTTACCTAGTAAGTAAACTGAGTTTTTTTGAAATAGCATTTGGGTTCTATAGCATCATTTGTTTATGAATTCTATGCCTTCCTTTGGCTGTTAGAACACAGGAATAAACAAACTATGCCCCACTTTGAGTTTGATCTCATCTACTAGTTTCCATAGGGCCTATGAGATAAGAAGGATTTCTCTCTCTGTCTCTCTCTCTGTCTCTGTCTCTGTCTCTCGCTCTCTCTCTTTCGCTCTGTGTTTATTTGAGACAGGACGTCACTCTGTAGCCCAGGCTGGCCTTAACCTCACAGAGATCTTCCTTCCCCAGCTCTCAAGTGCTAGGATTAATTACAGCCACGAGCCATTACCTTTTTTTAAAATTTATTTTTATCTACGTGCATGTGTGTGACTGTCACTGCATGCTGTGTGTATGTGAATGCCCACAGAGGTCACAAGAGGGCGTCAGACTCCCTGGAGCTGGAGTTACAGGTGGCAGTTACTGGGAGCTGACCTTGGTTCTCCTGCAAGGGCAGCAAGAACTCTGCACCCTTGAGCACTGACCCATCTCCCCAGCCCTGGCTTATGTTTTTAAATGCCTGGTGTTCTTACAGAAAGCTATTGGAGCACAGTCGGGGCTCCTCTCTTTTATCCGCTGTCTTCCCACTAGACCTGAGCAGAGGTGCACCACAGACACTGGAGCCAGCAAAGCTAAGCCGCTTCCACTGGGCCTTTTGGCAGAAAATGTGCTGCTCCTAATATAAGGCTCTTGAGGGGAAAGACATTTTTACTTCATACCAAGCCTCTGGGGGTGGGGTGAGGGTGAGGTCTCATCTGCCGAGTTTTCTGTCCAGTTTTAGGGAAAGTGGTGCATATTTGGGAGAGGTCAATGCATACTGTCGATGGTAAGGACCTTTCAAAACAGTTAATATGACTGAGCTGACAATTCTCCCAGAGAGGGGAAAGCTGTTTGTGTTTCTCATTCTACGTACAAAGACTCTGATATGCCAGGAGATCAGTAAATTTTGTTCCAACAGCTGAGATTAAAATCATGCCAGCTTTGCACTCCTGACTGCTGGCTGCAAATCATTTGCCTCCTCAGAGCCTTCCTGACTCTCTAGGATAGAAGCCAGCTGATTATATTGTGTTTTGTTTGCAGCATGAAGTAGAAAGGCATAAAAATAATTAGAGCTTGCCTGAAAGGCTTTGGTTTTCATCTCTTACAGGAGAGGACCTCTCCCAGTTCCTAAACCTTTACCAGGTACGTATGCCACCAAGAAAAGCCTCTCAGAATTGAATAGCTAATATGTGAAAATTAGAACCAGGCATGCCTGACATGTGGGCATTATGACACAGCTCCATCATCTACAGAGTCCGTACTTGAGAGCAGCGCAGTCTAGTTGTCAATAATAAATAAATAAATAAGTAAATAATAAATGTGTTTAACCTAGGTTTTTGAGTCTGTGTTGGGCCAAGTGCATAGCTATCCTGGGTTGCGTGTGGCCTGTGGATGGTGGGTTGGACATGAGTGACAGGATTGAGTTCCTAAGAGATTGTGCCTATATTTAAATCTTACTATATGACTTTTTCTTTTGAGGTAGGGTCTCACTCTGCAGCCTTTAATTATAATGTCGCACACTACCTAAAAAGGAGTCATTTTCCAATCATGCTGATCTCCTTTTTCCTCTGCAGTACCGCAGATAGAACCACACATAGCATTTCGGTTTTTTTTTTTTGCCAGTTGTATTCTCTGGTTCATTATTACACCTTTGAAGAGAAGCATTTTGCCTTCTCCTGTCATCTCAAATCCTTAGCGTAGTACTAGATGCATAGCAGTTCTTAAACATTTACCATTTAGGGCAAGAACTGTTTAAGTAACTGTATTCAAAGGGGACTGAGGCAAGAGTCAAACGGAGGCTGATTTGGCGGCTCAGTAAAATTTAATGACTGTTAACAATTTTTGGGCTAGCAAGATGGTTCAGAGGGCTTGGCATCAAGGTTGACAGCCTGAATTCAATGCCCAGAACCCATAGTTTAAGTTATTTTACTTCTTGTTGCCTTATAATTACCACTTAATAATGAGTAACTTCAGTTTTATTCATTCTTGATGATGACTTTACTATGACATGCCCATGAATGAAAAAGAACAAACAATGATTTATAGAATGTTTTCTGGTTTGTAGTCATGACTATCACGGACTTTGGTGCCCATATTTTGTATTTTGATGTGTTTAGTCGTTACAAAAAGGTAGTTGTTGGAATCTTGAAGTGGACAACTCAAATTTGAAAAGAGCTGACCCAGTTGCTCTCAACCTTCCTAATGCTGTTACTCTTTAGTACAGTTCCTCAAGTCATGGTGACCTCCAACCATAAAACTATTTTCATTGCTACTTCAGAACTGTAATTTTGCCTCTGTTATGAATCATAATATAAATGTCTGATATGTAGGATATCTGACTGACATGAGGCTCCAGTGAGAGGTTGTTTGACTCCCTCCCTCCCCCATGGGGTTACGACCCAGAGGTTGAGAAGCATTGGGCTAAGTTCTTATCAATAAAAACGATTAGCTTCATTCCATCCTGTGTTCCTCTCTCTGCAGATGATCCTGATTACTCCTTGGTTGAGGACTACACTTTGCTCTATCAGTAGCATCAGTGGCGGTAAGAGTCTTTACCCTTTCTTTAATCCTGTCCAATTGCATTTCTGAAGCCTTCAGATCATCTTTAGAACATCCCCAAGAAGCACGGTCTTCATCAGGCCAGCATCCTGGTGGGTGTGTTGTCCTCTGTCCCTTCAGGCTCACCTCTACAACTGGGAGCTGCCTGGAAACTTGTTGGAATGAGGGCGTTTCCCCTTTAATTTTCATTATTCTGTGACTCTCTGAATTTTTTTAGCCTTTTTGTAGTTTTTGCACACGCCTATGTTTCAGCACCCCCAGAAGCAGAACACACGTGATTCTCAGTCTTTCATGTATTCCTTATTCCCTGAAAGGGGAGAGGTCAGTGAAAACCATGTAAGTGGTATCACACTCACCAAACACAGGAGGATCGTGGGAGTCAGTCTGTTCCAGGTCACAGGTTATCATTACCTGAGCTAGCATATCACAAGGATTCTTGGATGAGAATTCAGCATTGCTAACCAATCAGAGCTATAGAGATGACCACACAGTGACTGGTTCTCTGGGCACTCAGGCAGTTGGCACATTTTCACAATGTGGAAAATGCCTCAGAAGTCAAAAACAATGGTAAATGAAATTCCCTGTACAATGTATTGCTTGCCGGGGCAGGCTGAGCCTTCGATGTAACAGTGTGGGATTTCAATAGCAAAGGAGGGGTTCTATTTCCCAGTAACTATTTCCATTTCCAGTCTGTCTTAGTTTCTCATTTGTCTGTGATGAGACAGTCTTACATTGTAGATAAAAACTATTTTAATGAGTTGAGCCATGGCCGAGCGGTGGTAGCACACACCTTTAATCCCAGCACTCAGGAGGCAGAGGTAGGTGGATCTCTGTGAGTTCGAGGCCAGCCTGGTCTACAGAACGAGTTCCAGGACAGCGTCTAAAACAATACAGAGAAACCCTGACCAAAACCAAGCAAACAATAAAAGGGTTGAGCCATTTTCATTTTCCTGATTGCATGTGCTTCTGGGAGCCACAGACAGTGAGTTGATGGATGCAGGATGCCAGGGAAGACCCGGAGAAGTGTCACTTCTGCTCCTCCCGGTATTGGTGACATTTACTGTCAGCAGAACAGGTTTCTGTTAGTCTTGTGTCCTAACCCACCAGAAATCACCAGGAGATTAGCATATCCAACATTATTTCCGGCCCCCAAGCCACCCACTTGCTGACTTAGCCCGAATTAGCTACACAGGACAGGAGCCAGGTTGTCAATAGGAATAATGAACTGGTATCAATTTATATTAAATAGAAGACCTTAAATTGCTTCATAAATATGTTTAAGGTGTGAGTAAGTTTGCTGTAAAAGAGATGGAAACTGAAGACATTAAATTTTCCATTCTCTAGCTAGGTGTACATATAATATAATATCAATTGCAGTCTTTACATCCTGTCAAAATTGCTTCTTCATAAGACTGCCTCTTTTTCAGAGCCCTGATTAGAGACAAAGCAGGGACATTGTGAATGAATCACTCACCAGGCAGATCTGCTTTCTGGTGCAAATGATGGCTGTGGGAAAAAGCACGGCCACTCCCAAAGAGCTTATTAAATATACATTATACATATATTTGTTATATATTTATATGAACTAATATTTTATGTCTTTGTTTCCTGTTGTTATCTAGATAAAGCATACACGCTACCGGCTTAAGACTAGTATTTGATATAGAACTCTAGTTCCCGAGAGTCCAGGAGTCTCATGTGTGAATGCCCGACACTAATGCCTATGCATTTAATGAGTAGAGTCTCGCAAACTGTATAATTTTAATGTCTGCACCAGCTCAATGAATAGGGGCTCAACGTGTTCACATATAATTAGCTGAATTTTGGAAAATCTAAAAGGCTTGCTTTCCCTTCCCCATCCCTTCTCTCCATGTGTGCAGGTGCCTGCCAAGTCCAGGAGGGGGTGCTGGATTCTCTGAAGCTGGAGTTACCAGTGGCTGATAGGTGCTGAGAACTGTGTTTAGGTCTTCTGGAAGAGCAACAAGTACTCTTACCCACTGGGTCATCTCTCTGACCTCAATTCCAGAGACTTTTAAGGAAAGGAACTTGGTTTAATTAATTCACTAAGCAATGCATTACACGATATATCTGACTGTAGCATAGGGGTTGAAATTTCATAGGAGACCTTAGGCATTAGTAATTTGTTCAATAGGTTTTGATTTCAGCTGTTACTCCTGTTTTTAATTCTAACATGCTTAATAAAGGCAGATGATAATTTTTGAATTAAAAATATGTGTATCAAAAATACCAGTGCCCGTGTTATTTCCATGAAGAACTTCCATGGTGACTGTGGTTCTCTCCTCACCCTTTGTTTCTTTGACCAAACACACTCATAAGTTGGCATGAATAGGTCATTCAAATGAAATGTCTTTGTTGTTTTCTTTCAGAAAGGAAAGCTTCCCCCAGTTACTGCTTCTATGACGTGAGAAGAGGCCCAGAGAACAGCATAATCTGTAACCAAATCTTGTCAATCATGAAGACTTTGATGGGAACCCTTGTTGAAAATTTTTTGATATTTTAAATTTATAGTAGACATCTGACTCAACCTAGCCAAGTAGAAGTCTGCAGAGTTCTTTTTTTTTCTTATCAGAAAGTTTACATACTGCCCCAGAAGGAAGAATTATTATTTCCTATGTAGTTACTGAGGTTACGAGTAGTGTTTCCTGCCTGGGAAGCAAGGCCACTCTGGATTCTGAGTGTTGGCTTGAACAGACAGGGCTGCAGAAGGTGGTGCCAACTGCTGAAGCTGCTCCTTGGGCTGGGGGAAGTAGGGCCACGGAAACAGTGACACCCCCTCTAAGTGGTGCAATACTTGAAATCACCTTTGTTTTTGCCTGAAAGACTTAGACACATCAGACTGAACTTGCTCATTTTATGGATGGGGAGACAAGACCCAGCAGGGTGAGATTAGTTTCCTTACAATCTGACAGCCAATGAGAGGAGACGGAACCAGACCCAGAGTATATGTTTGTCCTACAGTACTGTTCTTCTAGCCCTTTGTGAACCTGCCATGCTCATGTTCAAGTTAAAGAAGGGCTGGCAAGTTGGATCGGGGAGTAAAGGTGCTTGTGGAAGCCTGAGGACCTGGGCTCCATTGCTGGAACTCACATGAAGTGAAAGGAGACAGCCCACTCCACAGTTGGCCTCTGGCTTCCACACATGTGCTGCAGCACACACAGAGCTGTGACTGACAAGCATGCACTCTAGCCTGCACACATGTGCTGTAGCACACACAGAGCCGTGATTGACATGCATGCACGCACACACACATCCCTTGCTGTGCTCTGGAATGTTTAAAGAGGCATTCTTTATTTGGCTCTCCCTTTGTCACCCACACATGGCAGGGAGATCAGGCACTGTTTATGTGGTATTCACACCCAAGAAAGTGGCACACTTAGTTATGACAAAGTACGTTAGCACTGTTTCTTACTGGGCATGTTGTAAATGTCTGTGTCACTGCAAAGAACAGACATGCTCCTCTCCTCCATACAGTAGCTTTTCTGGGACTTTGGACAAATTGATTAAAATAGGATTGAAAGACGGGCATGGTGGTATCTGCCTGTTATCACAGCATGCTGGAGGCTGAGACAGGAAGATTGTGAGTGTGAAACTGGCCTAGGTACATAGTGAGAACCCATTTCAACCCTTCCCCCTACAAAGGATCGATTATTTCTCCTCTTTCAATATAAGACGTTCCCGGCCACAGCAGCTTCTTGTCATGACAGGAAATTTGCACCAGCTAGGCATCCTTTTGAGAAACTCAGGTTTGCAAAGGTCCATTGACTTCCCCAAACTGGAAAGCCTCAGGAAATTGTCTATTGCATATAGCACAATCTATTTTTACGTATATTATTTATTGTTGGCAAGCCCTCAGTGATAATTTTATTGCTTTTTTTCTGCTTGACGTGAAGTAAAATAAAAGTGATGATTTGGAATCTAATTGGATTCTTGTGCTAAACATACATCTCTTCTGAGTTTTACATATTCTCTTGAGTGTGTGTGTGTGTGTGTGTTTGTGAGAGAGAATGTGTGTGTAAGAGAGAGAGAGAGAGTGTGTGTGTGTGTGTGTGTGTGTGTGTGTGTGTGTGTGTGTGTGTGTGTGAGTTCAGGCTCCCACCACTGTGCATGCATGGAGGTCAGAGGATGCATGGGTGATGCTCGTTGACTTCCACCTTGTTTGACATGGGGTCTTCTCTTTGTTGCTACTGTATATGGCTGACTAGTTTTTTGAGCTTTTGGGGATTTTCTTGCTCTTACTTCTCACAATGTAGAAGCCCTGGGATTGCAGATGTGTCTTACCACATCTGGCTGTATGTGAGTTTTAGGGATCAGAATCCAGGTCCTCACACTTGCCCACTGTACTTTACCCACTGATCCATCTCTGAAGTCTTTAACCTCTCCCCTTTCTCTCATAGGTCTAAAAGACATCTGTAGCATCTAACAAAAGACACACTATGCCTCTTGTATTAAAATTTCATGAGAATGGCAATTAGGGAAGTATCTGAAAGAGTCCTTAGGGAAATGATAATGAAAAAGTAATTTGAGAAACACAAGTCTAAGGTAATGTTAAATGGAATTTTATATGATATATCAGGCATTCTATAAACTGGCCAGGCACTGTAGGTTAAAGGGCAAACCCATTCTTGAGGTCTGTCCTGGCAGGGAGAAGTTGTTACCTACTCCAGAGTGGATGAGATTTGATGACTTTATTTCACTGTTTGTCTTTTGGAGGGATGAGAACAGACTTAGAGTTCAGCGTCAGCACAGACAATCAGCAATAGTCACCAGGTCACATGGGTCAGTAGAGGGTCCTTGTACAGTCTCATTTCCCTAAGCACTGCCCACTGGGTGAGTTATCCCAGCCATGCATTTCTGCATCTTGCTTGCAGCAGCAATGACGATTCCCTTATAGTCACTAGTAAGAGTCACCAACAGGTGCACATTTTGTTGCTTATTTACATAACCCCACCCACTCACTTCTGCAGCTGTCTGCCTTCAGTCTTCAAACTGTTTTCTGTAGAGTGAAGCCTTCCCACCAGCCTAGTTCCAGAGCCACATCAGTCCCAAATGAACACACAGGAAGCTATATTAATTAAGAAGCTGTTGGCTGTTTGCTTAGTTTCTTACTGGCTATCTCTGACTTAATTGTTAATCTAAGTATTTCTCTTACTGGAGAAAGGGTCAGGACCCTTTACTCCTCTGGCGGTTATATCATGACTCCCTGTGTTTCTCTTTCCCAGAATCCTCCTCGACTCCTAGTCCCACCTATCTTGCTTCCCTATTGGCCAACAACCAATAAGAGACAGATTTCAGAATGACATCTCCCATCATCTCCTCTTTTCTGTCTAAATAAAAAGAAAGGTTTTAACTTTAACATAGTCAAATTATATATAACAGAACAGCTATCAAGTAAGAACATAGAATATTTTGTTCATTAACATTTAGTAAGATTTAAAGAAAATATCATCTATCCTATCTTTGTGAGTCTAAAGTCTTATATGTAACTTTTATCATAACTAAGGAAAACTATGATTATAACTATTTGTCTTCAACTCCATCAAAGACCACAGAAGAATAATATATAAACACTAGTATTGACAGAGACATCTCACTACCTGGACAGTCAGTCACCTGAAGTTCCTCTGTAACATTGGGGCATCCATCTTCAGCACAATGTGTCCAGAAGAATTCTCAGCAAAGCAGGAAATTTCAAACTGTCCATTTGCATTGGCAGTCTGTCATTCATTTTTCTGTGTCCTGCAGAAAGTCTCGAAGACTCTTATCAGGAACCCTGAAAGACTGTTTGAGTTCAGCAGTCACTTTCCTGTGGGTCCTGCATGTCCAGTTATACAGCAACAATCAAGCAGTCTAGGCAAGAGCAGTCTCTTGCCCAAATGGCTAATCTTGCCATGTTGAAAGCAAACTCCATAATGAGTCTCTTCGATGCCCATCTTCCTCTCAGACGTAATTGGTGTACCTGGACAACTGAAAAACACAATAGCATATAGTATCCAGACTTTCTGTGTATTTTCCAACTTTATGTGGCTTATATTACTCTATTTCTTTTACTTTTATTTATTTTTTCTCTGAGACAGGGTATCTCTTTGGAAATCTACCACCCTCTGCCTCTGGAGTGCTGGGATTAAAGGCGTATGCCACTACACCCAGCTACTCTTTTTGTTTATGTTTTCTTCCCCAGTGCTGGGATTAAAGGCGTGTATGTCACCACACCCAGCTACTTTATTTTTATTTTTTCAACATCTTGTTTCTTTTACTCTCCCAAGTCTACTTATATTTTTCTTCATCTGAATCTGACTTAACTGTAAAACTTTGTTTTTCTGGCCACGTGTCTTATATAGGCTAAAGAACATTGCTAAAATTAAAGCAGAAACAGCCTCTGCCTTTCCAACATGGCAGGTGTAAATTTGACTCCAGCTCATCGACTCAGTCTGTGCTGACATCCAGCAGCATGGTGCTGGCTTAGAGATGTGATCACTGCCACTGCCAGATGCTCATGCACATCATTCAATTGTTAGCAGAGCCTCTTAAAAGAACCTTGCTGTTTTTTTGTTTTGTTTGTTTTTGCTTATGCTGAGTTAGGAAGACTCCCTTAAGTGAGTCACATGAGTTTCTGCTTGTCTCAAGCAAAACAGAGCCCACCTGAAAAAAATGCTGCTATCAAGAAGCCATGCTTCTCTCTGTTCCTTTGTTTCTAAAATACCTTTTAAGCTCTTGTCATTCTACATGGAAATTCAATCCCACTCCTGACACCAGCTGATGTGGAAGGTCAATGCAATATGGAATCTAATATATTTATTTACCAGAATAAGAATTTACACACAAAAGGCTGGGGAGTCAGAAGCGTGGCAGGCTTCCAGGGGAAGAGAGGAGAAGAGGGATTGTTTCTCTTTCACTTCCGTTTATCTCCACCAGTCCTAAATTTCCTTATGCCCGCCCTTAGGGCGGAGAGCTTTGTGGGGCTCACCCCTACAGTCTTCCCTGTCCAGTCCATCAGTCCATGCATCATTCACCTTGGGTTGCTTCTCCCCTCAGTGTGTTGGTGACCAACTGGACTGATTGACACGGTACCTACTGGGAGTACTTCTTACCATCCTTGTTTTAGTCACTCTTGAGTTCTGCATTGTGGCAGCAGGCCACATTCTCAGAAACATGAGTGCAGAGAGGAGCTATTCTTGAGCTGTACCTCAGCTTTTCCCTCCTCTGTCAGCTGGGTTGAAGGAATTTTTTATGAGACCACAAGTGTGAGCTAGAGAGGCATAGGTTCAAGAGAAGAAGGTAATTGATGCCTCAGGTTGAAGTCATGTATCCCAAGCTTGTTTGTTTGTTTGTTTGTTTGTTTGTTTGCTTGCTTGCTTCCTTCCTTCCTTCCTTTCTTTCTTCCTTCCTCCCTCCCTTCCTTCCTTCCTTCTTTTCGAGACAGGGTTTCTCAGTATTGTTTTGGAGGCTGTCCTGGAACTCGCTCTGTAGACCAGGCTGGCCTTGAACTCACAGAAATCCCCCTGCCTGTTTGTTTGTTTTTCCCAGACAGGATTTCTCTGAGCCTCTCCTGGCACTCTATCTGTAGATCTGTCTCTGTCTCCCCAGTGCTGGGATTAAAGGCATGTGCCACCACTGCCCGATCTACTCTGAGCTTTCTATATTTGCTTACGACAGAATCAGAATGCACCATTTTATTTTCTACCCTCCTTTTGGAAACAGGCTCTTGCTGTGTATCTGAGATGATCTTCCCACTTCTGCCTCCAGAGTGCTGAGGTGACCTTAAACATAGGATCTTAAACATAGTGCTGAGGTTAGAGGTGAGTGCCACCACTCACAGGCAGAATGTGCCATTTCCATTTCGTGATGTATAACTGATGGGTCTGCCAGACATAGGACTCATGGATCTGAAGAAACTTAAGCTGTGTAGAAGTGACGTGATTTCTTTTCATATTCATATTTACTTTATGCTCTTACAAAATGCATCGGTTTTTGTTAATCTCTTTGCACGCTGCTACAGCAGTTTTCTGCCTCTTCTGTCATTCTCCTAGTGTCCCCAGCTTGTGATTGCCATCAGTGTGGGGGCAGCAGCTGGTAGCAGCCAGCTTCCACTGCTCAGTTCTTAGGATTCTGCTTGCCCTGTGTTTTAAATGCTAATGAAGCTGCATAAGCTCTTTTACCCGAATTCCTCCCTGATGATCCAAGAGAGGCCTCAGTGAAGGTGAGGCTGCTACGCAGATGACATCACCATCCACCTCCAGGGAGACCTTGTCTTCTGGCTGGGTGGGAGCAACAGTTACACCTGTTCTGGTGATGCCTGTCTTAGCTTGAAGTCACCAAAAGGAGATCCCGGGAGAGGGATTTGAGTCTCATGGTGTGTGTAGGAAGTGAGTACATGAAACAGCAGCAGAAGAGGTAGGGATGAGAAGGACATGGATAAAGAATGTTCTTCGAAGGGCTGGCCAGATGCTTCAGTCCATTGCCAAGCCTTGAACCTATGAGAGAAGGAAAGAAATGATGCCTGGGGTTGGAGCAATAGCTCAGTGGTTAAGAGCACTGGCAGTTCTTCCATCGGACCCAGGTTCAATTTCCAGCACCCACATGGCAGCTCACAGCTGTCCGTAACTCCAGTTCTAAGGGATGACATCGTCACACCAATGCACACAAAATAAAGTTAAATAAATTATTAAAAAAGAATTGATTCCTGAAAGTAGTGTTCTGATCTCTGCACATAGATATGCCCCTGTACACACACACACACACACACACACACACACACACACACACACACACCCTTGGAAGTGTGCTATTAAGTAAGTTGCATTTGTGAGAAACTGAGCTTTAACTTCCTTGAAAGAAATTGGAAAACAGCACAAAGCACAGAGGTGAGTTAGTCTGACCAAAGGATGACAGTGCTAGATGTTTGTACTAGAAAGTTGGAATTCTGAAGTACTATAAACTGGGTGACTTAAGCTGAAGAGATCTCCTGCCACAGTTCTAGGACTGGAAGTCAGAAATCAAGGTGTAGATTGGTTCAGTCTGAGCACAGTCATGGAAGGGTGTCATGTGGGCCTTTCTCCTGGAATTGTCCATAGCCATCTTTTCTTTGTTTTCCTTCTATGACTGTCTCCTCCTCCCCTCCTCCTGCTCCTCCTCCTCTTCTTCTTGGACAACAGTTGCACTGAAGATTCACTCTTAGGATCTCATTTTTACCTCGATCACCTGTCTTCAAACAAAGCCTGCTTCTGATGTCCTGGGGCTTTGGACTTCAGTGGTAGCATTTGACGAAGGGACACAATTTAGCTCATAGTTACACTTATCTGCCAACTCCCAATGTCATCAGTTGAAGGTGGGTCTCGGTTTGCCTTGTTTTCCTGTCATGTATGTGGCAGAAGTGGGCTCAGGCAGAGTAGTTGGGCTTGGGTCCTACTCACTCAGAAATGTAAATGCCTGCTGGGTGTGGTGGTCATGGCCTGTAATCCCGGCATTTTGGAGACTGAGGCATGAAGATCAGTAGTTCAAGGCCAGTCTCCTCTACAAAGGAAGTTCAAGGCCAGACTGGGCTTCATAAACCCATGTCTAGAGAGGTCGGGGTGGGGATACAGGGCGAGGTTTGTAGCTCGGGTGTACCTGGTCTGCACGAAGCCCTGGCTTTGGTTGCCGCCGTTAGCATAGTGGTGCACACCTATATATCTCAGCATTTGGGACACGGAGGTGAAAGGATCAGACGTTCATGGTCTTTCTTTGCCGCATAGTGAGTCTGAGGCTGGCCTGGGCAGATTGAGAGAGAGGGACTTGTTGTGTCTGCCCCACATTTGATGCTTTGAGGTTGTAAATAACTAATTCAATGGCCTAGCTTCTTATCTTTTTCTTTTTCTTTTTCTTTTTTTTTTTGTGGAGAAGATTGTGAGAGGGAGAATAATAGAAGAAGGATATTTTGTTTGTATGTTTTTCTTCCTGAAGAAACAAAAGTCTTTTAATGGAAGAGATCACATCTGTGCAGGAGTCCTGTAAGATACATATGTGAGCTGGACACTTTTAGCTTACATGCTGATTGACTCAAGACTGAAATAAATGCTTCTAGCTTATATTAGTCTGTTTCCACATCAATTTCACAACATGTATTTAGTAATCAGGAATGATAAAATAAGGCCTCCTACAGGGTGCTGTGTGGGAAGTAATTGACAACAAGAATGAATAACTTCTCCAAAATCCTGTGTAGAAATTGTTACTAATGGGGAATAACCACCAGAGGGCAGCAGAGATCCCAGTATAGAGTTGCCCACCCAGGCCTCCAGCAGGAGCACAGAAACTTTCCTTTGAACCCTTTCATGCAAGCCCTGTTCCAGACACCAGCAGACTTCTACATCATGCTCATATTAAATTTTGTAATGCCATTTCATGAGAATTATAGTCCTTTTATGGATGACCTACTCCTGTTTTCATTTGATTGGATTTTTCTCTTGAGGTGAAAAGTATTTTACTGTCTCCAAGTTGAAATGACAATTAATTCAGCCTATTAGAGGCAAATTTGAAAAAATATTTATAAAAATTAAGAACAAGACAGTCTCTTTGATTAACGAGTTTGAATCTATGATGTATCTTATACACATGCAGACTGGGTATGGTGACACAAGCTTGTAATTAATCCTAGAATTTGGGAGGCAGAGGCTGTAGGATTTCTGTGAGTTCAAGGCCAACATGGTCAACATACATAATGAAACCCTGTCTCAAAACAAAACAAACAAGCCAACAAATAGAGTATACACATATGTATATATGTGATGTGTACACACGCACACATGTATATATGGATGCACACACTCCAACACACACCACACACACACACACACACACACACACACACACACACACAGAGGAAAGTAGGAGGACCATTTGGGAAGTGGAGCAGGGATCATCAGAGTTAGTTCTACTTTGCAGAGCAAGTGGTAGGTGGCACTCAGAACTTTAAGACCAAAAACAAACTGGATGGTAGTAGGGGTGTTGCAGACTGGGGAAAGATCAAGAAAATGCTATGAATAGTGGTAGGATTAGTGACATCTGTGTGGAGTTGTGGGAACTCAGGGAGCTGAAGCAGGAGGATGACTTGAGCTCAGGGAAATGATGAAAAGTTTTACTTAAGTACGTCTACCTTAATCAAAGTGTCACATGGCATCCCATAAACAGATAATTGTATGTACCAATAAAATAAGGAAAGCAGAGTATATAGATAGATCTGCCTAGGTTACATGAAGGTAATATGCCATTTTGTATGAGGGCCCGAGTGTCCTCATTTTGGTATTCCTGAAGGTGGAGTGTCAGAGGTGTGATGTGGGATGTGGGTCCTGGAGTCAATTCTCCAAGGATTAGTGTATAGAAATCCCAGGACTATCAAGTATATTCACATTCTAGGGAGCTTGATAATTTTTGTTGTTGTTGAGGATTTGGGTTCTTAAAACTGGGGATGCAGCTTTACTGTACAGCACTCACAAAGTTGGTGTCCTGGACTCAATCCTCAGCACCATGAAACAAAACATCTATCTCCTCCAAATCCCCCACTCCAACCTACCAAGCCACCTTACATGACTAGGGACAAGTCATCATGCAGGGGCCAATATAGCTTCGGTGTTGAGCACTTACTTGACATATACAAGGCCCTGAGTTCAAATTCTTAGTACCACATAAGACACTAAATATTTACCTACAGGAAAAACTGCAGGGAAAAGTGGCACAAGCCTTTAATACCAACACTCAGAGGCAGAGGCAGGTGGCCTACAAGGTGAGTCCCAAGACAGCCAAGACTATACAGAGAAACCCTGTCTTGAGAAAAACAGAGAGAGACAGAGACACAGAGAGAGAACATGAAAGAAACAAGATACCCTTTCCCCTTTTGATAGGCTTGCCTTTTAGTCCTGGCTGTCCTGGAACTTGCTCTGTAGACCAGGCTGGCCTCAAGCTAGGAGATCTACTTGCGTCTGCTGGAATTAAAGGCCTGTGCCACCATGCCTACGCCTTTCCATTTTTCGTGCCATAATCCTGGAATTTTCATTTTAGGGCACCTTCAGAGTGGGTGATTAGTCATTCCCCCAACCTGTAGACTCCATGTGTTCTGCCCCCCCCCCAAACCCAACTCCTACTCATTGGGTCCATTCATCAGATATTATCTACAATGTGCTGACTGTTGTTTTGGAGGTACTTGGGATATATCAGAGAAGGAATTAGCCTTTTTCTGAGAGCTGACCTTCCAAGAGGGGTGACAGATCCTACCAATAAACAAACACAAAAGTGAAGTATAGTACTTTAAGAGGTGCTACATGCTCCTGGAAAAGAAATCAGAACTGTGACAAGGAGATGAAGCCAACTTTCTTTTTTTCTTTAAAAAAAAAGTTGTTGGTGACGCATGCCTTTAATCTTAGCACTCAGGAGGCAGAGGTAGGTTGATCTCTGTGAGTTCGAAGCCAGCCTGGTCTACAGAGTGAGTTCCAGGACAGGCTCCAAAGCAATACAGAGAAACCCTGTCTCAAAAAAACAAAACCATTCCCCTCCGCCCCCCCCCAAAATCTGGAATCGTCGAAAGAAAGCGTGAAAATGTACACTGAATTCTTCTCCGGTCTTGCGTCTTTCAACCTTTTAGTCTGTTCTTGGAGCAGCTATTCCTTTTCTAGCCGGCAAGTTTGTACAGTAACGCTAGTATAGGGATGCCTGCTGTTATCAAGTGCCCTCTGCAATGAACTCATGACACCGAGATGAAGAATCAGCATCCCCTTCTACAGAACAGCAGACTGGAGTGCGCTTTGAATGGACGTCAGTTTTCTTTCCGGAAATGTAATGTAGATTTAGTTATTTAGGGATGAAAGTCAATTTGCCAAGGCTTTTTCTGGCACTTCATGATCCAGTCTGAACACCTCTCTCTGCAGAGCTGCGGAGGCAGAGGGATGCTCTGAGTGCCACCCTGCGGCCAGCGGCAGAGGCACAGGCTGCGGCTCAGAGGGCGGGATCGGAGGCGGGGCGAGGCGGGACTGGGGCGGGGCCCTCCCCGCTCAAGCAGTCTCTGGGTAGTTTGTTCCAAGTCGCAGCCCGTACGGGGCTCCTGTTGCCGCCTCCCATCCCCAAGTGGTGGAGGGCTCGTCACGTGACAGCCGGAGGCCGGAACTGGGCGTCTTGCGTGAATTGCAGGAGTTTGACAGAAACAGACGGCGACGTCTCGGAGGCAGGGTGTATGGCCGAGGCCGTGAAGCCCCGCCGGGCCAAGGCCAAGGCCAGCCGGACCAAAGGCAAGGTGAGGATGGTGTCGCTCGCACGCGAGCCCCCTGCTCCCCGCGCGGAGCCGTGGGGTCCTGTGCGGCCGGGCGGCTGTCAGGGCCACTTGGCCGTCTCCCGTCCTGACCCCTCTGGGCTTTTATCTTCTGCTCATTTTCTCGGCTTCCCACACCAAAGCCTTTTCCTCCCGAGCCCCATTTTTGACTTCCTAGCGTGCCCTTTGTAACATGGGAACATTCCCAGCCTCTGGAAACGCTCGGAGAAGGTACAGTTTGTGGATAGCAGGGATGTGCCAGTCCTTCGTTTTCAAAATCCAGGGCGACAGTGTTATCTCCTATGAACCTGGTTGTTTACAGTGTGGCATGAATATCCGGAAGTCAGCCCAGGGCAGAGCCCACACAACAGGGATGGGTTTCTTCGTTTTCAAAATTCAGGGAGACAGTGTTATTTCCTATGAACCTGGCTGTTTACAGTGTGGCATGAAGACCCAGAAATCAACACAGGGCAGAGCCCACACAGTAGGGATAGGTTTGGATTTTTTGGATTGTTGCATGTCATTAGTGTGGTTTTAAGTTGACTTGTTTTTAGGTACATTTTGAAGTTTTCTCTTTGCTCCTATATACTAGTTGCAGTGAACAAGTTAAATTTTACACCAACGTAGTGGTGGGACCTATCTAAAATGTACCTATATATTTAAACAGGAGTTTTAACCTGCCTCTGCCTTTGAGTTTCACGGATTAAAGACATGCCACCATGTCTGGCTACCAAGTCTATATAACTTTGCCTTATCCAAAGCAGAATTTACACGAACTGAAATGAACATTGAATATGGTATAGGAAATTTCTTTCCACAGTATTGGTGATGCTACTAAGCCCAAAGTATAACTTTGTGTGTGTGTGTGAACGAGTTTTAACAGTGATTTCTGGGAACTTTATTTAATAGAATGTAAATGAAATATGTGGATCCCTTTCTGTAAAGCAGTATGGAGTTAGGTACATCAGATCAGAAATTTCTTTTTCTTTTCCTTTTTTAGAGACACACACACACACACACACACCCACACCCACCCACCCACCCACCCAGGCTGGACTTGAACCTGTGCCTCTTACCTCAGCCTAGAAACATTACTTTTCAACACACTGTTTTTTTTTTTTTTAACTTTGGGTACTACGACACTTAAAAAATAGAGAAGCTTCTGTGTGTATGGTAAGGGGCCTGAGTGCAGACTTGGGTGGGCATTGTACAGGTGAATGTGTGTGGCCCAGAGGTCAGAGGCCAGTCTTGGGTATTGTTCTTCAGGAGGAGCTGGTCCCTGTGCTTTTTGAACAGAGTCTGTGGCTGGATCCTGGGGATTGCTGTTTAGTTTGGGCTTGTTGGGGGCCGTGTCCTAGGATCAGCTTGTGGGTTCTGGGGATGGAACCCAGTCCTCGTGTTTCCATGACACTTTACTGAGTGTGTCACCTTCCCACCCCGTCAGAAACATTTTAAGAAAAATAATTTTGCAACATATTGGTTTGATAAAGAACTACAACAAACAGTTAACCAGCTGTACATAAACCCTTGGCCCTGGCATGTAGTAATTTATACCATGAGTTATCCATAGAGAACAGAATCTTGAATCCTAATTTTTCCTTATTTCCTCTCCAATAAGTGATGAAATTAAAGCCTAGACAGGTTAATGACTGTCCTAAATCATGATATTAGCATGGTTTAACTTAGTGGAAGCCAGAAATTGTGCCTTTCTGTTCAGTAGCTTAATCATTATTTTACATATGCATCTCTCTGTCCAAAGATAGCATATTACAGCTGCCTAAAAACAATCAGTAAAGAGGATTTTTTCTTTGTCTCATATAATTTCTAAATTAAAAATGAGAATCTTAAGTTTTTAAGTCTTATGAAAAAAAGAAATCATGTATTTTATCCACATATTTCAGGCAATTTTCCTACATACACATTCAGTACTCTATTTTCTCAACTGTTAAGCTTATATTAAAGCTCATTTCCAAGACATTTGCTTCAGTTAGAAATCTCATGCACACTTTGTCCCTGTCCTCCAAATCTAATTGGTCACTAAGAGTTGAATTTCCTGCATGATCTGGTTTGCCCATTACTCTCCATCATAACTGTCACAAAACTCAGAACAAAGCAAAAAAAAGTTTCACCCCCCCCCCAAAAGTCCCAAAGCTTTCCCGTTTCGCAGAGGCTGGGCTTGGGAGCACTAACTTAAGGACTCTAGCCTCAGCTTTCTCTTAGCTTCTGTCACCCACATCTTGATCTGTGTATTTTCCTGCTTTGGAGCCTCTGCTTCACACCCTTCCAGACTCTTCCTCTGCCTGGCTACTGCCTGTTGTCAGTGTCCCAGTTTACATCGTGCTCACCCAGAGCTTTCCCTTATCATTTTTGTGTTACTCCCTCTGTCAGTAACAATTTCATGTCCCTCTTCTTATTTGTAGCAACTTTGCCAGCTGCTGTCCTCTCTCTCAGACAGTGAACTCGATGAGTGAGGGATTACTCTTGTTCCCAGCGGCTCTCACAACTCCTGTGGTCACCTGATAAAGTTGACTGAATTAAAAAAAAACCCAGCATTTCCAAGAGCACATTTCCAAGCTCTGTCATTGAAGAATTTAGTAATTTTTCTTCAGAACTAGTATAACAAAACAGATAGAAAATGTCCACAACACCAGCAAGACCCTCATGCTTGCCAGTCTAAGAAAATCAATTTGCTTTAGGGTGAGTAGATGCACTTGTTAATGCTGTCTATTATCTGGCCATGACTATAAAGTCCTATTTCATTGGAACTTGACAGTACTATATTTTATCATCTATGTATGGATCCATGAACAGGTTGCAAGGCTTAGTTCAGAAAGTGGAGTGTCATGTGCTGTTGTGTTTAGATTGCTGTCACTTCTGGATTTGTCTTAGTACTGGCCTACATTCCTCAGTGTTAAATATCTGGTAGGTGACCTCAGGATGACAGGTTGTGGTTAGGTATCTGGAATTTACTATTGGATACTTTAGATGTAGCCCTAATAATGTTTTTATTCTATTAGCATGATTCTTTGTAAGAACATTTCCCTACCTCTGACGATCTGTACTTCATTTATCTTAGTAGACTTAGGTTAAGAAGAACATAATCTTAGGCTTGGATTTGCTCTGCAGACTTAATGGACTTTATAGTAAGGCAGAGTGCTGGTGCATGTCTGCAATCCCAGCAATCAGCAGACAGAAAGAGTGTGAGTTCCAGGCCAGCTGGCCTACATAGTGAATTCTAGGTTAGCTTGGTGTTATGTAACAAGACCCTGTCTCGAAAAATTGTACTAAGTTCTAAATTCCAACAACCAATAAGAGCATCTAGTAATGGATAGGATGAGTTAACATGCTTCCTGCTTAACCCTTCCCGCCCATTCCTGTGGTTCATTCCCCTTGCTCTATTGCCTAGGTGATTAATTCCTTTTTTCTTCTAGGCATGCATTGTGATTGGAATAAAGATGAGCAATGCTACATACTATCATTTAGCCTCTTTTTGCCTCCCAAGATCCAGTCATTATTGAATACATAATGCCTACTTATTGCTTCCCCAAAAATGATTCTTGGCATTTGGGATATAAGAGAAAATCTTCTGGCCTCAGTGGTGCTTATAGTCTGGAGTAGAACCTTCCCATGAGTGTTTAAGAACAACGTAACTGCATGGTTACTTCCATATTGCTTAAGGATGTACATGTTACTGTGCACATGCACAAACAAAAGTGGACATTCCAGAGTTCCGTAACTGTTGGTGACGGCTTGTTGTGTGTCCTAATTTAGCTGCCCTCTTCTGCCTTACCATACATAGCTCTTCGGGGCATTTTACTGTGGCAAGCCCAAGGTTCAGGAGTAAGTACAAGTATTTCTAAGATCAGAATTTTGATGTAAAAGTTTTAAGAAAGAATGTAAGTTGTGAACAGAAACACAGGCAAATTCTCAGAAAGAGACAGTTGTTCCCCTCAGAAGGCACAGAATGCATTAATAGCAGTTAAGAGAATCTACCTGGGGCTGGAGAGGTGGCTCAGTGGCAGAAGCTATGCTGTAGCCTCTGAGAACAGTGCATAAATGTTTGCAAATGGACCTCCTTATGGCAAGGCCCTTTGGAGAGTCCTGCACACCTGGCAAGGACCGTGGCTGCGATGCTGCAGACCTCTGTGCTGACCCTGGGGAGGTCATGGTCATGCGCTTCAGGCCTTTCTAATTTTCGCTATGCTTACTCCTATGGTAATTCTTAGTTTCGCTTGTAGTTGTGATTGTGGCTGAGTTTACTAGGAACAAAAGCTGACAATTTTAATAAAGTTCTACAAGGAAATTAAGCCTCTTTCCAGTCTATCACAGAAACCGGTTCCTTCGGTTGCTCTTGGCTGTGTTCACAAGCAGGAGGAACTCACTAAGGTTAATGATTCTTGCTTACTTAATTGTTCCAAAAAAGAGATAACTATATTCCAAGAACGTAAGAACTTGGGAGATGGTTTCCTAAAGGATGACTTTAAAAACTTATAGGAACATATAAGAAAAAGTTAAAGGACATGAAAAGTTCGACATCCATCTGGTGCCAGGGCATGAATGGTTAGACATTTTTCAATGCCAAAATATCAATAAAGGAATCTAAAACTCCCAGTTCTCTTGGAAGTAAAAGTACAAGTAGAAACTGCTAAGAAGAATGAAAACTTTATTAATCCTTACCATTCTGAGAATATATGAGGAATAGGATTACAACTGCTGCTCCCATAAAAGTGATATTCAGACTGTTTAGAAATTGATTTACATCTAAAAAATATTTCAAGCATGGCATCATACTCTCAGCCGACTACAAAAATATTAAAGTATCATATTGTTAAGAACTAATCATAGGGCTTGAATGTCTTTCATTTTTGTAACTTCATGTTTGCAGTGGCCCTGGGCACAGTATGAATAAGATGTGCCTGGCTAGATAAAATTATTTGGCTTGTAATATAAAGTTAATGCTTACTTATTAATGAAAACAAGGGAGTGGGGGAAGATGAAAAACTAAATGGTTAAATGTTAACAATTCTTGGAAAATGATCAAAGAGAAATGAATTGAAACTGCTCATGCATGAACATACTAGAACTTATATAAATAAAGATGGCTTGAGCTATTTAGGGCCATCTATTTGAAAGACAGCCAGTGGTCAGACTCTTCATTTTTTGCTGACTTCACACTTCCATCCTGTGGCTCAGAATCCCACTGGAGCTGGACTCTGGCATCTTAGCAGCTAATAGCACTGGTTGTTCTTGCAGAGGACCTAGGTTTGATTATCAGCACCCACATAATAGTTCACAACCATCTGTAACTCCAGTTCCAGGGGATAAGACATCCTCTGCAGCACCAGGCACATACATGGTACACAGGCAAAACACATATACACATAAAAATAAATAAATCCTATTATGATTAAAATAGTAAAAGAACTTACTTGGCCTTGTTTCATGGGTACTTGTATGGTGCTGTGTTTGAGTAGGTAATAGGTGAGCTGCCCACCATCTTGGTAGGCAGTACATTTTAATCCTGCTTGCCCTTCCTGAGGGTAAGTCATCACAGACCTCCTGGGTCAGCCCCAAGTAGTTAGGGTTTGACTGTTAGAGAAGGGGTGGGGTTTGCACTTTCATTTTTGTCCTTTTGTCTCCAGTTAAGTGTGTTATTCTGTATTCATTATTGACTTACATTTCCCTAACACTTACAGATTTTTTTGAATGACTTTATTTTAGTTTTTATCTTTTGGTTGTTCTGGGGGTTGGCCCCAAGTCTTCTTGAATGTGAGTACTGTCCCAACCCTGGATGGTTTTAAAATTGTTTCTTTATGTGTATGCAGCTTGTGTGGAGGTAAAAATGAACAAATGCAGGTTCTTTTTAATCTGCTTGACTCTTTTATATATAAGACATGTCTTTTGGGCTGGAGAGCTGGCCCAGTGGTAAAAAGCCCTTGCTGCTCTTGCAGAGGAGCTGGGTCTTGTTTACAGCACCCGTGCTGCGGGGCTTACAACCTCTTGGAACTCTAGTTCCAGGAAGCTGCTACCCCTTTCTGGCCTCCATTACACGTATGTGGTTCACATCCAGACAGACACACATACATATACATAAATTAAAAAGAAAAAAGACAATTTCTTAAGATTGCCAAAGACATGAATTTTTATGCTAGTGTCTTGATAACATTTTGATTCGTTTAAATTTTATTTCACTATCTGTGATTGTGCGTATATTCACAATATGCCTTCTGGTACCTTTTTTTTTTTCTACCTGTCTAAAGTTGGCAAAGTAATTGGAAGCTAACTATCTTTAGTCAAAATGGAGTTGCAGTAGATTCCCACCTTGGTATGAAAGTTCACTTCTAAATTTATTAGGGAGCTTACACATAGTCATATGGAGAAGAGGAGGAAGCACCTTTGGAGGGTACATTCCTGTAACTGCATCTCATTTTAAAGTTTCTGAGTATGTTCATTAGGGTCATAGTTACAGAAGAAAGTGTCGCAGAAAGGGCCACCCCCATCTAAATTGGGTGATATTGTAAAGGTAGTGGGGGAGGTTGATTCCCTGAGTGCATGTGAGCCCACATCGCAAATGCTCAACAATCATGGACTCACTGGTCGTTTTTTGTTTACATTATCAATTGCTGATAGCTGTGGTGGCTGGAATCGGCACTTCAGTCTTCAGGAGGTTCCCTGGGGTCTGTTCATGGTTGCCACATGTTACTAAGGAAACTTATGAATAAAAGAATTTAGAACTGCACTCAAAAGGAAGCTCAGGGACAGTTTTATTAGAGTTTAGGAGAAACTAAAGGACAGGTTAGGTTTTAAGTTTGGCATGAAATGGAGTCAGAGAGCTCCTTAAGAAAGGGAAAAGCACTCCTAAGAATGGAAGTGGTTAGTGAGCTGAGGAAAGAGCCCCGGTGTCAAAATTTAGATATTTATATGTGGTTTAAACATTCTTCACCTGAAATCATCAGCTATTGTTGTATTTCATACCTTGCTTTTAGGAAAAGAAGAAATATGAAGCCCCTCAGACTTCTGATGAAGTTTCCCTTCCAGATTCTTCTAGAGAGCAGGAAATCCCATCTCTAGTTTGTGAACTCAGAGAGGATCTGCAAGTGTCAGTTGATTCCCAGCTCCACAAGGATGTCAGTGGATGGAATGAAAGTGAGATGTTTGATATACCACTCACCTCCTTGACTGTAGGTGATGAAGGGTCCCTGATAGGTGACACAGAGGATCTAAAAGGAAGGGGAGAGACAAGAGCCCCTGATGGAGATGATGAAGTGAAGTTGAAGGTCGACCCTGGCGACAATGTCAGAACTAAAGTCGAACCTTCCAAGAACTTTACAGAGGTCAAGGAAAGCCTGCTAGCACCACATGGACCTTCAGAAAGCACACTGCAGGCAGATTTTCCCAGTTCTCAGCAGGGAGTGGGAAGTTTACAAGTCAGAGACACTGAGACTAGGAAAGAAGATGAAGAAGCCGGTGGTGGTTCAAAGGTGCTTCAGAATGCTACCTTGCACAGTTCTTACGAAGCCAAAGAAGTTTCTCAGCCACCTAGAGTGAAGAAATTGTATCCTGAATTGCCAGCTGAGATTGCAGAAGTACCAGCTTTGGTGGTGGTGAAACCTTTGCTCTGTAGTGAGCGGCTCTACCCAGAACTCCCTTCTCAACCAGAACTAGTACCATTTACTAAAGAGCAGCTAAAACTCTTGGAGCCTGGCTCATGGCTGGAAAATGTTGAGTCGTATGTAGAAGAATTTGACAGCGTTGCTCATCAGGACAGGCATGAGTTTTATGAGTTGCTTTTGAACTACTCACGATGCAGGAAGCAGTTGCTGTTGGCTGAAGCCGAGCTGCTTACTCTGATGTCTGATTGCCAAAATGCCAAAAGCCGACTGTGGACCTTTAAGGATGAACAAATAGCTGTGCAGGTATTTTGACTGTGTGTCAAGCTTCAGGGCTTGGGGGAATTGGTAGTTGAGCTGCCTTTCCTCTGGTACTGTCCAGGATTCGGTCTGTGTGTTAAATCTACACTGGCCCTGGCTCCATCAATCCAGGAATCACAGGATCGAATGGCCACAGGGGCAGGCATTAATGTGTAGGTGAGGGATTGAGTAGGATAGTGTCAGTGGAGAAGCACCTGCCAAGTCTAGAGGGGACAGCAGCTCTTGACATCTAGCTGACTGCTGTATGATTGTGATATGTTAGATTGCTACATCTTAGGATTTTTCAAGAGGCAGGAATCTGGATTTTTGCTTGAAGGATTCTAACTGGCATACGGCTAAATGACTAAATACAAATATATGCAGACATATATTGTGCACAGTCTAAGCCAGCAAACCATGTCTCAAGGTACAATTCAGCCACAGACTATTGTTTTATATTGTGGTAGAATGTAATGCCACAGATATGCAGTGAGTAGAGTGTCCTGATTGAGAGATAAGGAAATAAGAAAGTCCATTAGATGTGATATCCACCCCCCCCTCCCCCCCCGGCCAGCGCCACCATGTATTAAGGGCCTGGGTGGGATGGCTAATTAGAGAAGGCCATTTTTGACAAGTTTGGCACAGAAGGGAAGCTGGAAGAGATACTGATGACACATGATTTGCTGGCCCCTGCCTTTCATTTGTGTGGAGGCTTGTATATCTTTTTGGAAATACTGAAAAAGAAAGGGAGGCTGGAGAAAAAGCTCAGTGGAGAAGAAATAAGAGTACTTGGTTTGAATTCCAGCATGCATGCAGCAGCTCATAACCTAGTAACTCCAGTTCCACGGGACAGTGGCCTTCTTCTGACCTCCATGGACAACCAGACATGCATTTGGTGCACATACATACATGCAGATGAAACAGTCATATACATAAATAAAGTCTAAAATAAGAAAAGAAAATGAAAGGATATACTTAAGAGTATGGTGGGGCTAGAGATGGCTCAGTGGTTAAGAGCACTGACTGTTCTTCCAGAGGTCCTGAGTTCAATTCCCAGCAACCACATGGTGACTCAAAACCACCTTGATTGAGATCTGGTGCCCTCTGCTGGCATGCAGGCAGAAGACTGTATGCACAATAAATAAATAAAATATTTAAAAAAAAGTATGGTGGGAGGAATTAATAAAGGAGAGGATTCCTTTTGTACAAAGCCATAAAGAATGAGGTGGATCTAGAGGTGTTTTGGGCTACTGTGAAGTTGAAGGATAGGGCATTGACCTCGGTATTCTTAGCACAGAAAGTAAGATACCAGCTGTGAGAGTTTTAGGACAAATGTTACTGTTTCCCTGATGACTTTCAAGGTTACTCTTTACAGAACTTGTCATGTATTCATGATTGGCAATGTTCCCTTTCACATGGCCATTATTTGCTAGTATTGTTTTGTATGTGTAGTGGTGGCCCCTCACTGTGATTATAAGCTTTTTGGAAATGGTGCCCAAGCCTGTGTCTTACACCTGCTGCCTGGCTACATCAAATGCGGCTGGTTTCATGTTTCATCCTTTATCTGCCGGTAGGGTATCTGTGCAGATCAAGTGAAAGTTTATGGTCATCATCACTACCAGAGAGTAGAGATGAATGAAAATGTCCTGGGAGAACTGAAGAAGCTATTTGATGCCAAATCTGAGCACCTCCACCAGACCCTGGCCCTTCATTCTTACACTTCTGTGCTCTCGAGGTTGCAAGTGGAGTCGTACATCTACACGTTGCTCAATAGCTCAGCTGTTCTGAGATCTTTAGCCATTTATCAGCAAGACCAAGGTAGGTAAAGAGTGAGCTTCCCTCTTAAATGTGGAAAAGAATTGAGGGTATAACCTGTGTGAGTTGACTGGATACTAATTGGTTTCACATGGTATCATTGTGTGTTTTTCTTTCCTTGCCCCTTTAACCACAATGTTTACTGATGTTTCCTGAGTAGTATGAGGTCCCCTTTCCCCATGGCTGTCATTCCTCTCCTTTAGGAAGGCAAAAATATGCCTTTCTTTGCCTTTGCTAAGTAGTGTCAAATGGCATTTGATCTGAAATCTAATCATCAGGTTACCTTTTCTTTTTTTTCTAATTTATTGTTATTATTTTATTAGATTCATTTTTATTTTATGTGTTTGAGAGTTCTGCCTACATATATGTCTTTGCACCATGCCTGGTGCTGCAGAGATCAGAAGGTGGCGTTGGATCCTTTGGAACTGAAGTTAGGGATGGTTGTAAGCTGCCATGTAGGTGCTGGGATTCAAAACCTGCATGGGTTCTCTGCAACAACAAGTGCTCTACACCCTGAGCAAGCTCTCCATCCCCCAGAGTACCTTCTCATTCTCCTGTATCTCTCTTGCACTTTATTTATTTATCTTTGGTTTGTTCACTTTCTTGTTTCTTGAAATTTTAACTGATGCTCTATAATGTTCTGAAATAGAAATTTTAATTTCTTTCTTTTTTCATGGTAGTTACCTGCTCTCCCTTGAGCCTTGTTCTCAGTCCTCTCATGCATGCTAAGTCAAGCACTCTGCCAGCAGAGTTTGTCTTCAGACCAAGTGTGTGACACGTTGGTAGAACCTTGTGGGGATTGTTTTGGGAGAGGAGGAGAGTTTATTTGGCTCACAGTAAAATAGATACATCTTCCATCATGGCAGGGGAATCATGATGGCGGGATATAAGCAGCTGGCCTCCAGGGGCCCACTTCCTCTAATGACGCTCAACTTCTTACAGGTTCACAACCTTCCAAGAATTGTTACCAACTGGCACCAAGTATTGATGTAAATTAGGGAACATTTCACATCCACACTACGTGTTTTGCTTTTAGCCCTGGCAATCTCAATTCAATTTGCACTAAGTTTAACTTCAAAAGTCCCCATAGTTTATAGTTTTTAATGGTCCCAGCATTGTTCAGATTCCCCAAATCAAAGCCTTGAAACCTATTAAAAGCAAAAGAATAGCAGTGATTGATCTGGAAGAAAGCTCACATGTAACCCCTTTTGTAAGAATGCATTTCATAAGGACAAAGGGCCTGGAGACCATTGTTGGCCTCCAGTGGGAGAAAGTATTAGACAGACAGCATAATATATGGAGATCTAAACAAGATCAGGCCTTAAAGAAAAGGAGAGCCACCCATTAAAGCCTAGAAAGGAGCTTCATTAAGAGAGAATAAAGCCAGGCATAGTGGTGCTTGCCTTTAATCCCAGCACCTGGGAGGCAAAGGCAGAGGCAGGTGGATCTTTGTGAGTTTTAGGTCAGCCTGATCTACACAATGAGTTCTATGACAGCCAGAGCTCCATAGTGAGACCCTGTATATATAAAAATAAAACCAAACCACTATAAAAGAGAATAAGAGATACAGATGGGAGAAACTACTGTGTGTGTATGTCTGTCTGTGTGTGTGTGTGTGTGTGAGAGAGAGAGAGAGAGAAGAAACAAGAGAGTGTATGCACGTGTGAGTAAGAGACTAGAAACAAGAGTGTGTGCATGCACGTGTGAGAGAAGAAAGGAGAGTGCATGCACGTGTGAGTGAGAGGAAACGAGAGAGTGCATGCACGTGTGGGAGAGAAGAAACAAGAGAGAGAGTGTGTGCACGTGTGGGTGAGAGAGAAGAAAGGAGAGAGTGTGTGCACGTGTGGGTGAGAGAGAAGAAAGGAGAGAGAGAGTGTGTGCACGTGTGTGTGAGAGAGAAGAAAGGAGAAAGTGTGTGCACGTGTGGGTGAGAGAGAAGAAAGGAGAGAGAGAGTGTGTGCGCGTGTGTGTGAGAGAGAAGAAAGGAGAGAGTGTGTGCACGTGTGGGTGAGAGAGAAGAAAGGAGAGAGTGCGCGTGTGTGTGAGAGAGAAGAAAGGAGAGAGAGAGTGTGCGCGTGTGGGTGAGAGAGAAGAAAGGAGAGAGAGTGTGTGCACGTGTGGGTGAGAGAGAAGAAAGGAGAGAGTGTGCGTGTGTGTGAGAGAGAAGAAAGGAGAGAGTGCATGCACGTGTGGGAGAGAAGAAACAAGAGAGAGAGTGTGTGCACGTGTGTGTGAGAGAGAAGAAAGGAGAGAGAGTGTGTGCACGTGTGTGTGAGAGAGAAGAAAGGAGAGAGAGAGTGTGTGCACGTGTGTGTGAGAGAGAAGAAAGGAGAGAGAGTGTGTGCACGTGTGGGTGAGAGAGAAGAAAGGAGAGAGTGTGCGTGTGTGTGAGAGAGAAGAAAGGAGAGAGAGAGAGTGTGCGCGTGTGGGTGAGAGAGAAGAAAGGAGAGAGAGTGTGTGCACGTGTGGGTGAGAGAGAAGAAAGGAGAGAGTGTGCGTGTGTGTGAGAGAGAAGAAAGGAGAGAGTGCGTGCACGTGTGGGAGAGAAGAAACAAGAGAGAGAGTGTGTGCACGTGTGTGTGAGAGAGAAGAAAGGAGAGAGAGTGTGTGCACGTGTGTGTGAGAGAGAAGAAAGGAGAGAGAGAGTGTGTGCACGTGTGTGTGAGAGAGAAGAAAGGAGAGAGAGTGTGTGCACGTGTGGGTGAGAGAGAAGAAAGGAGAGAGTGCGCGTGTGTGTGAGAGAGAAGAAAGGAGAGAGGAGAGAGTGCGCGTGTGTGTGAGAGAGAAGAAAGGAGAGAGTGCACGTGTGTGTGAGAGAGAAGAAAGAGAGAGTGTGTGAGAGAGAGAGAAGAAAGGCGAGAGAGAGTGTGTGCACGTGTGGGTGAGAGAGAAGAAAGGAGAGAGAGGGTGTGCGCGTGTGTGTGAGAGAGAAGAAAGGAGAGAGTGTGTGCACGTGTGGGTGAGAGAGAAGAAAGGAGAGAGAGAGTGTGTGCACGTGTGTGTGAGAGAGAAGAAAGGAGAGAGAGAGTGTGTGCGCGTGTGGGTGAGAGAGAAGAAAGGAGAGAGTGCGCGTGTGTGTGAGAGAGAAGAAAGGAGAGAGTGTGTGCACGTGTGGGTGAGAGAGAAGAAAGGAGAGAGAGTGTGTGCGCGTGTGTGTGAGAGAGAAGAAAGGAGAGAGAGAGTGTGTGCACGTGTGGGTGAGAGAGAAGAAAGGAGAGAGTGTGTGCGCGTGTGTGTGAGAGAGAAGAAAGGAGAGAGAGAGTATGTGCACGTGTGTGAGAGAGAAGAAAGGAGAGAGTGCATGCACGTGTGAGAGAGAAGAAAGGAGAGAGAGAGTGTGTGCGCGTGTGTGTGAGAGAGAAGAAAGGCGAGAGTGCGCGTGTGTGAGAGAGAAGAAAGGCGAGAGAGTGTGAGAGAGAGAGAGGGCTAGCACAAGAGCGTGGGCACGCTACAATGAAAGGGATGCCAGGGAGGCCAGGGAGTATCTTCAGATCACTTCTCTCTGCAAAATCTCGAGAAGTTTTTAGAAGAGTCCCAAGAACAAAAGAAAAATGTAATGTTTTGTAACATTTTAGACTGATGGGAAGTTTCACTTCTAGTGGTTTAGTTCAGGATAGCATGACAAAGTGGGGAGGAGCCCAGTTTCATAAATTGAAAACTATCTGTCCCAGACAGAGCTGCAGGGAGGCATGGCCTAATTCAGTCTGTAGCATCTAGCCTGAAGGTACAGACCCTTGTTCTAACAAAACCAGCAGGGTAAGCATCAGATCCTGTTGCTCCATGTCTGGGCATCTGGGGCTTGAAAGAATCATTTGCATCCAAAAACCCTGGGTAACTGTCCTTGTCTGCTTTACTACCTACAGCACTCATGGTCTCTGTATTGGACTGGTTCCATCTACTCCATGCCTGCCACTCTCCTTGGTGGATGTCCCTTAATTCTGTCATCTTCAGTATCCTGAGGTCTTCTTTGCAACTTAGGCTTCATGTTTGCAGCCTTATTTGATGGCCTTGTGGTACCTCCCTGCAAGGGATTTGACTTTGCTCCATATTGTCCAGCCTTACTGCAGCTTTCATATTCTTGGAACAAGAAACCACGTCCCCCTTACTGTTCCACATGTCATTCCTGTAAAACCAGTAATGTGGGTACAGTGGTCCTGAGTTCTACCAGCCTGAAATATAGTGTGACCCACTTCTCTCAAACACTTGCCTAGGTTGTTTTTTACGGGGAAGGAACCCTTTCAGGGACATTCTCAGGTTAGGCTCTCACCTTTTAAATGCATGTGCATTTTTACAAGTTGGAGTGTTTGATGTTTAGGGCTTTGCCCTCACTGTATCCTGTCATCTCAGCACTGCCTTGTCTGCAGCTAAACTCACCCCTTTCCTGGCTAACCCACACATTGTTCATGTCTTTCTGCTCCCCTTGTTGCCCTCTTCCATGTAGAGCTGCATAAGAAAAGAGCACTAGCCATGCTGTAACTTGAATACTGCCTGTCTTGAGATTTTCTCCACCAAACAAATTAGTCTATAATTTTGGTTAGGACGGGCAAGATTCTTTGCCCAAATATCACAGGAATGGCCTCTGTCCAAGTTCCCAATAGAGCCCTTGTTCAGCTCTGTGGTGATTTGAAAGAAAATGGCCCCCAAAGGGAGTGGCACAATTAGGAGGTGTGGCTTTGTTGGAGTAGGAATGGTCTTGTTGGAGGACATGTGTCACTCTGGGGATGTGTAGCACAAATAATAAAAACCCAGAGACAGAAATTGGCTAAAAGCTGAAGATCAGAAGAGCAGAGTGGCCATCACTAACTCTTTACCTTTGACCAAAATGGGCGATCCTGTCTCCATGAATCCTCAGAGTGCAATGCTCTCAGCTCTTGTCTTCTCCTACCTTATATTCTCATCACACTCCAGTCTCCACCTCCCTAGTGCTACGTTAAAGGCATGTGATCCCAAGTGTTGGGATCAAAGGTGTGAGCTCTATTTCTGTTTTAGACTGATTCACTCTGGTGTAACCCAGGGTGGCCTTGAACTCACAGAGATCCATTTGCCTCTGTCTCCTGAGTCCTGGGATTAAAGGTGTATGTATACCACCACTGCCTGGCCTCTATGGCTAACTAGTGTGGCTGGCTACCTTTGCACTCTGGTCTTCAGGCAAACTTTATTTGTTAGATCATAAACAAAATATCACCACAGGGGAGGGCTTTGAGTCTTCTATACTCAAGCTACCCCAGAGTCTCAGTCCACTTCCTGTTGCCGTCTGATCAAGATGTAGCCAGAAAACACCAAGTCTGCCTTCATGCTGCTATGCTATCCACCATGATGATAATGAACTGAACCTCTGAACTGTAAGCCACCACCTCAATTACATGTTTTCCTCTTAAGACTTGCTGTGGTCATGGTGTCTCTTCACAGCAATAAAACCCTTAACACAAACTCTAAAACACCTCATCAGCCAGGCCCTCATTGTCTGTATCTAGCCTAACACTCTCTACAGAATGGCCCATCAGGTTCTGCTTGCTTACCCAGCAAATTAGTTCCACAGGCATAAGGACCACATGCCATGCTTGCTACAGCAGCCCTACACATTGGTGCTGTCTCTTTGTATTACTGCTTTTCTGACAACTTAAGGCAGAAGCATTTGCTTTGACTCAGAGTTCAGTGGGCCATGATCCAGCAAGGAGAGGAGGGCTCAGTAGCAGGAGCACCCTCAGTCAGGAAGTGGACCCCCTCTTTGGGTTTTTATCTGAACTATCTGTTTTGCACATTTTGGGTTCTTTGCTTTAAGTGGAGAAGCTAAAATCCCCAGTTCCCTCAGGAGGGCTCATCTAATCCTCTCTTCTTTACATTCTCTAAACTGACAGAAAGCATCCCCTCTGATGTGTGTCAGCTGAAGGAGTGTATCAGTGTCTTGTTCATGTTCACCAGGAGAGTTAGTGAAGATGCCCAGTTCCACGAGGACATCCTTCTGTGGCTGCAGAAACTGGTAAGGGAACAGATGCAGGCATAGACGTCTTTCATTGCTTGGGTAATTTAAGAATCATTTCTTATTTTGTATTTCATATTTTTCTTTTATAGCTTTTCCAGACAATTCATTTAATGAGTTAATGACTTTTCCTTGATGATGACACATGATTACAATGTATTTGTTACTTGTGTCTCTAATGAACGCTGGCTTTCAGGTCAGAGTTGAACTCAGGAAATACAGAGGGAAGTGAATACCTATCTACTCATGTTTGATGATGAACTTGGTCGTACTTAACATGAGAAGAAAGGTGTCAGGATTTGGAAAATTTAGATGCATTACAGAGGGCACTTATGTCTGGACAGCTCCCTGTGTCCACGAGTTTATTAAACTAGTGAAACCACGAGTCCTTTTGTTGTTCAGGTGTCAGTGTTACAAAGAGTTGGCTGTCCTGGAGATCACTTCTTCCTCCTCAACCACATTCTTCGGTGTCCGGCTGGCGTCAGTAAGTGGGCTGTTCCTTTCATACAGGTATGATGATCTTCTGTTTTGGGGGTGGACTAGGGATTTTATTAGTTTTTCCTTAAGAAATGTTTAAAACAACCCATCCCCCAAATACCTAATCGAGTGCTAGTTAAATAGAAATGTAAAAGACATATATTTCTATTACTTGTATGCTGTATGTGTCTGCATGGACTTAGGTGCACTGTATGCATATAGGTGTCTGTAGAAGCTAGAAGGCATTGACCTTCTGGAACTGGAGTTAAAGGTGGTTGTGAGCTTCTGGATCTGGGTGCAGGGAACCAAACCCTCCCCTTGCTCTCTTGGGGAGCAGCGAGTGCTCTCTTGGGGAGCACTAAGCCCTCTTTCTGGCTCCTTATGTAAAAACCTCTAAACCAGGAGTACATGTGTGTGCAGTTAGTGCCAGCACTTTCTGGGTCATCACAGGTGAAGAAATTAGAACAGAATTGCAAAAGTTCAGATGTAACCCTGCTGGGTAGGCTCACAAATGTTTAATTTGGTAAGATTTTGGAGTAGGAGAGCTTACTAGGACTGTTTTTCTCTTCTGTAGTAATTGCCACACCTCTCTACATTAATCCATCTCACAGAAAAATTGGTATTGTGAAATAGACTCTTAAACCTATTAGCAACTTGCATACACTTACCAGTTGACCATATGGTGTATAGTTTCTCTTTTGCCAAGCACCTTTTGTCCACTTTTATTATTTATAGCAACCACTCAGATAGCAGGAACCAAAATGTATGCCAAGTTCAACTGAACTCCTTCTATTTTCTTAACTTTAGTATTTCTGGTGGCATGGAGCCTAAATCATTTTGAAGAGAAGGAGGGTTTTTTTTTTCTGGTTTAAAGCATCAGTGCTGGGCTCCATCACAGCTGTTGCAGATGTTTGACATCAGCTGCTCAGCCTCTGCTCTTAGATAGTGTGCAGGTAACTACCACAGCTGTGCTTTGTGGTTTGGAGCAGGAGTCAGGCTAAGTTTTGTTCATTGACTAGCATCTTGCTTATTAGGTACATGTAAACCAGTTTGAGTTGGTTTTCTCCAGTATGCTTTTTTTCATTTTCTGATTTCAGATCAAAGTGTTGAATAACCCTTCAGGGGTCTTTCATTTCATGCAGTCCCTTGCCCTGCTGATGTCTCCTGTCAAGTAAGTGTGGAAGAGCTTTGTGAAGTAGCAACTGAAATACTCTATGAGAGGGTCCGTTTTTTTAACTGCCCACATCCAAAGAGAACTGCTACGGGAAGCAGTGGCATTCTTGAATGTAGCATTGCAGATTTTCTTTGGGTTTGATATCCCTGCCCCAGAGTGGTGCGTCTAGCTGCTTATTAACAGTTTTTGTGGGCCCCCTTTTAGTGGGTTTGTCTCTCATTGTGTATATCATTGTGAAAGGTGCCATAGACTAAGAGATAGTATGTTCCTTAGAATAGAGGGGTATCTGGTGTAAGTGTTGAACTGTGGAATTGTGAGCACTGCAGGAGGAGTGCAGCCATTAGTCAGAGACAGTTCCACAGTGGATGAGTCAGCTTTGTAGAGTGGGCTGCATCTCATTAGGTGAGGACTGGGAAGAATAGTGTGAGCAAAGGCCCTAGCCCAGGTGTGCAGAGGATTGGGGTGTAGGTGGCCGAAAGCGTCAAGGTGAGTAACTGGGTGGGGGCTGGAGGGTAGAAGGCCTTGAAAGTAAAGCCAGAGAATCTATGCTAGATATGGCTTGGCCTGTGAACAAGTGAAAGGTTTTTGAACAGGGAGCACAAATTGTCCTTAAGGAAGATTAGGCCAGGTGTGGTGGGACACAGTTGTTATCACAGCACTCCAGGGGTTGTGAGATTGTGTTTGGAGTGTCTTCAGTTCAAGATAAACTTGAGTTACACCAAGACCGTATTTCAAAAAAAAAAAAAAGTGTGTGGGGAGGGGCGTTGTTTTGGCTAGATGGTGGAGTGGAGGCAGAAGAGTGTGTGGTTTTTCATTGCTTCATTGATGGCTACAGATATTTATGCCTCTCCTGGCTCAGGATCCTAATCAATCACCCAGCAAAAGAGCAGGTGTGTTTCTGACCCTGGGAGAATGCAGATCCTGTTTGTTGGTGACCCTGAACACTATTACTACCAGCTAACCGACCTCTGGGCCTGTATTGACTAGAGTCATGATAGTAGATAGAGTGTGGAAACCGAAACGACTTCTTGGGAAATGGGTTAGTAGCTGATTAAAGAATGCAGAGAAGCAATGTGTAACTGCTAACTCTAGACCTATGTGAGCCCAGAGACCAGGAGGCTATTGATAGCACTAACAGAAGTACAGAAAGGAGGGCTGTTTCATACAGAATTAAAATTAAGGTTCCTGACAATATGCAAGTGGCATATTCTCATGGACATCTGGGGCTCAGGATTGGCCTTTTCTCTGTTAAAAGGGAAACATCTGAACTCCAGAGCTGGAGTTTGTAGGAGGTTTCTGGCTAAAGAGAGTAGTGGGTAGGTGCATTTTCAGTGAGGACTGCAAGCTAGGTTGTAGTCCAAGAGGAAACTGTTGTGGTTACATTGCTCATCAGATGGAATGACTGCTTGGAAGATCATGTTGCTGATTTTTCCGGCTTCCATTTACTGCCTGCTCCTGAGACTGCTCCTGAGCAGGGAGATACTGTTCAACTAGGGTGTTTTTTTCCTTTATGTATACCTTTTGGTCTGAAACAAGTCTCTGTAGCAACTGCATAATACCTTTTTTATTTTTGATAAGACACATCTTTAGAAAGATTTGTGTTTATTTTTAATCATGGGTACTAGTATGTGTCTGTGTGAGGATGTGTGTATTGAGTGTAGGTGCCTGTGGAGGCCGAAAGAGGGCTCTGGATCCGTGGAGCTGGAGTCACAGGTGGTTGTGAGCTGCCCGACACCAGTGCTGGGAACTGAACCTGGGTCACGTGCAGGAACAGTAGGTGCTCGTACCCCTCCCCCCCCGAGCCGTTTCTCCAGCCTTTACTTATATTTTTTTGAAACAGGGTCTCACTGTGTAGACCAGATCTAGAATTTGCTATTATCTATCCTAGGCTGGTATGCAGCTAGTTATCTAGCCTAGGCTGACCTTGAACTCAGAGAGATCTGCCTGCCTCTGCCTTCCGAGTACTAGGATTTAAAGCTAAGCACTGTTATTCTTGGTCCGAGTTCTTACTTCGTGTTTGATACTTTAAACCCTTTGACAGCTTGACTGATTCCTGACTCTTCTTTAGGACAGGTGACTTTCTCTGTTCAAATGGGCAGATTTGTATCTGTTGTCTTTTAGAAATCGAGCCGAGTATATGTGCCACATGAAGCCTGGTGAGTGGAAACCATCGTCTTCAGGGCCTGCATCTGGGAACTGGACACTCGTAGATGAAGGAGGAGAAGAGGTAACTGTCTGCAGTGTTCCCTTTAGTCAGTTTTGAGCTCTTCTTACAGGTAGCGCATTGCTTTGTGAAATTATGTTAAGGTTTTTGCATAGTAACAGGTTCCTGGGACTATGGTCTCACACACAACCTGCTCTGAATAATTTTGATGAAAATTTAATGAATAAAATCCAGCTTCTTGACAATTCAAAAAAAGTTTTAAGAAAATTCTGGTTAATTTTTCTTTCCTCTACAAATAGTGGTGTATTTGTGAGGAATTTTCTTCTGCTCATTAGCAATTCCTTGGCCTCTTTCTGGGTGAGTTCCAGATTTGGCAGCGCAGAGGCTCAGCAGATAAAGGCAGGTGTTTTTATATATTATGTATATAGCGTGTACTCTGTCTTAAACCCTGGCATGACGTTCTGAGATGCTCACTGACCTGATTCACTAGAATCCTCTGTGTGAGGAGTAGACACTAGGCAGCAGTCTCAGTCACCCATGCTGCTGTGGAGGTCATGTGGATGTATTGCACCAGGGCCCATTCACGGATGAGTGCTCCCATTTGTAGCTGTTTTGTTCTTTATCACCTCTTGTGGGTGTGCAAACCCTGTGGGGAAACTCTGATGAGGCATTTTTTTGTTATTGTTTTTATTCTTTGCTTTTCTCTAGAGTGGTCTTTCTTTAAAATAGTCTCCTCCCCCCTTTTTGATGGGTTCCCTGAAGTTAACCCCAGAGACAGATTCTACATTGGTGCTTGCTTCTTGGCTAGCACTCTGTAAGAAGTTTAGTGAATTCAAGATCTTAGGGAGTTGGGCATCATGGCGCATGCCTGTAATTCCAGCACTCAGTGGGGAAAGGAAGGAGGATTCGAGTTTAGTGAATTCAAGATCTTAGGGAGTTGGGCATCATGGTGCATGCCTGTAATAGTGGAAAATGAAGGAGGATTCTGAGATGTAGGACAGCCTAGGTCAATGACAAGACACTCCTCCCACCGCCCAAAAAGCCAAAAGACCATCACCAACAAAAAAATAAAAGCTGCCTCCCTAACAGAACAAGTAAAAACCTAACAAGACTAACAGCAAATGAGGAAAAAACAAAGCAAAACAACCCAGAAGAACTTAGTACTTGAGACTATTAAGAGCTTAGCTGGACTGGAAAGTCTGTTTCAGGGAAAGCCCTGTGGTTCATTCACATCATTTGTGTCTCAACACTAGCTCCACATAAGGCTCACTGGGGCAATTTATAAAGCTTGTCAAACCCACATATAGATATAAGTTTCTGAGCCTACCACGTGATCTAATGTTCAGCCAGAGTAAAAAACTACTGTGTTAGCCATTATATACATGGTATTACTCTATTACCCTCCTATGAGAACTCCCCTTTATTTTAAGGGAAGTACCACCAATAATTAAGGGCTTTGCACTAGGCTCATCTCTTAAAGGTCAAACAGAAACTTCCAATACTACTAGACTTGGAACTAAGCTACTGATACATGAATCATGGGACAAAAATATAACTAAACTGTAGTGGAAACAGATAAGGAAGAATGTGTTTAGGATATTATGAATGAATTGCTGAGTTGATTGATTAGTCCCTTGTTGAAATTGCTGTAATACATTCAAGTCCTTCCCTTTTAATGTAATGCATATGGGGGGACACATGCTAACTTGATTTCTAAGGTGACATTAAGGCTCTGTATCATAAAGGTCTCAGAGATATCCTCTGAGTGATCTTTGATCACAGTTTTGTCTTTCCCACAGAACCTGAGACATCTATAGCAAATACTAGCAGCTTCCTCAAAAGTCAGATGAAAGCGAGAGTAGACTTTGAGTTTTAGTAGAAGAGAACTGTAGTAGGAATAACTTGGCCTGTAGTAGAATATGGTTGTTTCATTAATTGTTAATTTGTTGTCTGAGTAGTGGGCCTCATAGTAAGGTCCTCACTCTCGAAGAGGGTTTTTTTTTGTTTGTTTATGCTTTCTTTTTTGTTTGTTTGTTTGTTTTGGGTGTTCTCTGTGTAGTTCTGGCAGTCCTGGAACTTTCTCTGTAGACCAGACCAGGCTGGCCTCAAACTCAGAGATCTGCCTGCCTCTGCCTCCCCAGTGCTGGGATTAAAGGCATGAGCCACCACCTCCTGGCTCTAGAAGAGTCTTTATTCTTATCTTCATGATAGAAATTTAATGAGTGCTGTTTCAGGCTCTGAACAGTGGATATGGCCCAGACACATATGAATTATGCCTGCATTTCCGAGGCCTTCCAGGATGTCTGTGGATCTAAGGCTATTTATTTAGCTCACTGCCCTTGAGGATGTGTCTGTAAGGCCCTTGTGAGTTGGATAACTTAGCTCCTGCAAACCCAGACTAGTTTGCTGATGTGATGTGGCATCTTCCCTTTAGGATGAAGACCCTGAGACCAGTTGGATTCTCCTTAATGAAGATGACTTGGTTATCCTTTTGTCCCAGTTTCCCTTTCATGAGCTCTTTCAACATCTTCTTGGGTTTAAAGCAAAAGGTAGATACTTTTTCTTGTCATAACTGAACGGTGGTACTGGTCAGGCTCCACATAGGAAGCATCAAGTCTTATGTTTGGGGGGCTGTTGATGGGAGTGTCTTCCTGTGCAAACCTCCTTTCTCTTATGTTACTTTCGTTTTTTACTTCATGCTTAAATGAAGAAGGCTGACTAGTGTACATGTTACCTAGGTTAAATACATTGATCTTAATGTGCATTCCTTCAAGTTCCCTGTTTAACTTTGATATTGAGGTATGGGATTAATTCCTCCCCCTCCTGGTTTTCTCACTGAATTATATATGTGTGTTCGGTTTCACTTCTAGGTGATTATTTACCTGAAACAACAAGGCCCCAAGAGATGATGAAAATTTTTGCCTTTGCCAACTCATTAGTGGAACTCCTAGCTGTGGGGTTAGAAACCTTTAACAGAGCCCGCTATCGGCAGTTTGTGAAGCGCATTGGCTACCTGATCAGGTAATGTTGCTGTTGGCACATCATGCTCATGTCTCCTTGCTTAGACACAGACACTGCGAGGGATGATGGACGTTTATACTTAGGTCTTCTCATAGAAGTGGGCTAGCTCTCCCATCAGCCATCTCCCATCAGGGAATTTTATAAATGTTTCCAATGAAATTATTTGATTATCTCAGATTCAATTGATTTTTTTATATAATTATTATTGGAGTTCTGATTTTCAAAGCTGCTTCTGGAGAGAAGGGTCAAGGAAGATGTAGGCTGCTGTCTTAGATAGGGTTTCTATTGCTATGACGAGACACCATGATTATGACAACTCTTATAAAGGAAAACATTTAATTGGGTGGCTTACAGTTCAGAGGTTCAGTCTGTTATCGTCACGTGGTGGCATTCAGGCAGGCATGGTGCTGGAGAAGGAGCTGACAGTTCTATATTTTGCAGGCAACAGGAAGTGAACTGGGTGTGGTTTGAGCATATAAGACCTCAAAGCCTACCCTCCAACAAGACCACACCTACTCCAACAAGGCCACACCTCCTGTTACTGCCATCCCTTTGGGGGCCGTTTTCCTTCAAACCCCCACACAGACCTTCATCTCTTTCCTTTCACTTGTTCCCTCTTCCCACCACAGCCTGCTTTCTCCTGAATTGCCACTGACTGAACTGTGAGGAGTCAGTGATTCTTCACTGCCATTATTCATTTCTTACCGTAGTTTAAAATATTTAGAAAAATTTCAAAGACTTAAATAAGTCACACTCTATTTGAACTGGGAGAACTTCATGTATTTGAATGAAAGGTGGGTTTGTGGTTTCATTAGCAAGTGTGAAAAATTTTTTGAGTTTATGTACTGCTTTTCTCTAAATCCACTTCATACTCTTTCCATATCTTCAGTTTTTTTTCTGAATTATTCCCCATAACACATACATAGGCTATTTTTTATAACCTGTTCCCTCAAAAAGAAGTTCATAAAAATGCAAAATCTCTCTTCCCCACTTTTGTTCTTCAAACTTAATGGGTTTACATTAATTTATTTTAGATTTCAGTCAGCTTTATGAAGATTATAGGATGCCTTCAAAGGCTGGAGCCCCTTAGGAGGTTGGGTTACTAGCATGTGTGTCTGTCTTGTGCCCTGCAGCCCACATGTAACTGGGGATAGCTGTGAATGCAGCCTGGCATGAAATGTCAGTACTACCCATGTGATGGATTAGTCATTTTTCTTACCGTTTTTTCTTACGCCTCCTTCTTAGTGCATTACCATGAGGAATGGCTTTCATGTCCCTACTAAGATTGCCTTCAGAGCCGAGCAGTTAGCAGTTAATATTAGCCCTTCACATGTGATGTCAGGAGATACTGAGTGAGTGACTGAAGTGTTGTGTTGTTTTCCTCATGCTCAGGATGACACTTGGCTATGTCAGTGACCACTGGGCTCAGTATGTGAGCCATACCACAGGCATGGGATTAGCACTACAGCCCTACTCCATGGAGAAACTGCAGATTGAATTTGATGAGTTGTTTCTAAGAGCTGTCCTACATGTCCTGAAAGCCAAAAGGTAAGAGGTAAGGGCTTCCTGCCTGGGAATGTAGAAGTGTGTCTTAGTGTTTCTATTGCTATGAAGAGACACCATGACCATAACAAGTCTTATAAAGGAAAACATTTAATTGGGCTGACTTGCAGTTTCAGAGATTCAGTCCATTATCATGGTGGGAAGCATGGTGGCATGCAGACAGACATGGTGCTGGAGAAGGTTCTGAGAGTTCTACATCTTGATCTGCAGGCAGCAAAAGAAGAGCATGTGCTACACTGGGCATAGCATTTAGCATATAAGACCTCAAAGCCCACCTCCGCAATGATTCACTTCTCCAACAAGGCCACACTGTATGGGCCATTATAATAGAGCCATTCTGTATGGGCCAAGCATTCAAACATGAGTTTGGGGGCAGGTATTCAAACCACCACAAAGTGTAAGCTCATGGTGTTTCATCATAGCAATAGTAACCCTAAGATAGCCTCTCTCTCATTGGGGTCTTAAAAAGGATCTTTGATTTAAAACCCAGCACTTTTTCTTAATATTCTCTATGTCTCATATGAAATTTGTGAAGATAATATTACCTTTGTTTTTGTAAGGATGGGATGAGTTGATGGTGGATGCAGATTGAACATCCCTAGCACAGAGAGATCAAGAATTAGAAACTTCTGATGCTAATATTATGTAATACATGGAAAATTTCACATTTACGTCATGTGCTATACCAAAGTAAACACAGTAAAATACTATATAAAATTATCATTAGGGCCGTGTGTAGAAAGTACACACAAGCATCCAAATCCAATCATTGTATCTTGCTCATATTTGCCTCTTCTACCTCTCTGGCTGTCTTCCACTTCTGACTGATCTGCTTGCCCTTTTGCTGATTAAAGTTGCATTGTATGTATGTGTATGTATTCTTTTATTTATTTATTATTTTTTCAATATATGTTTTATTTAAATTAGAAACATGCATGATTCACATGTCAATCCCAACTCCCTCTCCCACCCCTCCTCCCTTGTTCCTCCACCAGCCCCATCCCCAGTCCCCCACCCAATACTCACACCCTTCTCCAGGGAGGGTGAAGACCTCCATGGGTGGATCTCCAGAGTCTGTCATTTCATCCAGGGCCGGACCTAGGCCCTTCCCCATGTGTCCAGACAGAGAGAACATCCCTCTATGTGGAATGGGCTCCCAAAGTTCATTCATATGCCATGGTAAACATCGATCTACTACTAAAGGCCCCAGAGATTTCTGAGGCCTCCTCACTGACACTACATTCATGGAGTCTGGATCAGTCCCCTGCTGGCCATCAGTCTGGGGTTCAAGAGCCCCCCCTTTGTCCGGTCAGCTGTCTTTGTGGGTTTCACCAGCACGGTCTTGACCCCTTTGCTCATCACTCCTCCATCTCTGTCACTGGGTTCCAGGAGTTCAGTTCAGTGTTTAGCTGAACTGCCACTGCTTCCATCAGTCACTGGATGAAGGTTCTAGGATGGCATACATAAGGTAGTCATCAATCTTACCATCAGGGAGGGGCTATTAAGGTAGTCTCTTTGCTATTGCTTAGTTTGTCAGTTGGTGTTATCCTTGTAGATCTCTGGAAATCTCACTGTTGTCAGCTCTCTCGTCAAACCTATAATGACTCAATCTATTATAGTATCTCTCATCTTGCTCTCCTCTATTCTTACCCTGACTCAACTTTCCTGCTCCCCCATGTCTTCTTCTCCCTTCCTCTTCTATTCCTCTCTTTTTCCTGGTTTCTTATCCCCTCCCCCCATGTTCCCAATCTGCTCAGAAGATCTTGCCTCATTCCACTTCTCTGGGGTTCCATGCATATATCTCTTGGGAACCTCACTGTTTCTCAGACTCACTGGCACTGGGTTTGTAGGCTGACACTCTCCTGCTCCATATCTAAAATCCATATCTGAGTGAGTACATACCATGTTTGTCTTTTTGTGACTGGGTTATCTCAGGATGGTTTCTTCTCGTGCCATCCATTTGCCTGCAAATTTCAAGATTCCATTTTTTTTCACTGAATAGTACTCCATTGTGTAAATGTACCACATTTTCTCTATCCACACTTCAGTTGAGGGACATCTATGTTGCTTCCAGAATCTGGCTATTACAAGTAATGCTGCAATGAACATAGTGGAACAGACCTCCTTGTTGTATGAATGGGCATCTTTTGAGTATATGCCTAAGAGTGGAATTGCTAGGTCTTATGGTAGACTGAGTACCATTTTCCTGAGGAATCTCCATACTGATTTCCAAAGTGGCTGTACGAGTTGGCACTCCCACCAGCAGTGGAGGAGTGTTCCCCTTTCTCCACATCTTCTCCAGCATGAACTGTCATTGGTGTTTTTGTTTTTAGCCAATTTGACAGGAGTAAGATGATATCTCAGAGTTGTTTTGATTTGCATTTCCTTAATGGCTAGTGATGTTGAGCACTTTGTTAAGTGTCTCTCAGCCATTTTAGAATCCTCTGTTGAGAATGCTCTATTTAGTTCAGTCCCTCACTTTTTAATTGGATCCTTTGGTGTTTTGGAGACTTGCTTCTTGAGTTCTTTGTAAATTTTGGAGATCAGCCCTCTATCAGATGTGGGGTTAGTAAATGTTTTCCCAATCTGTGGGCTACCTTTTTGTCTTGCTGACTGTGTACACGTATTCTTTATCCATTCATCTATTAATGGACTTCTCTGGGGTCCATTATGGACTTCTAGTTCCGTATCTTGGCTCTTGTGAATTATGTAGCAGACTTTCATGTTAGACTTAAGTCTTCTCTGTGGTACATGCTATTATATATGTACAAATATTACAAAATAAAAAATTCCAAAAATTTCATAGTTTTAGTACAAAGCATTTTTGATAAAGGATAGCCCTTCTACCCCATGCGTGCCTGTGTGTGAGTATGTGTGTGTGTGTGTGTTGGGAAAGTTAGGGAAGTGGAACAGCTGAAGTCTTATTTCTACTTTCTTTGTGTAGTGAAGCTTTGTAATATATGAACTTTTCCCTGTTGCTGTTTCAAATGTGCAGACTTGGCATTTGGCTCTTTATGTCTGAGATGCCCTTTGGCACGCTGTCGGTCCCGATGCTTTGGAAGCTCTTCTACCTCATGCACCAGGCTGAGAGTGGGAACCTGCAGCACCTCTGTACCTCCCTGCAGCCGGCCGAGTGCAAGAGGCAGCTCCAAGGTACTTGGCTGGGGCAGCCTTCTCTCCCTTTGTGTGCTTCTCTCTCAGCATTATGCTTTTACAAGCATTGTGGATGGTTTTGACATTCGGGAGACTGCTTCATTGTCCGATGTGTTAGATAGAAGGTAATAAATCTCAAACCCAATTCAGTTAGGTCTAAATTCTGTGCAGTAAACCTAGTGGCTTAACTTTGGTGAATTATTTCTTTCCATGTGTAAAATTCTAGTCTAATCACAAGTGATGTTTATTGGCTTGAAATTTGTTAAGGTTTGTGCCCAGTTGTTCCACTAATTTTTCTGCTTTACTTTTCTTAGTTGTAGTGATTTTATGACATATGAAGAGGTAGACAGTAATTCTTCAAAAGCTTAATTTTGTAGCACAGTGGTAGACTGTGCATGTACTTTGTATTTATAAGGTTCTAGGTTTAGTCCTCAGCAACAAAATAAATCCCTAAAAATAAAACAACAAAAATTAATTTTGGTGAAAACTTGATTAAATTTTAGTGTATTCTATCATTGAACTGCTGGTATTTGCTTTTCAGAATTGAGGCATAAGTTTAATGTTAACTTTTTGCTCTGAGCCTACATATATTTGTATATTTTGAACTCTCAGAGTTCAACTGATTTGTCTTTCTTTCTGAACCTGTAGGAGCTCATTTTGGACAGGGGAAGATCCTTTTTATTTTTAAATATTTGTGAACTTTTAATTTTAATGTTGTTTTTTCTTCTGGTAGTGTAACTAAATATATGAACCGGTTTCTCCACTTTAATTTTTTTGATATGAACTTGCAGACCCAGAACATTTTGCAAACTTGGAGAAGTGTCTTTCTTCCATGAATAGCTCTGAAGAGATTTGCCTTCTGACGACCTTCTCTCAGATGGCTCGGGCCAGAAGAACCAATGTAGACGAAGACTTCATAAAAATGATTGTTCTGGAGATATATGAGGTTAGAATGTGAAGTGTTGTGAACGCTTTCTTCTGACTCTCCATTCATTCCTGGGTATTGCTTTTAAAAACTGTGATTCACTGAGCCATTGAACTTATGGACTGGATGGAGAGTCAAAGGGACAATTTGTGCTATAGAGAATTTTGAAAACCTATATTTTATTATTCTGTTTCCCACTACTCTCTCTCGACATTTGATGTAAACTTTGGTTTGCACAGCCTGGCATTGCAGCTTTTATTACTATAGCCACACGCCAAATGTCTCACTCCTCTATTTCTGTCAGTAACATGGAGACGTGACTTCCATGTCACTTTAAGTGAGATTGTAGAACAAATACTGAACTTGGAAGAGAAGTTTTGGTTTAGCTCTGTTATTAGTTGTCGATCTTAAACAGAAAAGATAACTTGTCAATCTGTCTTCATTTTCCTCATTACATAATGGTAGGCTAAGGTAACATCCTGGTGTATTAGTTTTTATCTGCTCTTTCTCTAATAGAGGAGAAATGCAAAGATTTCAAGGATGTCCCTGAGATCCCAGATGCTGGGGTCCTGATCTGTTAGAACAAAACTTCATAGAAATGACTGGATTCTCAGGTGGGGACCAGTACATCTCCTTCCCTCTCCTCTGAGGGAATGGCAGCTACACCAGCTGTGTTGATCATTTGTGAGCAGGCACAGTGAACCCCTGAAGATGGTGGTTGTTTGTCTTGGAGGACAGTCCTGTATAGCACACCAAGAGTTTAGGAACTTTACACTTAGGCTTTTATTTTGTGCATTTATTGTGCATTCCTATGAAATACATTTTTAAAAAATTCATTTTAGGCTGGGCAGTGTATGCTTTAGTCCCAGTATTTAGAAGGCAGAGGCAGGCGAATCTCTGTGAGTTCACAGCCAACCTGGTCTACAGAGCAGGTCAGGACAGCCAGAGATACATATCCCTGTCTTAAAACCAAAAAAAGAAAACAATCATTTTAGTGATTTATTCAAATTAATGTTTAGCTATTCATTTGTTTCATTGTGAATAAGAAACTTTCTTTATGAGATGATATCTTACCATGTTGCCCAAAGGCCTCCATCTCTTGGGCTCAAACGATTCTCTTGGTTCAGGCTTCCAAGTGTCTGTGGCTTCAGGCTCATCTCCACCATACATTGCTGGGATACACACTTTAAAATCAGTACTTGAACTAATGGTTGTAGATATTTTTCCACTTCTCCCCCACCCCCACCTTCCAGTCTCAAGGTGGATAGTTTGCTGTTTCAAGTTCTGACATAGTTTTGAACACTGTGTCAGCTGAGGCTCAATGTGAGATTATGTTTTGTGGGAAAGAAAATCTATGAAAATATGTTTTGATTGATAATTAGCATTAAAAGTACCATTTCTCCCCCTCCCCCACTTCTCATTTAGGTATCTTATGTCACCCTGTCTACCAGAGAGACTTTTTCAAAGGTTGGTCGAGAGCTTTTGGGGGCCATCACAGCTGTTCACCCTGAGATTATTTCTGTCCTTTTGGATAGAGTGCAAGAAACCATCGACCAGGTTGGAATGGTAAGAATGCTGATTATTTGTTATTTTGAAAGAGTCCTGAAGTAGGCCGGAATGGTGGCACACTCTTTTAATCCCAGCACTTAGAGGCGGATGTAGGTGAGAGCAGCCTGGTCTACAAAGCAAGTTCCAGGACGCCAGGGCTGCTATACAGAAAAACCTTGTACTGAAAACCAAACCAACCAAACAAATAAATATGAACGAATGAATGAATGAGTAAAGGACTCCTGAATTAATGAAGCAGTGACAGTAATGAGAACATTGTAGGAAATGACTCTCCTACAAAATAAAACCCTAAGTGTAAGTTTCTAAAGTGTCAGTATTGTACAATACTACCATCCACCTTTTGTTGTTGTCAGTCCCTTTTGCAACCCTTACATAGTCTTAAAGAAGGCTTTATTGAATGGAATTCATCTCCCATAATGTTTACCTGTTGAAGGTGTTCGTGCTAGTGATTTTTAGTATAGCCACAGATAGGAGCAGCCGCTAGTACAGCTGACTTTTGAGCATTTTGTCGTCATACAAAGAAACCTTCACAAGGTTTCTCAAACCCTTAGCTTCATTCTTTATTCCTTATCTTCCTTGGCCCTAAGCAGCCGCTAATCTGCTTTCTGTCTTCACAAAGCTGCCTGTTTCAGACATAAAATGTAAGTGTTATCATAGTGGGTGGTTTCTTGTGTCTGGCTTATTGCCTTCTTTTTAAATATTGGGTAGTATTTCATTGAATTTCTATGTCGCATTTTGTTTATCCATTTGTCAGGTGATATGCATTTAGTTTGCTTCTACCTTTTGGTATTATGAGTATTGCTGTTATGAACATAATTGCCAATGAATATATTTGAGATGCTTGTTTTAGTTCTCACTAAATTTTTGTTTACTTATTATTTAGTGCGTGTATGTGTGCAGTGCACTTGTACCTTGAACATGCCATGCATGTGTGTGGAGATCAAAGGGCAGCTTGTGAGGGTTTGTTTTCTCTTTCCACCATGTGGATTCTAGGGATCAAACTCAGCTTGTTAGGCTTGGTGGTAAGGGCTTTTGCCTGCTACGCCATCTCACGAGCCCTGTCTTCAGTACAAATTCCAGTGCATAAAACCCAGACATGTGTTTGATGACAATCTTCAAATTGATACTAAGATAGGTTATATATATATATTTGTGTTTGTTTTGTTTTTACCAATCTGTAGTTTCAAAAATTATCTAATTTTTTAGACTGTGTATTTTAAATTTGTTTGTGAAATCCATGTGTCATTTCTACAAGTTCTTATAATAAAGTTATTATTTTTTGTCTTGCAGTAAAAACATCAATATATTTTAAAGATTTGTAAAAGTCTCAAAAAGTTCTGAGACTGAATCTTGTTAACCCAGGCTGGCCTTGAAGCTTTTCTTGAGTCTTACATTTAATTATTGTTTTCTTTTTAAAAAGGTTTCTTTATACTTGTTTAAAGAATTGCCATTGTACCTCTGGCAACCTTCTGCCCCCGAGGTAGCTGTGATTCGCGATTGGTTACTGAATTACAGCCTGACAGCAGTGAAGAACAAGTTGGCCTGTGTGATCCTAGAAGGACTGAATTGGGGGTTTGCTGAGCAGGTAAGCCAGTCCCGAGAAACGGGGTTTTACATGCATCACTTTCAGAAAAATGTTTTCTTAAAGCACTAGTGTCTCTGTGTGCCACTTGCCAGGCCTGCAAATTCTTCCAGCTGTGTTAGAGTTTAAGCTCTCCTTGTCTTCTTTCTCTTCCTCTGGGGATCGAACATGTCTGGAAGGCACCCTACCACTGAGCTACATCTCCCAAGTACTCTTTTTTTCAATTCTGTTTTATACCATGAACATCCTCTAATGAAGGTATTCTACATTAAAAAATATTCTGTTGGGCAGGGAGTTGACTAGGTTGGTAATGTGCTTTCTGTTACCATGGTGAGAACCCAGGTTGCATCTCTAGCCAGCATGTAAAAACTGGGTGCAGTAGTGGGTACCCATAACCTCATCACTGGACAGGTGGACACAGAGAGATCCATGGAGCTTACTGGCCAGTGGCCTTACTGTGTGCACCCATAGTCAAAGAAAAAGAAAAAGAAAAAGAAAAAGAAAAGAAAGTCTTCCCTCTATCCTTAGACCATTTGAATGTGCTGTTTTGTCACTGACTTGTTACTTCAGTTCCTCCAAATTGTATTTCCTGCCTGAGGTCTCTCTTCTCCTGTAGTTTGTCCTGCATATTGTCGCCAGAATTAAGAGTTTGGCTTTGCTCTGATCCCAGCTCTGTGAAATCCTGACAGTGTGACTCTGAACAAGCTTCCTGAACTCTGGGCATCAATTGCCCATCTATAGACATTGATATTAATAGGCCTTTCCCATAGAGTTACTACAGAGAGCTTGAGGCATTTCCTCCATGTATTAATTCCTCAGTTTAGAATTATTAATACTTATTATTAAGTGTTTGCTATATGCCACGTCTCCTAAAAGACATGTTAGTGATTTCCTGCCTCTTTACCTGGATGTTATCAATTAGCTTATTGGCCCGAATGTGAGCATTTGGGAGGGGAGAAATTAGCTCTGCAACTGTCTGGAATCCTTTGTTTTCAGCAAGTCAGTTATTGGTTGCTGTTGTCTTGTGTGGTGTGCCCTCATGGCATGGTGTACAGACGGGGAGACTGAAGCCAGGGCGCCTTTCTCATGGCGTTTCTGGGATTCATCTGGGCCTTCTCTCACTGAAGGGCTGGCAGATGAGAGCCACAGAGGCATTTCTCTAACTTTACATTATCCAGCCTGCAATGGAACACCTTAGCCTCCCATTTCCCAGATGTCTTCATCCAGATCCCCCTGAGAGTCTCCTCCCTCCTTTGCTAGAGCCATGGGTCAGCCTCTGTGAAAGGAAAGGGCTAGGGAATGGAGTTTTTGAAAATTGGAAAAGGACTATTTGGGATATTATCGGTAAATAGGCCTGTAAGGCAGTATTTACTCATGCTTCTGAGTGTGGTATTTTCACCAATGATGAAATGACAAACAGGACATAGACTTGATGTATTAAATATTTCCTGTGTTATTGATAATAAGCATTTTTTTGATAGGTGGCAATCTTATAATCTAGGATGGGGAGGGAGCTTTGGGGGTAACTGAGTTTCAGGCATGTCTTGACGCAGTATACTTGTTCTTTAGAGTTGAAGGTCCTTCTCCTGTTGTCATTTTATAATTTCACTTCAAAGAGATACAGTTTTTGAATCAAATGTCCTGTTTTATTGTTCTGCCTTTGTTGTTTTTTTAAAGGACTCTTTATTAAATATCGAATAGTATATTTGTAATTTTGTTTTAAAAGGGTATCCTCCATTTGGATCAAGCACTGCACACTGAAGTAGCCTTGCTGGTTCTCGAGGCTTATCAGAAGCACCTCTCCCAGAAGCCCTATGCTGGGCTGCTTTCTGAAAGTATGAAACAGGTACTGATCTTCGTGGTCTCAAACTCAGAGAGATCTGCCTGGCTCTGCCTCCCTAATTCTGGGATTAAAGACCTGTCCCACCACATATGGCAAGAACAATCCTTTTGTGGCCATTAGTCTTTGAGAATTTGGGGATGTGCTGGAGCTCACATGTACAACTCAGAACTGACATTTTTTAAACCTTTGCAGGTTGGTAGTTAAATTATCAGTGGCTTGATATTACTTTTTATACTACTAATTGTCAAAGGCTGTCAATGAGGCCCCTGACTCTGACTTGTTGAATGTGTTTACTAGCACTGTGGTCTTGCGTGTCAACCTTCATACTCTTGTTCTTGAGCTGAGATCAGGTTCACAAAGCAGTCAGTGGAGTGGGGAGTTGCGAGTGGAACATGCCTTTAGTACAGTGCAGCAAATGTCAGCGGAAGGGAAGGAAGCAGTGCCTTCTCTCCTGGGGCACTGTGGGTCACAGACAGAAGTGCGAATAAGTTATTGTTTAATTTGTATATGACTCACGTTGTTAAAATGAACGACTGTTTTAGGTTTCCTATCTGGCCAGTATTGTTCGATATGGAGAGACTCCTGAGACCTCATTTAACCAATGGGTCTGGAATTTGATCTTGAGGTTAAAATTACACAAGAATGATTTTGGAACACAACAGAATTGTCCAGTTGTTCCCTTCTCCAGCACGGTACCTGACATGACAGAATCACCCATGTTTCATCCTCTCTTGAAAGCTGTGAAATCAGGCATGCCCATTGGCTGCTATCTTGCCTTAGCTATGACAGCTGTTGGCCACAGGTATGTTGAACATCCAGGGTACCTTGAATGTAGGAGTTCTAGAATCTCAAATTTTCACATCCCAGTCATGAGGCCTTCGTTAAACCCATAGGGAGTTAATTAGGGTCAAATAATGAGCCTGTTATAAAGGGAGAGATAATGCCCAAGTTAATTCCGGTTCATTTGCCAAAACAAACATATAGTTTTAACACATCTAAAGTTTCCTTGTAGATGACAGGGACTTTTCGCATTCCTTTGTGTGTCTACAGAACTTGCACACAGTAGAATGCTGGTAAATGGATGAATGTAGGAAGGGCACCTGCCTTATGGGAGGAAGTGAGATAAGGAAAATGAAGAAATACTTTTAACTGAACAGAACAGTTCCTATTGAACAGAGGTGATGGATGTGTAGTAGGACAAATTTGAAAGCAGGTAAGAGAGGGTAGTTGGTCTGGAGAAGGAGGGGTGGCTATTTAGGCTTCAGGGTTGCACTCATTACACTGTTCCCAAAGCTCTAGTGCCACTATAGTTTCCTAAAGCTCAGGTTCCTCACCTCTGAAATGGAAATGATTGTATTGACTGGTTTTATGAAGTGTGAGTTAGTCATAATACTCACTGCATACTCAGAACAGTGTCTGGCTTGTTGATTCTTTGACTATAGTCTTATAAACTTGTTTCATGATTTTCCCAGATGCTGTATCCATTCTGGGACTGTAGTTCTTATTCATTGCTGGGTCCTTTTTTGTACATACTGATTACTGATGGGAGTGAAAGAGAGAATAAGTGTTTCCTTTGGAATTGGTTCCATAGCCACAGGCTGTGAATAGAAGAGAAGTAACTTAGAACAATCTAATAGGCTGGGCTCAGGAGTAGAGTAGACAGAGACTTAGATGTATACAAATGGGGAATACAAGGAATGATGGTCAGAAAATCACCCAGGGTCGTGGTGATGCTAAAACACTGCTTTTAAAGTATATTTCTTAAGATTTATATAATTAATAAATCATATGACTGTGTATGTATATGCCATAGTGTGTGTGGATAGCTGTAGGCTAGAGTCTATGGATGCCATGAAGTTGGATACAGGTCTGGAGTGGCTGTGGGGAATCGTCCTTCTGGAAGAAAAGTACATGGTACATGCTCTTAACCACTCTAGCCCTTTATTCTGTTCAATACTTTTCCTTTCTTTTTAGAGGTTATATTTATATAAGCTCTAAAACACATACACACAATTTTGTATTTTTGTTGTTACTTTTGTAAGTACCTCCTACATGGTAGCCTTTGCACTATTAATTTTCATCTTTTTGGAGTTTTTCTTTCCCTCTTAGAGTTAAAGCAGCATAGGAAAGTACAGAATACAGAAAGTAGGGAAAATCCATTAGGTTCTGCTGCTCCTGTATTCTGAGCACCTATGAGATGAAACTATAGATGAGATTTTAAGAACTCTTTGTATTTCTGAGTTATGATTGTAGTAATTCTGTGTGTAGGTTAGTCATAAAAGTTTTAGAGAACTGAGATAATCTGGGTCTTGTAAGCTTGCATTTCATTGGAGGAGCACAATTTTATGAATGAGCTACTGAGTACTCACACTCCCCTTTCTTTGTCTGTAGCATCGAGAAGTTCTGTTCAGAAGGTATCCCACTGTTGGGAATTCTGGTCCAGTCAAGGCATTTGAGAGCAGTGGTCCATGTCCTAGATAAGATTCTACCCATGTTCTACCCTTGCCAGTATTACCTTCTGAAGAATGAGCAGTGAGTATGTTCTGCTGGCAGAAACACCCCAGCAAGTATGAATGACGCTTTATGGTTTCTAGAGTAAATTAAAAGGGAATGGTATTTTGTTTCATTGGTTGGTCAGTAGGTCATTTTTTGTTGCTTTTTCTTGGTTTGTAGAAGTATATGTATTATTTTTCATTTGAACTATATATTGTATTTTTCTCATTTTACTGCTTTTTTTCACTTTAACTGACTGCCTTTTTAAAAAAAATATTTTATTGTTAATTTCATGTACTTTGTGAGTCTGTGTGACAGAATGGGCACGTGCTTACAGAGGCCAGAAGAGGGTGTCAGAGATCCCTTAGAGCTGGCTATAAAAGATACCTGATGTGAATGCTGGGAACTATACTTGGTGCCTTTGCAAGAGTAGTGCTTGCTCTCAGTTACTGAATTGCCTCTTCATTCCCCAGTAGTAGTTTTTTGTTTGGTTGTTTACTTTTATTTATTTATTTTTTAAGATACAGAAAACTTCTGTACTCCTTTTTAGAATGTGGTTAGTGAACATTATTTAGATTAATGATTCTAGTTTCATTGTTATGAAAGGTATTTCCTATATCACTTTACTGAGAATTGCTTAGAAAGTCTGTTAGTATTTAAAAGTGCTTCTTACTTATAGCGTAATTGTAGCAATACCAAAACATATTGTTTTCTGTAGCCTACGAGCTGTGGGCAGATAAAGTGAATGGCAAGCAGGAAGAGATGACATGTCCAGGAGACAACGATTTGGTCATCTGGGGTTCATGAAGAGCAATATAAAAGGGGAAGGGAAACCCTGTAGAACTAGGGCAAATAGTACATGCAAAGGGATAAGGGTAGTGTCAGGTTTCTTATTGAATGCATTTGATTCATATGTCTCCTATTTGAGGCAACTAATTAAATATGCATTCCCAGATGCCTGGAGATTTGACCTAAGTAGAAAGATTTAGCACCCTGAACATTCAGGGAAGTCTGGGAACTAAGTAACTTGAAAATATCTCTGCTTAAAGGTCTGAGATATAGAGGGGATAATGGCATTTTGAAGTATTTTCTTCTGGAGCTCTTTAACTTGTCTGTATTTATATGACTTGGGTGTGTTCATTACAGTATAGTTTAGAGATATTATTCCTTTTAACCCACATTAAATATGAAGACTTTATTCTTCTGAAATCCTTGAAGATTTATCAGAATCCCTAAATAGCACTGTGGTCTAAAAATGGAGCCAATTTACCATTTTTCTATTTCCTGGTAATGAGAAGAGCTCTGGGCACATTACTCAGTGGTAGAGCACTTGCCTAGCATGCTTACAGCTCTTGGTTCATCCCTAGACACCATCTACCCCGTGCCCAAAGTCTGCTGTGGTGGTACATTCCTGTAATCCCATCATTTTGGGTTTGGTGTTCAAGGGCAGTTTCAGCAACATAACAAGTTAGAGGCTAGCTGGGCTCTATGAGACCCCGTCTCAAAACAGCCAGAGAAAAACAAGCCAACAAAGAAACCCCACACAGAACAGCTCGCAATTCTGCCTGGTTGGAAGGTAAAGGGTGTGGTCCTTTGCATTCCACAGGTTTATGTCGATCCTGCTCCTCTTCCTACACTTGGACAGTGGTGTTCCTCAGGGGGTCACGCAGCAGGTCACCCAGAAGGTGGCACAGCATCTGACAGGAACCAGCCATGGGGACAACGTGAAGCTTCTTAACAGCATGATCCAGGTCAGGGATCACAAATCCCTTAGTGCATCCTCTTCCCACAGGACAGTGGTGTTAGCTCTTAGGTATGGGTATGCCAGTCTCTTGGTATAGGAAGGCTGTTAGAGTTGGACTTTGGTGGAAGTGGATAGCATTTGTATGTGTTTTAACAGTGGGAAGGGGGAGGTTGTTAACCTTCCACATCACTTCTTCACAGGCACACATATGTGTGAGCACACAGCCTAATGAAGTGGGTCCTGTGGCTGTGTTGGAGTTCTGGGTCCAGGCTCTCATAAGCCAGCATCTATGGTACCGAGAACAGCCCATTCTCTTCCTCATGGACCATTTATGTAAAACAGCTTTTCACATGATGCAGGAAGATTGTGTGCAGAAATTGCTCTACCAACAGCATAAGGTAACTGTAAGAAAATAATGTTTCAGCCATTGGCTACATCCTAGCTGCTAAAAGGGTCTCCCTTTTAATGTTGTCTTATCTCAGTAGCCATAATCTACTGGTACAGATCCCAGGGAATGCATAGAGGAGTATACCAAGAGGGAGGTCTGTAATGCTCATTACATGTTTATGTAGTGCACTCTGGGAATACTGCAGCTGACACCATTATAGTTCCTGTAGTACACTCTGGGAATACTGAAGTGGACAGTCCCATTTTTGAAATCTTTTTTCAGTTAGTATGTATACATTGTCATGGCATTCAGGATAATATTTCCATTTATGTACATCCTGTACTCTGCTCATGACTGGGTCATTGCTCAACTCTCCCAGTCCTTTAAAGAACTAATTGCAGTGCCCTCCAGACTGTTCCACAAAAATAAAAAACCAGAGTTACTTTGATACTAAAAGCAGTTGAGATGACAAAGAAAGAAAACCGTAGGCGAATTTCCCTGATAAACATAGAAACAAAATTCTGAATGAACCACTTGAAACTGTGCCCTATTGGAATCTTTCAATGTGGAGGTAACTGCTAATACCCTTGGAAGAGTCACTGATAGGTTTTTCTCTGTTTCTCCTCTTCCGCCATATAGAATGCTTTGGGTTACCACTGTGACCGGAGTCTGCTTTCTTCCTTGGTGAGCTGGATTGTGGCAGGCAACATCACACCTTCCTTTGTGGAGGGCTTGTCCATGTCCACACAGGTATGAAGCCTACCGAGGACCATTTGTTAGCATCCTTATTGAGATTGGGTCAGGGGCTGAGTGGAGAGAGATCAAGTGTGGGTATTAGGGGGGTAGGTGGCCCAGGTTTCAGAGTTATGCTGTCATTGGCTAGCTCTGTGCCTTGGGCTGCTTGCTGATACCTCTGTCTTAATTGAACCTGTATGTAGATCACTTAGAACAGACCTTAGTGAGCACTCGCTCTGTGTGGTCTTGTCAGCAGCAGCAGTAGTTTCATCATTACTGTATAAGGTCATATCTGTTTCACCCCTTCAGCCAGTAGTGACATCCTTCAATCTATTGCCTGGTCTTCCTGGGTCTGAGTTGACACCAGTTCCTCTCTGCTACATAGACTGATGGCCACTTCTCCACTTCTGCTTTTCTGCCTCACTGAGACTCTGAGGGGCCATCTTTCCTGCCTAGCTCTAGAATATTCTCTGGTACAGCCCCCCACCCCCCACTCCCAAATGCAGTCCTTGTCATTTCCCTCCTAGAAGAATTTAGCATTTTTCAGTTACTTGTTTTGTCTAATTGTGTACATGTGACAAGAACATAGAAACATATTAAGTATATAGGAAGTTTAGAAGCTCAACATTTGCTGCTTGACATCTGCACATGTGTGTTCTGCAGTGCTACAGATCAAATTGAGGGGCTTGCACATGCTAGGCAAATGCTGTACACTGAGCCATACCTCCAGCCCTAAAAAGATTTAAACTCATGAGCAGGATATGTCCATCAATTGGGATTAGTGGCCTCTTTCCTTCCCCTTTGCTTGGTGCTATAGGTTTGGTTTGCGTGGACTGTGCTGAACATGGAATCTATCTTTGAAGAGGACTCTCAGCTCCGAAGAGTTGTTGAAGGGGAGTTGGTTATAAATGCTTTCACCCCTGACCAAGCTCTAAAGGTACAGTAATTATGCTTCTGTGTTTGGTTGCTGGAGGTGGCTCACACTCTTTGCAGAGCCGTTCACTACAGCCTGTTAACTCCTCCATTCGTCATCTAAAATCCTGTGGAACCCAAGGCTGTGTGGCTTCTCCGAGTTCCCACTGGTCATGGAGGAGTGTATTCTAGTCTGGATGTAGGGGATTGTTGTTGCTGTGAAGTGGTTGCCTTTGTGTCCAAGTACATCCCACATCCCTTGTTAAAACTTGTTAAAAATCAGATTTCTGGTGCTTGCTTCAGAAATTTTGAGTCTCTGAACCTGGGTTGGAAAGAGTAACTTCTTTTTATTTTTTAATTTAAATTAGCAACAAGCTTACTTCACATATCAATCCCAGCTCCTGAACTTCTTTGAAAAACTCCAGTGTGTGAAATAGGCTGGGCAAAGGCTTCAGACTAGAGGTCTACTAAGGACCATAGTAGAGGCCTTGCTCTCAGGTTTCAGAACCTGTCAAGGAATCTTCAGTTGCTAAAAGCTCTATAAAAATATAGGCAACACTCCTCAACAAAGCAATGTCTGGAGGCATCACCATCCCTGACTTCAGGCTCTATTATAGAGCTATAGTCCTGAAAACAGCTTGGTATAGGCACAAAAATAGGCAGGTAGACCAATGAAATCGAATTGAAAACCCTGAGATTAATCCACAAACCTATGAACAGCTGATTTTCGACAAAGAAGCTAAAATTATACAATGGAAAAAAAGGTAGCATCTTCAACAAATGGTGCTGGCATAACTGGATATTGGCATGTAGAAGACTGCAGATAGATCCATGTCTATTGCCATGCACAAAACTTAAGTCTAAATGGATCAAAGACTTCAATATAAATCCAGCCACACTGAACCTCTTAGAAGAAAAAGTGGGAGGTACCCTTGAATGAATTGGTATAGGAGACTGCTTCCTAAACATAACACCAGTAGCACAAACACTGAGATCGACAATTAATAAATGGGACCTCCTGAAATTGAGAAGCTTCTGTAAGGCAAAGGACACAGTCAGCAAGACAAAAAGGCACCCCACAGATTGGGAAAAGATATTCATTAACCCCACATCTGACAGAGGACTGATCTCCAAAATTTACAAAGAACTCAAGAAGCAAGTCTCCAAAACACCAAAGGATCCAATTAAAAAGTGAGGGACTGAACTAAATAGAGCGTTCTCAACAGAGGATTCTAAAATGGCTGAGAGACACTTAACAAAGGCTCAACATCACTAGCCACTAGGGAAATGCAAATCAAAACAACTCTGAGATATCATCTTCTGTCAGAATGGCGAAAATCAAAACACTAATGACAGTTCATGCTGGAGAGGATGTGGAGAAAGGGGGACACTCCTCCACTGCTGGTGGGAGTACCAACTAGTACAGCCACTTTGGAAATCAGTATGGAGATTCCTCAGGAAAATGGGTCTGAGTCTACTACAAGACCCAGCAATTCCACTCTTAGGCATTTACCCAATAGATGACATTCCCACAACAAGGATGTCTGTTCCACTATGTTCATAGCAGCATTATATGTAATAGCTAGATCCTGGAAGCAACCTAGATTTCCCTCAACTGAAGTGTGGATAGAGAAAATGTGGTACATTTACACAGTGGAGTACTACTCAGCAGAGAAAAACAGTGGAATCTTAAAATTTGCAGGCAAATGGATGGCACTAGAGGATACCATCCTGAGTGAGGTAACCTAGACACAAAAAGACAAACATGGTATGTACTCACTCAGATATGGATTTAGATATGGATCAAGGGAGTGTCAGCCTACAATCCCAGTGCCAGTGAGTCTGGGAAACAAGGAAGTTCCCAAGAGATATGCATGATACCCCAGAGAAGTGGAATGAGGCAAGATCTCCTAAGCACATTGGGAACATCGGGGGAGGGAAGAGGGAACCAGGAAAAAGAGAGGGGGATAAGAGGAGAGGAGAAGAAGGCATGGGGGAGCAGGAAGGTTGAGTTGAGGTAAGAATAGAGGAGAGCAGGATGAGAGATACCATAATAGATCGAGTCATTATAGGTTTGAGGAGAGAGCTGACATTAGTGAGATCTCCAGAGATCTACAAGGATAATACCAACTGGCAATAGTGGAGAGACTACACTAATAGCCCCTCCTTGATGATAGGATTGATGACTATCCTATATGCCATCCTAGAATGACATCCTAGAACCTTCATCCAGGGACTGATGGAAGCAGAGACGATACCCACAGCTAAACACCGAACTGAACTCCTGGAGCCTAGTGACAGAGATGGAGGAGTGATGAGCAAAGGGGTCAAGACCATGATGATAAAATCCACAAAGACAGCTGACCGGATAAGGGGGAGCTCTTGAATCCCAGACTGATGGCTGAGAGGCCAACAGGGGACTGATCCAGACTCCATGAATGTAGTGCCAGGGAGGAGGTCACAGAAATCACTGGGGTAGTAGATCAGTGTTTACCATGGTTTATGAATGAGCTTTGGGAGCCCATTCCAAATACAGGGATGCTCTCTCAGTCTGGACACATGGGGAAGGGCCTAGGTCCTGCCCAGGACGAAATGACAGACTTTAGAGATTCCCCCCAAGGAGGGTCTCACCCTCCCTGGGGAATGATTGGGTGGGGGGCTGGAGTGCTGGTAGAGGGACAAGGGAGGAGGGATGGGAGAGGGAGCTGGGACTGACATGTGAAACATTCACATTTCTAATTATATAAAAACATATATTGAGGAAAAATAAATAAATTAAAAACATAGATTTTCAGCAGGGCAGTGGTTGCCCACTCCTTTAATCCTAGCACTCGGGAGGCAGAGACAGGTAGATTTCTGTGAGTTTGAGACCATACTGGTCTACAGAGTGAATTCCAGAACAGCTGGGGGCTATTACATAGAGTAACCCAGTCTTGAAAAAGAAAAATTAAAAAAATTAGATTTTTCAAGATTGATAACATTGGACAAATTCATTTTTGGTTTCTCTAACATTTGACCGCTTTGCTCTATGAAGTTAAATTTTTATTTAAGTTTTTATTAGCATATACTAGTGATCATAATGGATATCTCATCTGTACCTATGCTATATTTTGGTAATATTCCTTCCATTACTCCCTTCCTCCTTTCCTGCTGACCCTTCTGCTTCCTGACTCGTTCATTTCTATTTACCATCCTTTTTTCTCCCTGTGATAAAATGAGTGTAATTAGCTTTACTTACAGGGGCATGGGTGCCTTGCCAGTGGCTTTTCAACTGAAGGAAAACACCACCCCCACAACTAGGTTTCTGTCTGTCTCCTCTCCATACACATGGAGGGATGGACCTTCTGAGCCTCTCCTCCCTCCATGATAGGGTGTTGTTGGACCCAATGTTATGCAAATTGTATGCAGTTATAGCTGTGGGTTCCAGAATGCCAGGGCCATGGCATTCTTTATAGGCAAAGGAATTTCAGAAATGGGCATGAGGTTTGTTTGAGACAGGGTCTCAGGTATTTCCAGGCTGTTCTCTGATTTATGATGTAGTTGAAGATGACCTTTGGAGTTTTGATCCTCCTGTTTGTTCTGCTCAGTTCCCTACAGTGCTGGGATTGAGCGCAAAGCCTCCAGCATGCTGAGCAAATACTCTCAGCTGAGCTCTGTCCCTGTGCTTTAGGTGACTCTTGAGGTGACTTTGACATATCTTCACAGTAGAGAACTTGGCTCCATGTCTCACTGCCAAAGAGGTTAAATTGTCAGCTAGTGGGCTTGGAAAATGCTTTAATGACTTTTTCTTACTGACGTGAAAGCAGAGTGTTTAACTTTAGGGTACAGTGTTTTATTGTGCTCGTTTGGAGATTGCTAACACTCAGTTCTCTTGTAGAAAGCCCAGGCCCAGCTGAAGCTGCCCATCGTCCCATCCCTACAGAGGATGATGATCTATCGCTGGGCCCACCAGGCTCTGGCCACACCTTCTGACCATCCTCTTCTGCCACTCATCTGGCAGAAGTTCTTCCTCCTGTATCTTCATCGCCCAGGACCACAATATGGGTATGCTACCCAGTAGTGTAGTAAGTTCCTGTCAGCTTACTTCTGAGTCAGTATGCTTGGAGTATGAATTAGGGTTATGGCTAAGATTCTGTCTGTGTTCAGTAATTATTAGACTTGATCTTAATGGGGTTTGGAGTATTTTGTGGCAACTTCTCTTTTCCCTCATCTATTCTTAACATGCCCAAGACAGCACCTGGGAACTTGGCAAGACTCAGCAGAGAACCTCTGGAGGTGCATAGGGAGAAAGATGATCCAAACTGAGGCTACCTATGCGACCTCCCTGAGGCTTGCAAGGGACCTTATGATGAGTAATCATATGTGAGTGTAGCCCTTGACTGTGCATGAGGATATTGCATGGTTCTACTGAATAGCAAGGTAATCTGGCCTACCCAGACTGTCCGCTGGTACCAAGCACTGCTCTCCCACTCCTAGTTAGTTCTCAGATCCACCCCCTTCCTTCACTCCTTTGAAACATAAAGAAAGAGGTGGACTTTTGGTTCCCTCTGTTTTCTGTTAGATTTTGAGTTCTTCACAGAGACTGACACCCTGACTATGTAGTATTTCTTTCTTTTCAAGGCCACTTTCCTGTGATAGTTTTCCCTTACTTCTAGGGACACATTCCAAGATGCCTTGTGGATGTTTGAAGCCTCAGTTGGTACCAAACTGCGTACTCTGCATACAACCCTATGATAAAGTTTAGTTTATAAATTTGGCATAGTAAGAGATAAACAGCATAAGTAGTAATTCAATAAACAATTACAACAGTTTGCTAGTTTATGTGCTCCCAAAGAAAGCTTAGTGTAACAGTATTCTATAATAAAAGTTGATTAAAACATACATTGCTAGGGCTGGCAAGATGGCTCAGTGGGTAGCAGTGCCTGACATGCAAGCCTGATAACCCAAGTTTGATCCCGGAAACTCACAGTGGAAGGAGAAAGGCCAACTCCTAAAAACTGTCCTCTGGCTTTTACACTAATGACGTAGAAAGTGTGCACCTGTACTTAGACATACGCACATGCGTGAGCACGTGCACACACACACATGCACACACTAAATGGAATAAAAAGTAAAACTAAGTGCATATTGCTCATTTCTGGAACTTTCTGTTTGTACCATGGTTGACTATGGGTAATTAGAACCATGGGAATGGACTCAGCTGAGAGGAACTCTGTATATACTCTCTGGATCCTCAGAATAGATTTCGAGGTATAGCAAGGTAACTTGCTAATTGACTGCTCTTATGCCACTTAGAACATTTTCTGCTCAAAGGTTATTGGATCTTCTTATTCTTTCTAAGGTTACCCGTAGATGGTTGTATTGGAAGAAGGTTTTTCCAAAGTCCCTCGCATATCAGTTTGTTGAAAGACATGAAGAGACGCCTTACTGAGGTGGCTGACTTCCACTATGCTGCAAGCAAGGCTGTCCGTGTTCCAGCAGAGGGCAGTGAAGGGACAGAAGAGCAGCAGGCTGGCACCCCTGGTTACCTGACTTCTCCAGAACTGCACCGCGAGCTAGTGAGGTAAGGTGCTTCTCATTTGTGGCACAGACATGATGCTGGTGTGCTTAGCTTAAATACAGAGCTCAGATGTTACTCTGAAACTGTTAGATTGTATTTGGGAGGTGGCTTTGACGCTGATTCATACCTGGAGATGTTTCTCATGAGAAGTAAGTCGGCTGTTTGAATGCAGCTTTGTTGAGTGTTGGAGTCTGAGTAATAACCCAGAGGGCTGGTACCCTTCTCTTTCTTACGTGAAAATAGGAGTAAGCCAAAACAAATTGACCATAGCAGGCAGAAATGACCAAGGCAGGGTTCTTTATCTCTGAGATCCTTGACAGGGTCCAGAGGCTTATCAATTTAGGCACAGATTGGCCTGTCCCTAAGTGTTTGGAACTTCAGAGCGAGCCATAGTTGGTTAGTGTGGTTTCTGCCTGTACATTTAACTTAATCCCAATGGTTGTTCTTGAAACAAGACCGCACAAACATGGCTGCTAGGCATTGTCCTCAATTGCAGAACACCTTGGTGAGTGAGGATAGCTAGGTCTCAGGCTTGCTTTGACCTGGGGCCCTCAGGGCTTGCCCTCAGTCCTTATCTTGAGTGGTTAAAGGACCCTTTTATTTTTAACCATTTTTACTAGAAGGGTTTCTCTTGGAACATTTTAGGTTTTTGGTATTTCTCTTCAGTTCCCTCTGTGGGTATTTAGAAAGCATTTATCTTCCTGAGTTGGGAGCTGGAAGAAAATCTATGCTTTTACCAGCTTTGTCTGTAGCTCTCTTCCTTAACACACTGTCCTGCTTGTAAAGGAGGTAGTTTTCCACTTTGTTGGCCAGAGCTACCGCAGGCTGCCTTTTGGTCATCTGTGTCTGCCAACCCCTTTCCCATGCTGTTTTTCAAACAATGCCTTGGATACCAGTGGCCTTAACTGATAGATGGCTCTGTTCTTTGGAAAAGCAAAACATAAACAAACTGTTAAAATATATTTAAAAATAAAGACATACTTTGTAAGCCTGGCTTTTGAAAATATCCCTTTTAATGAGAGCAAGGTACACAGATCCACATTTTTATTTATGGTTTCCTTGAGACAGGACTGGCTATTGCTATTAGTCTGGCAAGTGCTTGTAGTTGGATAGAAAGTAGCTTTTGGTATTTTCCAAGTATTAAGGTTGGCTGTGTCTGACTTGATCAGGATAGCAAAGTTCTGAGTTCAGATCCTAAGCACTCATCCAGGCATGTCTGCATTTACTCCTTCATCCATAGCAGGGCTCTCAGAGCCTCTTGCAGACCTTTGATATAAGTTGGAGCCTGTTTTAATGATGTCTGAGGTCTCCCGATGCAAGTTTCTTAGGAGAATCAGTGACTACTAGATACATTTCTTCATGGAAGCCTTTCTTTACTGTCACATGATGGTACCAGAGTTCTTCATTTTACTGCATATATTTTTACATTTTATGTAATTGTGTTTTTATTTTTAGGCTCTTCAATGTATATATATTATGGCTAGAAGATGAAAATTTTCAAAAAGGAGATACCTATATTCCTTCTTTACCGAAGCATTATGATACTCACAGGCTAGCAAAAGTGATGCAGAATCAGCAGGTAAAACCATGACAATAACTTTTTTTTTTGGCTTTTCTAAATGTAAATTGAACTGACCATAGTCATCACCCAATGGTAAGACTGCTTCCTGATACAGAATGGTGGTCACACACAGTAATTTGTGTGGGCTTTGTCACTGTATATATGAATCTTTTGACAGCTCTGTAATGGCCTCACTCAAAGGCCTGAAGCTTGTTCTAGGACGTTTTGTGACCCGAAGAACACAGCCTTTGTCTGACTAGGCTCTCGCTTATTTGAGTTGTGACCAACTGAACACTTAGGCAGCCCTCTCTACATCAGAAGCACAGAAATGAGTTTTAGGTCATAGGTCAGCTCAGGAGATGATGGAGAGGCTTCCTTGTCAGTGTCTAGTTCTGATTGTCCTTCTAGAGCCACTTGATTCTGCTTCCTGTGTGTCCTCATAGGGTTTCTTTCTGGCACACATGGATGTCTTTGATTCCTTTTCAGCCCTAAAGAATGCCTTTCTCAGGGATCTTTTTATCTAGGGGCTGAATTCTGGCAGTTGCTGACCATATCCTATACTAGAATGATTTTGTAGCTTCTAAGACATGACGGACTTTCATTTGGTTCCTTAAACCTGTCTGTTTCCACACCATATATAGAATTTCATCTCCAGTAGGTGTGTCTTTCTTTTCTCCCTTTTTTCTTCTCTTTCTTATACCGGTATTTATTGAGTGCCAGGTTATTAGTGCCAGAGATACTAAAAGAAATCTGATTTAGTCCCTGCCTGTCAAGTGGGAGAGCTAACATGCAATGATCACATCTGTGTCAGGACTGAGCATAAAATGCCCGTGGTGCTCTGTGAGGCTATCGAGACCCAGCCTGAAGGGATAACTTGTGAACCAGGCTCTGAAGGACCTTGATGAAGCTTGATGAAGTTTGGAGGGAAGACATGAGACGGTGTTAAGTGATAAAACTAATCCATGCCAAACCATGGCATGTCCGCAATGGTTGGCAAGGATGAAGCAGCTGAGCAGGGCAGGTAGAACCACAGTTGTCAGCTAGGATAAACCATTAAAGGCCTGTACACTTTTCTAAAGAATTTGGGTTTTATTCTGAAGCCTTTAGAGAACTATGGCAATGGTTACGTAAATGGAGTAGGCTTTTAATAATTTATTTATTATTATTATTATTATGTGTGTGTGTGTGTGTGTGTGTGTGTGTGTGTGTGTGCCTGAGTGTGTTTAAGAGTGCTATGTGTGTTCAGGTGCCCACAGAGGTCACAGGATACCAGATACCTTAGAACTGGAGTTATAGACAGTTGAGAGCTACCTCTGGAAACTGTAAAAGCAGTTAGTGCTCTAACCCACTGAGCAATCTCACTTGAGCCCTGGAGGAGGGGATTTGAATTGATTATGTACATAAGAGCCTCTAGTCCTCCAGTCCCTACTTGGGCTATCTGGAGGAGCTATTTACCAAGAAAAGGAATGTGAGAAGAGGAAAAGCCTTCAAGTGAGAGCTCTGATAGGGAGGCAGCCTGGAGCCAGATAAGAGATGGAGAATTCAGGAATGGACCTGGTAGAGAAAGTGGGCTTAATGGTAGCAGAAGGTCTAGATTAGGAAACAGATTAAAGGTGCAGCAAGCCTGAGAAAGAATGTGTAAGCCTCAGAAATGAGGCCGGCAGTAAAAGGTTGGAGGAACAGGGAAGGTGAGTCAAGTGCTGTCACACCTCACTCATTTCTTCCTGTGCGCTGCATTCTAAATCTTTACCCAAGCCTTTACAAATAGTAGAAACATGGTGCTTTAAAAATGGTAACCTCATGGACTAGAGAAATAGCTCAGTGGTTAGCAGCCCAAACTGCTCCTGGAGAGAACCCGAGTTCAGTTCCTAGCCCCATGTCAGGTGACTCATTTAATCTTATTTAATCTAATTCAGATTGATTTATCATTCATTAAATCATTCATCGTCCTGCTCTGTAGCTCAGGTGGACTGTCACTATGTAGACTACAGGCCTTGAATTTGCAGCAATCTTCTTGCCCTACTTAGCCTCCTGAGAGCTGAGATTACAGGCATGCACTGTCATGCCTAGCTTCAGTGTCTTTATTTTTTTAAACATTTTTAAAGGTTTAATTTTATTATTTTAAATTTAAATTAATTTTCAATTGTGTGTCAGTGTGTGTGTCTCTCTGTGTCTGTGGGAGAGTATGTGCACATGCATGCAGCTACCCACTGAGGCCAGAGTTTTGGTTCCCCCAGAGCTGGATTTACAGATGGCTGTGAGCTGTCTAACATGAGTGCTGGGAACTGAGCTCAGGTCCTCTGCATGAGCAGTATGTGTTCTTAACTGCTGCACATTGTACTGCTATATCATGTACTTGCTTTAAAAATGTTCTGTTTTCTTTATATGTTTTATAATGCACATAATTCAGTAGCCTAGTAGTGTATATGTTTATAATTAGTATGCATGTAGTGGGACTGTACAGCAGTTTATTTCCTAATCATGGCATATAAGCAGAAAGTTTTATAACTGCTGTTAAGCTTGTTGGTGGTCATTTGCAGTACAGTTCATGCTAATGTTGGAAGCCTAGAGCGTCACTCCACTGAAACTGAGAGGCTCACTGAGGTAAATTCACAGTTGTATGTGTGAACATGTGATTTATCTACCAAAGTTCAAGTGCTTTGGTTCCACTCTAGGACCTGTGGATGGAGTATCTGAATATGGAACGCATACATCATGAGTTCCAGGAGACAGTTGGTCAGTGGACACAGGCCAAACTTGAGTCGCATTTGCTATCCTGTAGCTCCTCAGCAGAGCTTGATTTCACGGATCCGTTGCTGGGTGAGTCCTGTGGAATCAGCGCCTTTGAAAGACAGAAAGTTTAAGTCAGAGCCTTTGAGGGTTAAGATTTCTATACTTTATCTCTCCAATGAGAATTGTTTGTTAAGGGTTCCCTGCTTGAAAAGAATAAAAAATAGAGAACATACAAATACGTTCTAAGTTACTGAAGAAAAGTTCCATGTTTACTTGTCTGTTACTGAGGGACAGAACTCACATCCTGAATGGCACACAGAGTGGTGGTTAGTTATCCCTCATGAAGGAAATTTGGAGGCAGGTGGCTCAGAGCAGTAGGACAGCCTCATGACGCAAGAACTTCCAAGCCCATCTGTTCTCTTACCTTGCCACCTCACTGTTCTTAAGTAGCATCTACCTCTAAATTAAGCTGGCCACTTGCAGTAAGCTGGAAGGAGAAGTCTCTGTAAAAGAATTGTTTCATGAAGGTGCCCATAAACTCTTTGGTTACTCCTCATTGCCCCCCTACCCCTAGTACTGGGACTGCAGGCCTCACCTCACAGTTCATGTTTCTATAAGGACAATGCATTAAATGATCAGTTAGTGTTTCAGGCCAGGCCTCAAAGGCCATTTAACCTACAGAGTTGCTGGCATATGCCCAATTTTAAAACATGGAAAATTGTATCTGAGCTTACCTTTAACATTAATTGTGGCATCTATTTTTAGAATGTATGACATATAATACAGTTATAAATTGTTGCTAACATTGCAATTATAGTGTAACAAAAAGGTGAGGCAGGGATGCTCTTTTATTTCAACTTTGCCCCAATCAATTTGTTCGTTGAGTAAAGAGGAGAAAAAGACCCTCTGGGCTTCAGTTCACTCATGTGCTGAAGTTTCATTTACGGCACCAACATTTTCTGAAATTCCAACATTTCTTTCCTTGTTTCTCCTCCAAAAACATCTTTGTGATTGTAAAACTTACATGTGCACATAAAGAAAGTGCTATGAAAAATACAGAGGAAGGTATGGAGACTGACTGCCCTCAGCTTGTCTATACTGACATTTATTTCCTGTTGCTGGGTTTGCTAAACGAGGAACACCAGGCTAGCTCTAGAAATGCCAATGCTTCCATTGCTGCCCATCTGTAGTTTTTTTTCATCTATGTAAACTCAGTCCTCGCTGCAACCCAGTGCAGGCTGTCCCCATTAAGCTCTGAAGCAACCTGGGGTGGAGAGTGGTTGGGTGACTGCATGGCTCACAGAGCTGGGAAGTAGCAGTGTCTGGCTGTAGAGATCACCCTTACACTCAGTGTCCTATTTCTGGGTTGTAAGCAATCTTTACAGTTTGAAAAAAAATGCTTAGGTTTCTAGGTAAGTTGAAAGTTTTTTCTCAAGTAAGATTGTTATTACATTATGAATGTGATTTACCAAATGATTGAACATTTGTAGGAAAGATTTGACGAGTGCTTTTGTGACACCATGTACTTTTTCCTCAAGTTTGTTTTGTAGACTGTATTTCCACCAGTTTTGATCGAGAGTAATGATTATAGCTACATATACCCTGAATTAAGTAATTTTTTTTTGAGACAGGGCTTCTCTGTTGTAATCCTGGCTGTACTTACTGGAACTCACTTTGTAGTCCACACTGGCCTCGAACTCACAGAGAGCTGATGCCTGCCTCTGCCTCCTGAGTACTGGAATTAAAGGTGTACTCCATCACTGACAGGCTTATTTTTTTTCTCTTTTGCTTAAAAAAATTCTCTTGGTTGGGTGTGGAGGTTTTAGCCTTTAGCCCCAGCATTTGGGAAGCAGAGACAGATGGATGGTTCTCTATGAGTTTGAGGTTACCCTGGTCTACACAGTGAGTTGCAGGCCAGCCAGGACAGATAATATTAATACTAAATACTAATACTAATACTAATATATTTATATATGTTATCCTTGATTTTTCTTTCATGATAAGTTTTGGTAGATTTGAAAGAGCCCCTACTGTTTCTCTTAACATCATAACCTATAATGTCACAAATCTTATCAAATGGTTTCAATTTTACTAAGTATGTACAAGGAATGGTAGTTTTAGTTGAAAAATATAAGCTATAAGCTCAGTGCTGAACTTGACCTTTTGGAATGCTAATTGGGTGGGTACACGCCATACAAATGTCTTTATGAAAATCATGACTACTAACTTTATTTTTACTTTTCAACAAGAATAGAAAATTCACTGTTATATCTGGAACAAAGTTGGAAATTTACAGCAGTCCCTTAAGTTTTTGTTGACGACTTATTGACTTGAAGTTCCTTTGACATTTACCTTCCTTTTCTGTGGCAGTGAAAGGAATGGGGAGGTGACAGCATTGGTCTTCATTTCCTCAGTTCCCCACTTACTGTTGGTGGTTTGTGTGTAGTGTGGTGAAGAGAGAGGGAAGTGGGAATTGTATGAGCTTTCTATTAGAATAGAAACATTTCAATTTGATAAGTCTGTCTGCACTGTGTGATCACTGCAGAGCTGTACAGTCCCAACACCTCCATTTTGCTTTCACAGCACTGGGTTGCTGCTTATTTGGACTCTCTAGATCATTTTATGAGTAAATCATACTGACAATGTAAGTGTAGGCTATACAGGACTTTATAAACCATTTTCATTCCTTACACTTCCAGCTTTCCTGTTCGAAACTTGATGGGATATCAGATTTTTCTTCTGCTTTATTCTGTAATGCCCATTCCTTTCTCACCTATTTCTATGAAGTTTCTCAGGATAGTGGTATTAAACTACACACCTCTGAACGGATCCCACCCATTACACAGATGCTAGATCAGCACATGCTAACATTAAGTTCAACTGGCATATCATGCAAGACTGTCTAGAGTAGTACTTTAACATTATGAACCTTTGCTCTTTAACCATTAGATTATAAATTCTGTATGTGTCGAGGGGGCAAGAGTGCTTATTTGTATAGGTGCATGTTTGTGTTAGTGCCCATACATGCGTGTAGGAACAGAGGTCAATCCTGAGTGCAAGTCTTTATGCCCCTTGCTTTTTGAGACAAGTCTCCTGTTGGCCTGGAGCTCACTGAATAGACTAGTCTGGCTGACCAGCAAGTCCCAGGGATCCAGATGTGCCTTGTCATCCCTGGAATTACAGATGTGAGTCACTGGGCCTAGTCATTTCTTTTGTATGTAGGTTCTTGGTGTTGGACTTAGGTCTTAATGATTGCATAACCAGCATTTGATAGACCAATCTGTCTCTCCAGCAATGCTCCTGATCTCCTAGCTCCTCATAGCCTATTATTAGGCTTGGGGGGACTTACTCAAAACCTGAAAGGATCACACATTTAACCATCTAGTTAGGCTCCCTTTGCCTAAGGAACTATTCTGAAAATGATATCAGAATAGCAGAACAGGGCTTTGTGTCTCTTCACCACCCCTTGGTACCCATTACTGAGTACATATGATCTTCCTTTCAGCGAAAGAAAGGATTCTGAGTAACTTACGGAAGCATGAGGCTCCCCAGCCTCCCCTTGTTCTGCACCCGGTGAGACCTCCCGTGCCTCTCATCTCCTCGGCCGTGCTGTTGAGTCAGAAGGATACCACCCAGCTGATGTGTACAGACCTGAGGCTGTTGCAGCAGCACGCCAGGTAAGACCAGGAGGCCTTGAGGGGTGACAGGCAGCTGTGAGCCACCTGAAATGGGTGTTGGGAGCCAAACTTGGGTGCTGTGGAAGTACAATACATGCTTTTACTGAGCCATCTCTGTAGTCCCTGTGATAGGGTTTTAAATGTCATATTATGTGGTATTGTCACACTGTCGGTCTCACCTTTTTCCTGTGGGGTTGTTTCTGAGGTCAGTAGTTCTGGCTGAAACGTTCTATGATTTCTCTCAGAAAACCATCTGGTACTGGAAAGATGGTGGTGTTAGAAGGGGGCAGCATGAAGTTTCCATTCTTGTGTCATTGCTTTGTTCTCTGCCCTCTGTTTTTAGAAAATTGGCACAGGTACTTGGTCAAGGGGTAGGGAAGTCATTTGTTTGGTTTACTGGTATATTCAGAATAACAAACTGTTTAAGGTTTGGTTCTCACTTGCCCTCTTGAGGAGTATATATGGACAAGACGGTTTTATCAACAACAAAAAAGCTTAGTTTTACAAATCCCCTGCGAATCATTTATTTTTTAATTTTAATTTTAAATAGCTTATTTTACATGTCAATCCCAGTTCCCTCTCCCTCCCCTCCTCCCGCACCCCCCTGCCTCCCCCCAGCCTCCCACCCTATTGCCAATTCCTTCCACATAGGGGATATCTAGAGTCTGTCATTTCACTCAGGGTAGGGTCCAGGCACTCCCCTAAGAGTCCAGGCTGAGAGAGCATGCACACAATGTCTGTTTGTATTCCAGGGATAGACACTGATCCACTGCCCAGGGCCCCATAGGTTGCCCAGGCCTCCTCACTGACACTCACATTCGGGGGGTCCGGATCATTTATTTTATTGACAGTTTTTCTTTGGATACACTTGATTCAGGCATTTGATGCTTTTATGTTACATGCATGAGTATTTGTCTGCTAACATGTTATTGATATGCTATATACTGCCTCCAGGGTAATGGGGTATTTAACCTGAAGTTAGAGAAAGTTATGAGCTGCCGATGTGGATGCTGGGTGTTGATGCTGAGTATTGATTGCCCCTAGGTCCTTTGGAAGACCAGCCAGTACTCTTGAGTGCTGGGCCATCCTTCAGCCCCAACCCCTTGATCACTTTTTATATAACCTTCCTTGATTTTGTTTTCCCAATTGGGGTTGCTTTTCAGAGCTGCAGCTCTCAGGGAGTCTCAGCAGGTTGCCCTGTATGGTGAGCTGTTGGAAACAATGCCCAAACAGTATGTTAACCGAGAAGAGCAGACCACCCTGCATTTGGAGTGCAGAGGCAGTGGTGGTAAGAAGTGCCAAGGAGCGGCAGTTGTAACAGTTCAGGTGAGGTTGTTAATTTCTCCATAATTCTGAGAGTTCTAGCTGGGTCCCTTATATTGGCATTTTGCTGAGAAAGATCCAAACAAGAACATGTGTGCTGTGTCCCAAAACATTTTTAGAGTTTTTGGGAGAATGAAAATACACAGAGTAAAATAAGTTGTCCTCAATTTCCCACAGCTAACAAAATGACTTATGTTTGTGCAAATGGAGCTCCAGAACGCGTTCCGTGACAGGTGTGGCCTGCAAGAAGATACTCAGTGAGGAATTCCTAAAAGAGGAAAATCATTTGGAAGGTTCCCAGATGCTTAAATTGTTCCTCCTAGGATTTTGATGATATTATTTTGGGTACAGTTAGAAGAAATAATGGAATGGATTTCTGTACTGCTATCTAGGCCCAGAGCTAGATCAGTTTCATGTGTTCTGGGGAATATGGTCACGGTTCATTCACCCGAGGAATTTGTAAGTGATCACAGGGCTGAAGCTGGTGGTGTGGGCAGCAGGTAGCTACTGAGTATGGGATGCAGAGTTTGTCAAGAGGTAAATGAGATATGTTGCAATCTGTCTAAAAAATTCAGCTGCAAGCCGGGCGTCGGTGGCGCACGCCTTTAATCCCAGCACTCCAGAGGCAGGTGGATCTCTGTGAGTTTGAGGCCATCCTGGTCTATGAATGAGTTCCAGGACAGCCTCCAAAACAATACAGAGAAACCCTGTCTCAAAAAAAAAAAAAAAAAATTCAGCTGCCTGTCATCTTATACTGATTATAGACAAAAGTTTGTTCTGAGATATTGTTAGTTCAGAATGGAAACTGAGCCTAAGCTAGCCTGTGTAGCACTTACTTCATACCAGACGGTCTAAACATTTTATATAACTTACTTTATGATCTTCATTTTCCATATACTGGAGTGCAGATGAACTCAGCAGTATTGCCTGAGCTGGAGAAGGGACATTTGGGGATAGGCATGCCTGCTGCTTGACTACATTTGCATAATAATACTTTTTGTTAGCTTTGAGAAATTGGGTCATTTCTTTGCTCATCCTTGATTGTCTTTTAGAAATCTTACCCCTTCCTTTTTAAATTCACATTTAGCTGTACTAGTTTATTCCCTGTTGCTTCTATGGGAGCACTGCTTCCTTTAACATAATCTTTTCTAAAATAACCTGTTAGACTTCTTTATTTTCCAATCTCTTGAAGTTTATTTCAGATTTTTCTGTTTCTGTTGCATGCATCTAATGTTAAAGGATTGGCTTGTAAGTTAAGACACTTCAGCTTATGTTCTCACCTTGTGTTGAGCATTCCAGACTCCAAAAAGTCTTCCAAAAGTTAATTTTCTCTCAGTGGATTTCCCCTAAGTTTCCAATGCTGCAAGACCAGTTAGAGGCATTTAAGAAGGGTCATTTGCTGAAGTTGTGAAGTTGGGAGAAAAGCCCTTAGCCTAGGGTAGAGTTTGGCAAGATAGGAAGAAGTTGAGATGTAGCTGGTCATAAAAAAGGGAGATTTTTTATTACTAAGCTGGGGGTTTTGTTTGTTTTTATTTTTCAAGACAGGGTCTCACTATATAGCTGTGGCTCTCCTGGAACTCGCTCTGTAGATCAGGCTGGCCTCAGACTCACAGAGATCCACCTCCCTCTGCCTCTGAGTACTAGGGTGAAGGGAACAGGTCCCTTGTCCTGGCTGTGAACTCCCAGGGACTGGAAGTGGATAATAGCACCAGGAAGAGCAGAGTTTAGCCCTGAGCCAACAGTGACTTGTCTCTTTCTTTCCAGAAAAGATCATAGTGTTTTATATCTGAACCCCCTGAATTGAAATTTCTTTTGTAACTTGATGTTTTGTGCATTTTGATATAAAAAGGAATCCCTTCTAAAAATACCTTCGAAGTAACTTTCCACAGAGGGGGAAGTCAGAGAGATGATAGATTCTGCACATAAATTCACCCAAGTACTTGTGCATTCTTTTCTCAGAAGAATGGTAGTTGCTAATATTTTAATAAAAGAGGGCAAGAGAGTTCACCAGGATAAAAAAGCCGGGGGATGTAGGAGGGTGCTTCAGAGTAGTTCAGGTGCAGTGGCACATGTCTGTAATCCTAGCACTGGAGGCACAAGGGTTCGAGGCTAACCTGAGCTATGTAACAACTTGTTTCAAGAGAGAAGAGACGAGGAGAGGTTGTGGGTAAAACACATACAAGAAAGGGCAAAGATGTTCATTTTAAGAATTTGGATAAGTTGATGCCTGTGGCCATAACTTCATTAGAAATTCTCCAGTTCTCTTAAAGCAAGTCTTAGTTTTCTGCTGGTTGTACACCAGTGCCCCGACTATAGTCGAGTTTGGGAAAACCCAGAATTTCCCTTCAGGGCTCCTGTGTCAGTCAGCCTATTATCCCCAGTGGCAAATCTGATTGACAATGCAGATGTGCCAGGGGGCCTAAAGCATGCAGATAGCAAATAACTGTGTAGTCTGAGACTTGGAAGTAAGTTATTTTGATAATTATATAACTGTTCCTAATTGTCTCTGCATAGTACTTGCTGGCTGGTGTTTTCAGGAATTGAAGATAAAATTATTTTTCTTGTGTACTCATTAACAGCTGAGATCAAGGTAGAATACAGTGGGTGCCCACAGCCATGAAGTTTGGGCATATTGATGAAGCTGCTCAAGGATTCTCTTCCCAGTTCCACATCTAGATGTCCACCTCACAGTTCCATCACTGATCTCATTTTTACCCTCCAAACCTGTTCTTTCTACAGTCCCTCCTGCCTGGTCTCCAAGATGAAAGTCCAGCCTTGTTGTCCTTTCTTCCCCTTACTCCACCCCATGCCACACTGCCCCTCTTGTTCCTTTCCAGATATATTGGCTTGGCCTGTGGAACCGATTTAAAGTGACTTCTTTCTCTTTGTTTTTATTACTGCTGCCTTCTAGTAGCCCACCACATGTCCCCCTGAGCGACCATGCCAGGCCTCCTGCCTACAGCCCTCTCTCTATCACTCACTCCTTCCCCATTGGTCCTTCTAGTCTCAGTTCTGACCTCATTCCCACGCTTTAAGCCCACAGTGGCTCTCCAGTGTCCGCAGCCCTCCATGGCCGCTTTTGATCTTTTCACAGAGTGAGAGATCCCGTTTGAAAACTCGCAAGCTCTTCTCAAGCAGTCTGGGTTTTAGCCACTTAGACTTTATCCACTCTCTGCTATACACGTGGCACACTGTTCCCCATGACTCTGCTGTTTCTGTCTCCGTGTTCCTTTCTTAGCCTTCACACTCATTGTTGCAGTTGCATTTTGAGAAGTCTTTTCTGGTCAGACTGACAAACCCTTCCTCTCACGGCAGCTTGCACTTACTGTGTTGTAGACACTAGATCTTTTTTCCCTTCCAGACAGAGTCCTGTGGGAATATATTATCTATCTAGATTGTCTTCCAGCGCATGGTAGATGTGTGGAATAAATCAGCGAAAGCTACTGGCTTGTCACTTGTCAGGCATATGTTAATGGTGCTGTGTGTTGTCATTAATTCTATGGCTGTTAGTAGGTTTGAGTCCCATGAGATCAGTGACATTGTCTTATCTGTGTTTGTATTGTCAGTGCTTCATGGTCATGGATGTGTTTGTAGGAAACTGTGGATTTATAACCTTTTCAGTACATTCTCTAACTGTTTTCAGCAACTTTGTGGGTAGTATTTGGCTACGAGCAATATGGACATTGGAATGTTTTCTTAATATATGTAGCTATTCTTTCCTTTTGGTTACTTTTTGGTTCACTTAAGCATCTTCATGCTTAGGGTAAAAGCCTCAGTTGAATACAGGTTTTTCCCTGGTGCTCATTCTTGACAAGCAAAAGGGATATTGCATTTATGATACCACTGCTTTTTCCTACCTGCTAGATCCTTTTATGTCCCTTGTATACACTGGAGTTCTTGAAGGCACTTTGCTTACAGTATCTCACTTAACTTCTACAGAATGAGGGTGAATTAGGGAAACAGGTTCATGTTTACTAACAGAATTTACAGGTATCACAGCTACATCATTCAGTTAGAAATTAGCATGCATCCATCAAAAGTCAACTTTCAGTGTTGTTTTATTTTAATTTTATGTTGCTGAGGATTGAACTCAGAACTTTACATGGGCAAGTGCTTTATCACTGAACTACATCTCCGGTCCTCATACCCAGCCCATTCAGGACCTGTGCTTTGCACATTCAGTATTGTCAGACCACCCAATTCCTTTTAGCTGCTTCAGCTCTCCTTTCTAAGGTGAGCACTGGTTCCGAGGGAGTTGATAGTGGCAGTAAGACCTCACTTTAAATGAGCACACATATTGCTTTCTGTCTGAGTCAGTGTCATTATAGAATTCATGATTGTAATTGAATATTTGGTTCTAGATCAGTTTCTAAACATCATTTTCATGGAAAAATCATTTTAGTCAATTTTACAAATATAATTTTTTATGGTTCATTTATAAAGATTTCATATTACCTCATTTTCTTACTTAATAAAAATTTCTGGATATTTCCAGCTGTCTGCAAGTCTTTGAACTTGTATAACTTATTTGGAGTACACAGAAGCTGAATGTGTTTTATGAGAAGTGAGACAAGTTTTTTCTGTGGTCTCCAGTCCCAGCAGCAGCCTTTCATTGTTCAGTGATATTCCCTGAGGAAATAGAGTGATTTATGAATGGGTTCTTTTTGTCATAGTTGTATTGTAGGGCATGTTTGCTAGACCCAGGATTGATTGATTCTCAAGTGAACAATTTTTTCCATAAAGGGTGGAAAGATCTGCCAAGGGTCTCCCATTCTTTAACCCTTGTGAAAGGATATGCTTTGTCCAACCTCGCCTTTGTCTCATTGAAATGACTCAGATGGAAGGGTCCACATGCTGCTTTGATCTGTTTTCTCCAGCTCCTTGGTGTGGAGCTGGAGTCTTCCAGCCCTTCTCATGTCTGTTCTTAGTGAGCAGTGGTGGGAAAGTGGAAGACTTCTGCCACATTGGTGAGTCTGATACAACAAAGTTATTGTGCCAGTAAAAAAAGTATGTATGCTCAGAGATGCACTGTGTAAGACAGACAGGGCCATTGCCCCTCAAGACTTTGAATGTAGCATTTATGAGGTCCTCATTTAAATAGGTTGATAGTTATATTTACATTATTCACATAGGGTATATAATTGTGCTGCGGTGGCTGAAGACTACTGGGTACTGCATATCAAGATAAGGTTTAAATGAGTGAGGAAAACAGAGAATGAAGGTCACTGCTGCTTGTCCCCTGTTCTGACTGTACTGTACTCTTCTGTCACAGCTCCTGGTAGTTTTCTAAAAGCTTTTCCTTTCTAGTCACCTGTCCCTCATCAACTCCAACAACTGTCATACGTTTATTTTCTTTAATCCCCCCATCTTAGTTTGAATGTAATAGAAATATTGGTTGCTCACTTTAGCGTGGCACTCAAGTGGCCAAGTGTTGAATATTTGTTCCTGTTTTGGATGTCAGGCTGGATGGTAGCATGCAGAGCTTTCAGCCAGCTAAGTGCATGTCCTCTGTCAGTGACCTGACTGGGCTGAACCAGTGTCAGCTTCTCTTGCACAAAGTCACCAACAGAAGTTCCATTCACAGTGATCTTTTCACTGGTGATAGAGGCTTTTGAAGGAGACAAGCCTTTCAAACTCTGTAATCTCAAGTAATACTGTGCTCAAAGGGTGATAGCAAGGGGATATCCATAGGTCTCAGCCTTCCCTTGTTTCTAGGGTTTTCTCATTCGTGTCATGTGACAGGTTATGAAAATCATCAGAGGCACCACTGTCTTCACAGTTGGGGTGCTTATGATTTTATTCTCCACTACTGAAGTAATGTTCTGTATGGGGCACGCACATGTGAAATCTAGAATAAAAGAATACATCAGGGGTGGGAAGATGGTTCAGTAGGCAAGTCATTTGCTGTGCACTCTTGAGGACCAGAGTTCAGATCCCCAGCATCTATGTTAACACAAGACACATATGGCAGCCTGCCCCTATTTTCAGTGCTTGGGAGGCAGTCCCATGGCAAGCTAGATAGCAAGATTAGCCAATTGGCAAGTTTTGGGTTCAAGTGAGAGACCTTGTCTCAGTGTATGAAATGGAGCGTGTTACAGGATGACACCTGACACACTACATCTGTGTGACTCATGCACCATGAGAACACACATACGTACATGCATACCATGTACACACACACATGCCAAATACAACAATAGTCATTAAAAAAGGAACACAGCATATTCTTCTTTGTGGTTAGATAGGCTGTGCCTCTGCAATGACCATCTGGTCTAACAGTTGGGGCCTTGAAGTTGGGCCAGGATGCCCAATTTGGAGCATTTCCTGAAGATGTTTTGCTATCAGCATTTGTGACACAGAATTCTTCTAGTTAGAAGCCACTGACACCAACCAGAAATCAACCTCAAATATATCTTGGTGGTGCATTCTGTGTTTAGGATATCCTATATATTTCTCTATATCCTAAAAAGGATACCAAAAATGCACAGGCAAAACCACTGTCAGAGAAAGGCCGTGTTTGCAACTACCTCAGGCTTGGAAGACACAGAGTTTAAAGGGTAGATTTCTGATAGATTTTCCAAAAAGTTCTTTATATAAAAAAACCCAACCAGACAAACCCTGAGTTCTTTAATAGTTCCCCCGAGTCTAAGCGTGGGTATTGAATTTAGAGCCTTGTGTACACTAGGCAAGTATCTCATCACTGTGAGCTACATTTCCCCCCTCATCTTGACTTTTTTTTTTAAGAGCCAGGGTCTCTGTGTAACACAGGCTGACCCTGAACCCATGATTCTTCTGCTTCTGTCTTGAGTGCTAGGATAATCCTTGAGTAGTTTTTAATCATATTTTCCCACTCATTTTGCATTCAATCAAGTTTTGAATTAAATTGTGTTATTGACTGTATTAGTAATCTTTCATCATATGCCAGTGTGCTTATCATAAAACAACTGTTCTAGAAGTTGTAGGGGAAAACAAGACTGTTGAGGGCTATGTGTGGTAGATCATACTTCTGACCCTAGCACTTGGGAGGCTGAGGCAGGAGGTCTGCCATGAGTTTAAGGCCAGCCTGGGCTACATTTAACATGTCTATTGACCCCTTGAATTTTCCTTAGTTTGAAGGCATGTACAAGAATGACGCAGTAAGCCAGCAGATTCACATTCTGCAAAAAGAAGTGAGGCAGTTCCAAGCAGAAGCTGCTCAGCCCCCAGCACTTAACATTGTGGAAGCTGCGGTGCATGCGGAAAACCTGATTACGTGAGTCCTGGGACCGCTCATTTCAAATCGGCTTTGCTGTTGATAGCAATCATCCATAGGACTTCCCCTCTTACCCCACCCCAGTCATTGAGTATGCCAATCAGCAGACTAGAGCCTTTGGGTCCAATCTCAGTAGCCGTGATTTTATAAATGGTTTTATTGGAACCTAGCCATCTCTGTTACTTATAATGACTATGACTTACAAACCACAAAGTATTTCCCATCTGACTGGTGACCCTTGAACTGTAGGATGATACCAGGCATGGGAACTCAGTGGTGGGGGATTCGCTGCTTCAGTTTTACACTGGAGTCATCCTCAGGCTGTCAACTCAGATGATAAAATGAAGTTCGCTATAATTACCTACAGGGACTACAACTTCTCCACCATACCCAGTAGCTTGCATATGACCTTGTGGTTTTTCTCTGAGAGCTCCTGGCATATATTGACCTTTCCTCAAGTCATCTGAACAAAGCTTGGGAGAGGATGTTAACTTAAGATAACGCCCCATCATGGCAAGTCGCTGCTGATTCCTTTAGCAAGCTGGGATGGAGTGTGGAGGGCATTGAACCCTCCTGTGGGTGGTGTGCTTGTCACTGGGAAGGCACTAGCAGCGAACGCTAGAAGCAAGCCTTAGGGAAACTGTGCATTGGTTTGTCTCACATGTGTCAGGGTTTGCCACGGACTTGTGCCACTTGTGTGCCTGGTGCTCTCCCCCCTCAGGCACATGTGAGTTTCAAATGTGAAGAGATCACATGCTTGTGTTTAAAAATGCAAGGAACACAGAAGTCAAGTAACTCTGAATTACATACAATATGTGAAAAACTTTGATAAGTGCTACAGTGGTAATTGGTCCTTATAGTATAGTAACAGCTGACTTTCATTCTCCAGAGGGATGTATAAAATCATTACTGTATACCAAAAGGGAATTTTTGGGTAATTGATAGATACACATTTACCACATGTAAATACATGTAGTATTTTAAAGTGTTATTTGCATAGGGTTCTGAAGACTCTTACAAATGTTGCCTGAGGAGTGAGGAAAGCACAGAGACATTTGAAATTATGGATTATTCACTGTAGACAAGTCCTGTCCTCACATTTTCCCACAGGGCCTTAGTAAATGCGTATAAGTTGCAGCCGACGCCTGGGGCGCAGAAAATTGGCATCAGCCTCTTCTTTACTCTTGTGGACCATGTCAGCGAGGAGACCCAGCGCCACCCTCCTACAAGGCAGTTCTTCACTTCGTGCATCGAGATCTTGGGACAGGTAGGAGCACTCCCAGCTGTCAGCCGCTCGCAGACACACTGAGTCCCCAGAGATCTTGACTAAACACAGCCAGAAGCCTGTGGAGAATTGTGGGCTTCCCATGACACTGACAGAATTTTGGTATAGAACGTTGCTTCTTCTGCAAGAGAGGTTAAATTATTCACATCTGAAAGGCTAGGGAGACATCAGATTTTGGCATAAGTTATTGGTATCACTAACAATATATGTTGCTGAAATTCCTTTGTCATTTGCAAAATAGTTTCTAATTAATTTTTAAAGTTTGTCCTCACACTGACTCCATATAGTTGATACCATTCCTGTCTTGAAAATGATCAAGCATAGTGGATTCTAGTGGCATAGTCTATGATCTCAGTTACTTAGGATCCCAAGTTTAAGGACTGTCCAGACTGCAGAACGAGTTCAAGACCAACCTGGGCAACTTAGCAGGATCTTGTCTCAAAAAGTTAAACAAACAAAAGGTAAAAAAGTAGAGGTTATAGCATGAGAGACCTTAAGTTCAATCCCAAGTATTGCTATAAAAGAAATTTAAAAAAGAAGCAACTGACCTTTGAAAGGTGAAGCAACTTCCCTAAAGAATGCACCTGTGAGAGTTGGGGCTTCCGACAGGGTTCAGTGCTGCTTTCCCCGACTGTGACTGCCTCCCAGGTGCTGTTTCTGCCATCATTTATTTATGGTTTGTTTTAACAGTGCAAAGGCAAAGGATCCATGCAGAAGCTTGTGGATGTGTTATAAAGGAAATTCACTTGTTTGAAAATGTCAGCCTTAGCCACATATTTGCATCCAAATTTACTTGATCGCTTGGCTACCCATAAATGGGGATGCCAGCCAGATACAATGGCTTATTGTTGTTGTTTCTCTGTGGTTTAAACTCAGGGCCTTGTCTATGCTAGGTAGGTGCTCTACCACTTACTGTTGTTGTTTTTCTGTGGTTTTAACTCAGGGCCTTGTCTGCGCTAGGTAGGCGCTCTACTACTGAGCTGTGCCACCAGCTGATAACCTAGTTTCTTCTAAGAGATTTTCTTCTCATCATAAAGTTAGTAAGTGCTTATTATGAGCCATACAGTATAAAGACAAAAAAATCAGGAAATGGTCTCAAGATTCTAAACATCTGGGCATAGCAGTAGTGTGGCTACAATTTGAGCCATAAACACGCTCTGTCGTTTTTATCTTCACATGGATACTTACACAGACACACCAGACAGGCCTGTGCTGAGTTATCTCCTGCACACCTAAGCATATCTTTTGATTTTCCCTAGCTTGTAAGTACAGGCCTGCCTGTTCATGTCACATGTCAGTTCCATGATGAAGACATGCTGTTAGGTATTGTGTCACCCTTTTTTGGATGGTTACTTTGGTAGGTCTCTTCCCTTTTTTCTATAATAAGGCTGAGATAATCTTACAGTATTTTCTTTAGTAGTATTTTCTGAAAATGTGATTGCCATGTCAAAGGAATTTGATGTAACTGTATTTATATTTTATAGTATTAAGTACATTTGCTCACTGTCCTGCTGGAAGGTTTACACATGGTTATACTATCATAACTAACATTAGGAATTATCATTCTTATTAAAGTTTTGTTCTTTTGTTTTTGAGCCCCAAAATTTGACTAATCTGGTAAGGGAAGTAGAATCCCATCACTTTCAAAATTTGTATTGCTTTCGTGTGTGTGTGTGTGTGTGTGTGTGTGTGTGTGTGTGTGTGTGTGTGTGTGAGAGAGAGAGAGAGAGAGAGAGAGAGAATGTGTGAGAGTGTGTGTGAGAGAAAGTGTGTATGTATGTGTGAGAGTGTGTGTATGTATGTGTCTTTGTGTGTGTATGTGTGTGTTTGTGTGTGTGTTCTGATTATTTTCTTTTGAACATGTTTTGGGTTTTGTTTGATTGAAAGAGTTCTTTGGATGGTTATTAACCTAGTATTTAGAGAGCAGTGTAAGTATATTTTTCTAATTCTTTTTTCTTTACACTTTATGATTTTTTATATCTTACTAAAGTCGAAATTTTAATATATTCATACCTGTGAACCTTGCCTATTATTTTTATTGTGATCAATCTTAGAAAAGCCTTCCTGACCTTGAGACTGCTTAGAGAATCACTTAGATTCTAGTGCATCTTAGCCTTTGAACCACATTAATTTTCTTCTTCTTCTTCTTCTTCTTCTTCTTCTTCTTCTTCTTCTTCTTCTTCTTCTTCTTCTTCTTATTATTATTATTATTATTATTATTATTACTATTATTATTAGAGACAGGGTCTCATTTTGTAGTCCTTGCTGTCTTGGAAATCACTATGTTGACCAGGCTGGTCTCAAACTTACAGAGATCCACCTGCCTCTGCCTCCCTAGTGCTAGGATTAAAAATGCATGATTTTAGATATCTTCTGATTTTATATTTTCATTTATAAAAATTTGTTTTACTTTATTTAGTAGCCTTGAAGATTGGCTGTATAAGAGAAGCAGAAGGAGAGGTTGAGTGACAGTCCCCTTTTATTCTGCCCAGGTGTTTATCAGCGGCACTAAGTCCGAGTGCAGAAAGGTGCTGCAGACCATCTTGAAGACCAGGCGTCTTTGCTCTCTGCTCTCTCCTTTCTTCACTCCCAATGCTGCGCCGGCTGAGTTCATTCAGCTCTATGAGAAAGTGGTGAAGTTTCTAAGTGAGGACAACAGTGACATGATTTTCATGCTGCTCACCAAGGTACTAAATGACCATTGCTTCCCATGCCAAGAGGCCCTTTGCACATTGCATGCCTTTAGATAGACTGACTTCCTAGTCTCCCCTATGTGGGCATTGGCTGTGCTGTATAGACAGTCTTACTCCACAGTGGAACTCTCCAAAGCACAGCACCCCAAGCTTTGCTTTGCTTTTGTTTTGTTTTCAAGACAGGGTTTCTCTGTAGCTTTGGAGACTGCCCTAGAACTTGCTCTGTAGATCAGGCTGTCCTTAAACTCACAGAGACCCACCTGTCTTTTCCTCCAGCGTGCTGGGGTTAAAGATATGCGCCACCATTGCCCGGCCCAAGCTTTCTTCAAAAACTTAGTACAGTCATGAAATATTCCTAAGAGGAGTTTAATAATCCTTTTAGATGTATCTTGAGTTTGCTCCTACATTGTTGATCTGTGAGTTATTATAAGTTGGACTCATATTTTGAATAAGCTTGGTGTGTCTTCATCTGCATAGAAGACTGTCAGAGGAAGGCAATGCCTTAACCTGTGGAGAATGTCAGCACCTTCCGTTATAACTCTGTGATGTTATGAAACAAAGGGAGCCTAGCATTTTTTGGGCAAAGAGACTGAGCCCAGTCTATAACATAGGTGAATGTATTATATGATATGGAATGTTGGAAGATTCCAACAGTCTGAATTTTACAAACTTAGGTAGGTAACTAATGCCACTAAAAATGGCTGTTAAAGAAACTCCATAAAGTGGCCGCTTGGTTCTGTTACAACAAATGAAGGACAGCTCTGAAACTCTGGTGAGGCCTCAGAGAGGAAACTTATAAAAAGGCAGGCATGTATGGAATTTGAGAAATAGAATGGAATTGTAAACCAGCAGTGAATGGGTTAGTCAGCAAGTTGCTTTTTTGTTTGGTTTTGTATTTTTTGTGATGCTAGGTGTCAAACCTAGGGCTGGGAACATTCAAGGTAAGTGTTCTGCTTCTGACCACATCCTTACCCAATCTCAAGTAAGACTGTATATTTCAAAAGAAGGTTGTTGAGCTGAGGACACGCTGGAGGTGGCGGTGGCATCATGGCACCCATTAGTCACATTCACTCATATGCTTGTGTGTACATTTCAGTGTCACTGTTGACAGGTAACTTGGCTTGTCTTTGGATTTTAAATTTGCACAGACCTCTCTGCTTCATCTAATTATCTAATGTAAATAAAACTGCTTCTTGTTTCTGTTTCTTTTTTAGTTCGATGTTAAACAATGGCTAAGCACCACTAAACCTCCTCTGTCTGATCGTACCAGGCTTCTGGAGTCCATTCACTTGGCACTTACTGCCTGGGGCCTTGAACCAGATGAAGATATTTTGATGCCATTTAATCTTTTCTGTAAGCACTGGACTCAGCTTCTACTCTACCAGTTCCCTGACCAGTATAGTGACGTTCTCAGGCTGCTGGTGCAAAGTAAGTGTCTTCATTTGGTTATGACTGATAAAATCTCAGTGAGTATTTGATAGCACATTTACCATTAAAATGTTAAGACGAGGCTAGAGAAATGGCTCAGCAGGTAAAGTCCTTGCCACTCAAGCCAATGACCATGGTGAAAGGAGCAAACCAACTCCCCAAGATTGTCCTTTAATCTCCACATTGATTGCTGTGTTATGTGTGCACCCCCACCCCACTAATAAAGGTTTCCAGTCACAATGTCTTCTGTGGAGCTTGCTCCCATCCCAGTTAAGTCACTTTCTCTTGTCTCTTTCCTTTGGTCTCCTAATACCACGCATCCCTACACATTTGTTGGATTGTCATCATCTTCGTCATCATCACTGGTTGTAAAGTACACGTGTTCTGTGATTCAGGTTGAAAAAGTGGTTTGGGGAATGCACGGACCTTCTTTGTCTCTGTCCCTTCTGTAGGCTCTGCAGAGCAGCTGCTGAGTCCTGAGTGCTGGAAAGCCACTTTGAGAGCCCTGGGCTGCTGTGCCCCAAGCAGCCAGCAGGGAGCAGCTTCTGCAGACAGCACTGTGCTTCATAGTGCCTCAGATGCTCTCTTGTCAGACAAGCAGGTATGTAGCCTTTGGTCTCTGACAGCTTTGTGTATTCATTTCCATTTCCCTTGCTGTGCATTGTCAAGCAATTGGAGCGTCGTGTGTGTGTGTGTGTGTGTGCATGTTTCTGTAAGAGCTCCGCGTGTTTCTTTGACCTTTGCTTCCTTGCCTCCTTTGCCTGAACTGCTTTTCTCTTATGCTCCTAAATGAAGTTCCATCCCTATGGGAGAGAACAGAAGCCGACATCCCTCTATATAAACCTTCCCTCCCACCTAAGTACATCTGATTTATTCCTCAGACTACTCCATGGGGCTCCATGGTATGGCCCACAGAACCCTCACTTTTATCTGTGGTGGTTTCACATAGGAGCATAACTGAAGCTTAGTGTGGTGGCAGCCACCTGCAGTTGTAGCATTCAGGAGCCTCAAGCTAAAGTACTTTGAGTTTGAGACCAGCTTGACCTATATGAGACCTTATTACCAAAAACAAGCAAACAAAAATCAACCTCAAAAATAAGGCAAAGGGACGATGTGTTTGAAATAAGGATTCCATTGCTTTAAAGTTTTAAACATACTAATTTTTTTCCTGTCTTTTTGTAGTTCTTTCAAAAATATGTATTTCCATCACAAACTTTCATAGCACTATGCTATAAAGAAAGAAAGGGCTTGGGGGCATGGCTCAGTGGTGGAATGCATTCCTAGTATTCATGAGGCCCTAGGTTTCATCTCCAGTGACAGAAAAGACCAAGAGGAAAGGGGAAGATGCTGCCCCAAAGTAGACATTCAGTGAGCAGTGCTTGGTTGGTCATCTCTTCTAGGTAATGGAGACCATCCATTGGCTTTCTGACTTCTTTTATAAGCTTCGACTGTCCAAGCTGGACTTTAAAAGCTTTGGCTTATTCTCAAAATGGAGCCCTTATATGGCTGATGTGAAGACATTTTTGGAATACCTTGTGAAAAGGCTGATTGAATTAGAAATCGCCTCCTTGACCCAAGACTCAACTGCCAGCAGCAAAGAAGGTATTGTGCTTCTAGTGTGGTGGGGGCCAAGGGCTGTGCTTTCCATAGAAGAAATTCAAGTAGACACATGAAGATCCGTCTCAAATGTCAAGGAGATGAAATAGAAAAATGTGGTACTCATCATACTTATATTTGGATATAGGATGCTTGTTGTAGCTTGTTTATGCCCCTCGGTGGTAGTATGGTACAAAGAGGTGTATTTCTCTGTCCAACTCCTTCTTCTTGTCATTTACCGAAGTTAGGTCAATGTTCAGAATATGAAGCATATATCTTAGAAAAATGTACATTATAAATTACCTATCACATTGTGTTATAATAAAAATTAAACTCAATTCATTGTAGCAGATGAAAAGGGAAGCCTGCATAGTTGTACTAAACATACCATTTCTGTGTAGGCAAAGGTTTAGACAGTGAGGAGCTGTAGATTTTGTATACACTTAGTATGAAATGTAGCCAATGGCCAGAGTGAAATACTTCATTGTTTCTAACAATTGTGCTGTTTCAGTGCTCCGGTCCCTGCACTCACAGATCGTCCAGCTTTTTAAGCCCTGGATCTTGGTTTTAGAAGACAGTGAAAGGTAAATAGTCTTTCATATACTCAGACTTCCTTGGAATTTATTTACTTAATGATATTTAGTACAGGTCATGATGATTTCACAGACTTAATTTTTAATACGGTGACATTTAAATTGATAAAATACAAAAGCCAAGACTTTTTTTTGTTTATATAATTATTCATCTGGGTGGTCAGTGATGTTATCTTGACACTAATTTTGGAACAAAATGAACCACTAATTTCTAGTTTTCCATAGTAAGGAAGCTGAAGTTGTTTGCATTCTTAAGAAAAATGTTTTCTTTTTCATAAAATACATCTACAAATATGGGTTTCAACATTTTCTACTAAGTCAGCTATTTTCAGAATTAAGTTGTAGATCAGATTATTGGGTTGGGAGTGCCCCCTTAATCATGTAACTCAGAAGTTAAATGAAAACATTGTTTCATGAGCGTTTAGACTATGTGACAACATAGAGTCATACAAGCGCTATGAATTGTTCTATAGGTGGCTTTTCTGTAAAATTACGCAGATAAACTAGATGAACCTAACCCTGGCATTAGGAGAAGAGGGCAAACTCTGTTAATGGTTGCTGTTTCGTGCTGACATTTGTTTTCAGGAGCTCCCAGCTCTGAAGTGCTGAGTTTGCTTCAGGCTACAGTGCAGAGTTCTCTGACTGGCCAGTCCTAGATGCAACTCTGTCATGTGCGCTTCCCTTTCTAAGCATGTGTTTCTTTCCTGTGAAGTAGCCAACAGCGACATTACCCCTGGCTGGAGAGTGACGCTGTGGTGGCCTCCAGCATCGTGCAGCTCTTCACTGACTGCATCAGCTCACTGCACAGGAGTTTTAAAGGTAGGGTGGTGTCCTGTGAGGCCTGGTTGAGCCTTCCCTTAGCCTCCCCACCCCCTTTCCTTGTTCTTTCCTCCTCACTTTAACTGGAAGACAAAGAGGCTGACAGGAACGGCCTCTTTGACGGTTACTTATGGAATGTCTTGTGAGGCTGCTGTGGGTTGTGTAGTCACAGCCCATTTAGTATTGCCTACTCTAGATTTCTGTGGAGCTTTCTTGCTGTTTTCCATGACATCAGAGCTAATTTATACTCCAACCCCAGTAAGATATAGGAGTTCCTCTTTCCTTACGTTCTTCCACATTTTTATTCTGTGTGTGTGTGTGTGTGTGTGTGTGTGTGTGTGTGTGTGTGCCCAAATGCTCACACCTTCATGTAGAAATCTGTGTTAAGTTATCTGCCTGTCATTCTCCACCTTACATTTTACTTCATGACAGGGTCTGTCACTGACCGTCTGTTTTGGTTTGACTGGCTGCCTAGCAAGCTCCACAGACCTGCCTGAATCTACTCTCCAGGCACACACTCCCCTCACCTACCGTTTATGTGGCTGCTGTGCATCTCAACTCAGGCCCTTATGCTTGCACTTTATTTACTGAGCCATCCTCTCAGCTCTCCCATCTTTTTAATAAAAGGAATCCCAGGGGCTAGAGTGATGGTTCAATAGTTAACACTGGTGGCTTTTCCAGAGGACCTGGGTTCAATTCCCAGCACTCCCATGATGGCTCACAACCATCTGTTGAGTGCAGTTTCAAGGGAATCAACACCCTCTTCTGACCTTTGTGGCTACTTGTGAATGTGGTTCATAGATGCACATGCTGGCAAAACATCCATCCACATAAAATAAAAATAAAGAGCCAGTGTGAAGTGATACTTTATTGTGATTTTAATTTTTCTCTACATTGTGTGTGTGTGTGTGTGTGTGTGTGTGTGTGTGTGTGTGTGTTATGTGGTGGTTGGAGGACAGCTTGTGGAAATTGGTTTTCTCCTTCCTCTATGTGGGTTCCAGGAATCAGACTCTGGTTGTCAGGTTTGGCAGCAAGAACCTTTATTTAGCTGTCTGTCTTCTCCCCTCACTGGTTTATTTTGCGTTTCTGTGGGATTTAATAATGCTGAGCATTTTTATGTACTTGTTGATCATTTTTATTTTATTTTTGAGAAATGTTGGAATAGTTTCTTTTGGGAAATTCTTTCAGAGTGCTACATGAAGAAACAAGTGCTAATGGGGTGAGATTGGATACATGAGAGGGTGGCAGGCCATGGATGTGTATTTGGGCTAAAAGGCCATATAGAAGTTTTGAAGAAGAAAGCTAATCCCCTTGAGAAGACTTTTAAGTTCAAGTTTGTGTTTTATTTAGCATTTCTTTTTCTTTCCTATCCTTTTTAAAAGAAACTAAGTGACTTGAACTGTATTTTCCTTTAAAATTCTAGACAAGCTATTGCCAGGTGACGAAGGAGCCCTGCGGTTGCACCTGCTGCATTACTGTGAGGCATGCACAGCACCCAAGATGCCAGAGTGCATCCTCTACGCTTTTCATAGCGCATACCAGAAGCTTGAGTGGAAGGACCTGCACCCTGACCAGAGGCTCATGGAGGCCTTCTTCAAGGTTCGGCCTTTGTTAGTGTCTCCTTCCCAGAGTGTGTACATTGTCTGTCACTCTCTGGTACATACTGTGGAAAGCAGCAGCCTGTGGAAGTCATGCGTTGATGGATGATTTGAACACATCTATTAAGCCAGTTTTAAGACCCAGACAAAGACTTCCTCTAATATGCTGGTCATCCTCTAGTTTTAGGAATAAAGTTGTATAGTTCCCTAGCTTACTGCGTCTTGCTCAGTCCTACCTACTGTTTATTTTTTATAAACATTGTTATAATATTGTATAATATTGTTAGAACTACTTGTGAATGTTGTGCAAAAGCAAAATGTGAATTAGTGCTCAACCCTAAGTTGGTTTCAGCAGTTATGCAACTGAATAGTTAGATTGTAAGAGATAAAATCTTTGTAACAGCCAGTGACACATCATGATCACAGAAAGACCTGCAGCAGTCTTAAGGAAGGGTCAAGAATTGTGTGTGTGAACCTTTGCAACAGAACCATAGTTACAGGAACCCCAGGGTGACTTCAGCAGCAGCCAGGGTTGATGTGCTCTCTGTTGTCAGAGCCTCAGTGGTCCTGGCTTGGGTCTTTATGGTTGTTCCAGTTCATTAGTCATCAGTTCATTTGTGTTTTCTCCTGACTTAATGTCATTTAAGTGCTTTAATTGATACAGATCTATAATTATTTATGATGCTTACTATGGCACAGATATTATTTACAATGATTAGTAAAATGTACTGGGGCCTTCTGGTGGTATTCATTCATTCATGTGAAGCCCTACCCAGTACTGCTCTTGGCATCCCTTCTTCTAGTTAAGCTCCAAGGAAGTGAATCCTGTTTAGTAGTTGAGGTGCAGGTCCTGACTAGGTACTTAATCACCATTATGGACTATGAGAGAATGTTGGCCTAACGACCTGTAAGGCAGCCTTTTCAGTGAGAGGGATGCCATATAAAACTAATTAATTAAGCTGTGGAGTAGTCTGTCAAGGAACGATGGAGAGTCTGTCCTAGGAGTTCTGAAGATTAGATAGCATTGACCTGCCCAGAAGCTGGGAATCTTTTACTTGAAAAGGCTAGAGGACAGATTCTAAAAGGGTGAAGAATTGTCTTCCAAGAGGGAGCAGATGCAAGTTACCACCAGATTCCAGTCTCATCTCTATTTTATAAGCCGTGTAGAGCTTTGAATATAAATCTTTAAAAGAACGATTTATAGTGTCTAAATTTATTATGATAAACAAATTAGAAACATTGAACTAGGCTACAAAATAAAACTTTCAAGTTGATTATGTACTTTATAGTACACCCCAAGCAAACATCTGAATAGAATTTAAACACCAGTCATGTGTGGAGACATTTATAATACAGCATTACACTGGAAGTTGATATTAATATTATATATCCCAGTGTGGTAGTTCTCCAAGTGTGGTCTCAGGAACATCATTATGAACTGATCAGAAGGGAACGTGCGCATCTCTGCTCCCAACACATCCCGGGGAAGCCAGCAGCTCTTGGGTGTGCCAGCAGTTGTTCTGATACACACAGAAGTTTGAAACCTACTGACCAGTAGAGCTTTCCTTCTGTTCCAGATAACCTGAGGTCGCAAATTCCCGGGGTCCCAACACTCCTGCAGCTCCAGGGTCTCAGTGACAGGGAGCTTCCATTTGCTTGTAGTCTGGGAAGGTCACTCTTGTCTTTAGAATTATTAGAGTAGACATTGAAGTACCCGTAGGCAAAGTCAAGAATGTACATATATACTGGACCTGTAAGGCGAGATCATCAATGAATATTTACAGTCTGGGGAAAAGTGAACTTGTAAAAACATGTATAATATATGTGCCGTAATATACTGTTTTTTGTTCACTCCAGGTGGAACGTGGAAGCCCCAAGAGCTGTTTCTTGTTTCTAGGGTCTGTGCTCTGCAGAGTCAACTGGGTTAGTGTGCTGTCTGATGCCTGGAATCCCAGTCCCCTTCCTGAAACCCAGAGTATGGTTGTCTGTCTCCTTTTCATGATGATTTTACTGGCCAAGGAAGCTCAGCTAGTCGATCAAACAGTAAGTTTGGGGAGTCTGTAATCGGCTTTGGCTTCTTAGTACATACATTGTTTTCTCCTGATGATGTTTTTGGATATTTCCCTCACATACATCAGTAGATATAGATATAGATGTAGATGCAGATGTAGTAGATGTAGATATAGATGTAGATATAGATGTAGATATAGATGTAGATGCAGTAGATGTAGATGCAATAGATGTAGATGCAGTAGATGTAGATGCAGTAGATGTAGTAGATGTAGATGCAGATGCAGCTGTAGATGTAGATATAGTAGATGTAGATATAGATGTAGATGTAGTAGATGTAGATGCAGTAGATGTAGATGCAGTAGATGTAGATGCAGATGCAGATGTAGATGTAGAAGATGTAGATGCAGTAGATGTAGATGCTTGGCATATGAGCTGTACCTTCAGCTACATGCTTACTTTCCTGGACAGCCCTTAGTCTAGTTCTAAATAATTCAGAGAACCATGCTGACTTAGAATAACTTATCTTGTTAATTCTTAGTTCACTGTGCTTCTTGAAGTCCATGTTACTGTGTACACCCAAGTCCCTCTGAATTCTTGTAGATGTTAATGTACTTTTGCTATGACTTCACTTGATGCTAACTTGAGTGTGTATGTCCTTGGTTCCTTAACTTTTCTGCTCTTACCATAAGTTGTTTTCCCAGAGATAACTAGAGACATAGATTTCTGGGGAAATAAATGCAAAGCAACCTGTCTTCCATTTTTAGGATTCGCCTTTACTAAGTCTTCTTGGACAGACAAGCTCACTCTCATGGCATCTTGTGGACCTTGTGTCATACCAGAGCGTGCTGGGTTATTTCAGCAGTCATTACCCACCATCTGTCGTCCTGGCCAAAGACTGTTCTGCTGAACACATTGTGAAGCTCTTAAAAGTGTCTGCTGGATTTTCTGTTCCTGCTGATGGCCAGAAGCATCGTGTAAGTTGGGAGAGTGGTTTAAAAGTTGGCGTATTCTTTAGGACCAGAAGTTAAACTTGTGCTAGTAAGGCTAGCCATGAATCTCCTGACTTGTTCCGCAGAGAAATCTGAGATGTGTGCCACTGTGTGCTCATGGCCTCCTGGATCCTTTGGTTTGACTTTTCTCATTTACTTGCAATGTTTTGGGTTTACTGGAGACCAGAGGGGTTGAAGATAGCAGTGGGTTGGCTTTAAAATCAGAACATCTTAGTCTATAGAGTGCCAAGGAGGGATAAGTATAAGCTGGAGGTTTGAGTTACTTTTGGGGGAACATTTTGGGGGAAGTTTTTGACAAGTAAATCACTGTTTGGTTAATGGCATTGTGAATGCAGTTTTTTTGACAAGTAAACCACAGTTTTGTGGCATCTGGCATTCTAGTCTCTGTGCCATTACTGTTTTGCATAGCTGCAGACACATCTCATTGGCCATCTAGATGAGGTCTTCTGTGGCATCCCAATCTGTCCTATTCACTCTGCCAAGTGGTCAGTGCTGTGCTGTGCTCCCAGGAGTATTCAGCTAACATTCCTTGCTCAATTCATTTGACTGATGGGTCTCTCTCTCATTTTCTCTCTCATCAGGACATAGTTCCAAAGTGTCAAGCTTTCACTCGTCAGATGGTTCAGTTTCTCAGTGCCCTGGAACAAAGTGGAAAAGTCACCTTCTCAGTCCTGGAGCAGGAGATAGCTAAGCTCTTAGATGATGTCATCGCCTTTAACCCACCTGGTAAGTGGCCAGTGGAAACCACATACTCATGCAGGCAGTGAATTCCTTCTCTGTGCGCTAGGCTTTGTGAGCTGAGAAAGATGGTCAAGACCACAATTCCTGATCCAGACAGCCAGGGCTCTAAACAGCAGGACCAGCCCTGGGGGGCAGGCAGCAATGTTACAGTTTGAGGAGGGGTTGACCCTGGTAGGGGTGAATGTGAAGGGACCTGGACTAAGGTTCAAGCTGGGTAAGACATTAAGTGATGGGTGATAGGAATGTTTGTAGGAGGTCGGCTCTTAAGTAGAAGTTCAGTGTCACCTGCTGGCTTGTCAAGACATTTATATGGCGAGTTTTGTCATTAGCAGATAAGTGGAGCATTGTCATTCCTATTATTTGGTGACTCCATTTAGATTCCTTTCATATATATATATATATATATGTATCTTAAGAAGCTTCTAAAGTAGTAAATATCCATATGGTTTTCATAAGGTCTTTAGTTTAGCTGTCTCCATAGTCCTTCCTTTTCTCTGCTCTCACATCCCTTTCCTTATTTATCTTCCTAGTCTAGTTCCCTCTGTATATCTCCATAACATTATATTCTATTTCCCTTCCCTGGGGGATCCCATCTTCCTCCTGGTCTCTTACTGGGTATCCTCTGTGCTTATTCAGATTATAGACACTTACTGGAAGTTTAAAGGCTAACATCCACATATTAGGGAAAATAGGCAGCATTTGCCTTTTGGAGTCTGGGTTACCTTACTCGGGATGATTATTTATAGTTTATTCCTGCAAATTTCATTATTTCATTGGCTATATTCCATTTGGTAAACGTACCACATTTTCACTATCCATTCATCAGTTTATAAAAACCCAGGCTATTTCTAATTTCTGGCTATTGTGGATAGGGTGGCAATGAGCATGACCAAGTAGCTCTTTAATAAGATATAGAGTTCGTTGGGTGTATGCCAAAAGTAGCATAGCTGGATCTTGAGGTAAATAGTTTCCAGCTTCCCGAGGAACCTCCACCCTGATTTCCATGGTGGCTGTACTTCTCTGCACTCCCGCCCCAGTCAGTAAGTGTTGCCTTCTCCACATTCCAGCCATCATGTGCTCCGTTTGTTTTATTGATCTTGGCTATTTTGACTGGGGTAAGATGAAGTCTCAGTTTAATTTGCATTTCCCTGATGGCTAAGGATGTTAACACTTAAGTGTTTCTCAGTCATTTGTGTTACATCTTTTGAGAACTTTCTGTTTAGTTCTGTACCCCATTTTTAAAATTTGGTTGTTTTCTTGATGTTTAGTTTTTTAGTTCTTACTATTATCAAATGTGTGGGATATCTCTGGCTTCAGAGTTCCCATTGAAAAATCAGATGTTTTCTAATGTTTCTTGCTTTATATATGATTTGGTCTTTTTTTCCCTTGGAAATTTAAATATGCTATATTTATTCTGTATATTTAGTGTTTTGATAATGATGTGCTATGGGAATTTCTTTTCTGGTTCTACTTGGTTTTGTATGTGACATACCTTGATAGTTAATCTCTTTAGATAGGGGAAATCAGGGTCTATAATTTTTTTTTTTTTTTTTGGTGTTTTGAGACAGGGTCTCTCTGTATTGTTTTGGAGGCTGTCCTGGAACTCACTCTGTAGACCAGGCTGGCCTCGAAGTCACAGAGATCCTCCTGCCTCTGCCTCCCTAGTGCTGGGATTAAAGGCGTGCACCGCCAATGTCCGGCTTGGCTTCTATAATTTTGATAACAATATTTTCTGTGCCTTTGACCTGAGTTTGTTTTCCTTCCTCTATACCTATTTTTCATAGGTTTGGTATTTTATAGTGCCTCATATTTTCCATGTTTTTTTAACGTGTTGGTGAGGTTTACCTTCAGGCTTTTTGTTTGACACCCTGAGTTTTCATTTCTAGTTTTATTATAGTTTGGGTTTTCTGCTTATTTCACTCAACTATTTGTGTTTTCAGTCTTCATTAAGACATTTATTCATATCCTCTTTCAGGTCCTTAAACAATTATAACAGCTATATTGAAGTTCTTATCTTACGTTTCAGTTAAATTGCATTTCTCAGGACCTGTTGCTATAGGGTTTGGCTTCTGGAGGATGACTGTTGTCTTTTCTGTTCATGTTTGTGTTTTTGGGATCTAGGCACCCGAAGTTATGATACGTAACATCTTTATTGGTGTGGCTATCTGCTCTGCTCTTTGTTGGGTGGGTGTTCCATTGTTTGGTTACTATTGTCCACTCTAGATTCTAGCCAAGTGTGGTGACTGTGGGGTCCCTGGTAGAGAGTGTTTGTGTGGTTGGTGGCATCACCAAAGAATGGTGATGGGCTAGAAGAGAAGGCTGAGGGAAAGCAGGGAAGAGCTGGAAGGACCAGGGTCTGTACCAAGAGGTAGAATCCCTAGGAAATGAGGTGAGATGGGAGGAGGGGCTCCTATTGACAGTCTCAGGAGGACTAAGTAAGTCTGGAGAGACAGCAGTAAAGGACACGAAGAATAATAAAGATAGCTTACCTGAGTCCCAGTCCAGTGTAACCACTGGGGGCCCCTCGTAGTGAGACTGATTCTGCAGGTTGGCAGGTGTCACAAAGGAATGGAGATAGGTTGGAAGGAAAGGCTGAGAGGGGCTGTGGGAATTAAGGTGTTACCCTATGCTTTATTCAGAGAACTTGCAGAAATTCCTCATTTTCTGTCCATAAAATCCAGTTGTCATCAGACCCTTTCTGCTGGTCCCTGAATCAGACACTAGGAATGTGAAGACCCTGGAGAGCAGCTGAGATACCAGCAGATAAGAACTGTTGTTCTTATGACCACTTTCGTGTCCCTGTTCCAGTGGTGTGAGTGTGTGTCTGTCTCTGCCTTTAGATATGGACAGCCAGGCCCGCCACATGGCCCTCAGCAGCCTCTTCACAGAAGTCCTAATGATGATGAACAATGCAACTATTCCAACGGCAGAATTCCTTGGTGGCAGTATTCGGACCTGGATTGGCCAAAAGGTACATGGATTGGTAGTGCTGCCCCTTTTAACAGCGGCCTGCCACAGCCTGGCATCGGTCCGCCACATGGCAGAAACCACAGAAGCCTGCATTGCTGCATACTTCAAGGAAGGTAAGAGGACACCGTTTTCTGTTCTCATCGCAGTGGCCTTCTCCAGCAAGGGAAAAGAAAGCCTGTCATCAGGGAGCACTCCACTCTTTCCAAAGTTGTCCTAATTCCTTCTGCCAGGAATTCTCAATTCTCTCTCTCTCTCTCTCTCTCTCTCTCTCTCTCTCTCTCTCTCTCTCTCTCTCTCTCTCTCTCTCTCTCTCTCTCTCTCTCTCTCTCACACACACACACATTATATATATGATAGAAATAGATTTTTTCCATAAAAAGCTAGTCAGTTGCCCATGTCTTTTGTTTCAGTCATACGTTTCAAGAGAAAAATTTTTAACAGTAAAAATTCTAATTTGTTTTTTTACATTGCTTTAAGAGTGTCAGACCAACCATTTTATGATAGCAAAGTCAGATTTCAAAACAAATGCTGTCAACCAGAACTTATATGGTAATGATGGTAATTTCTTCTTTCTTACCACTTTTGGTGAAAGGAGTTTTCATAGAGATCTTTTTATTTCTTCTTACCATGTTTTTTATTAAGATGTATTTATTTTTATTTTCTGTGTATGAGTGTTCTGCTTGCATGTCTTTATGTGTAGTACATCTGTGTCTGATGCCACATAGGCCAGAAGAGGGCATTGGATCACTTGGAGCTGGAATTACAGATAGTTTGAGCTGCCATATGTGTGCTAGGAATTGAACCCAGGTTCTCTGGAAGAGCAGTCAGTGCTCTTAACTGCTGAGCCATCTCTCCAGCCCTCTTGGCCTACTTTAAAACTATTCTATAAGGACCACTTTTTCCTGTTCCTCGTCCTTTTATTCTTATTCATTCCCACCAAACTCTGGAGACAATAGTTAAGAATCGCTCAGAATAGCCTTTCTCAACTCTGATAGTCAGATATGAAATATTGCAGTAGTTAGCAAGGAAGGAAGAATAGCAGAGTGAGGCTCCAGGATGTGCCCATAACCTGCCATCTGCCTGCCTACTGTGGAGGTGCTTGACACATCACCGGGGACCTATCCTCACTCCTCCCAAAGGTGGAGAACCTTCAGGGTAACACTCTTGATTCAAGTTTGTTTGTTACCAGCATCAGCATGGCTTCCACTAGAATACGAACTGTACTTCTGAGAGTAAAAATGCTTATGAGAGATTGGATTTACTTTCTTAGAAAAGCCTGTGTTGATTAAAGTTAGAACTCTTTGGTACCCTGTAGATACTAATGATCATCATATAACGAGAAAGGTGGTTTAGAGAGACATGGTCCTGAGTTCCAAATCTTTGTGAATCCTTTCTGGTCAGGTAGTATCTTGGGGAGGCTTTCTGGTCTAAGTATCAGAGCATCTCTCACTTTCCTGGCCTCTAGGCCTGCTCTGAGAGATGATGTCTTACATGAGGCTAAAGTGAAGACAGTCATTAGAATTCCTTCTTCCTTTTGTTTTCATAATGTCTTTATTATCTTGGTACTTTCTCATCATGTACCCCAGTAATACTTACTTCCAAGTCCTCCCAGGTCTGTTCCAACCCTTGTGATGTCCCCTCCAAAAAAGAATAATAATAATTTAAACAACCCACAAGTCCAATTTGTGTTGCCATATCCTCACTGGAACATGTTCAAACTCCCAGTAGCCAGCCCTTTAAAGAAAACTGTGGAACCAGGATGTATCCCCAAAGCATACAGACTTTGGGAGCCCATGTCCCATGGAGGGATTCTCTCTTAGCCTTGATACACAGGGGAGGGCCTAGGCCCTGCCCCAAATGACTTAACAGATTTTGAAGATCCCCAATGAAAGGCCTCACCCTCCCTGGGAAGCGAACGGGGGATGGGATGGGGGCATTGGTGGGAGGTGTGGGAGGATGGGAGGGAGAGGGAACTGGGATTGATACGTAAAATAAGATTGTTTCTAAATTAAAAATCTATTAAAAAAAGAAAAGAAAACTGAGTCCTTCCCCACCCGCACCCCTGCCAGAGGTCATCAGTTATGAAGAGATACACTTCAGCATCCTTATCATAATTTCTAATAGTTTCTCTTTCTGTATAGACTGTTACTTTTGGGGGGTGGGGTGAAGTGGGATACATATTGTCATGGAATCCTTCTATGTCCCTCTTTCTCAACTGTGAGTCTACAGTCTTTGATGCCACTTCAGAAGTAGCTTCCTTGACCTTTGCAGTCAGTGTGAGCATGGATCATGGATTTCCACATGGTTTCTGGTGACCTCGAACCATAGGTATCCATGTGGTCTCTGGTATCAACACATGCCTCAGACCTCAGCGTGGTCTCTGGTGGCTGCATAGACCATGGACATCAACACAGCTCATTTTTATGGACATGAATGTATATTGATATTTCCTTTTGGTATTCTTTTCTTAGGCTCCCTCAATCAGAATTTAGGGTGGGGCCCCATTCTGGTGTCCCTTCAAGTTCCCGAGCTCACCATCCAAGAGTTTCTGCAGGAGTGTTTAGCCCTCGGCAGTTGCTTGACTCTCTATGTCTACCTGCTCCAGTGTTTAAACAGTGAGCAGACTCTGAGGAACGAGATGAAGGTGCTTCTCATCCTAAACAAGTGGCTGGAACAGGTGTACCCAAGGTATGCTTGCCCACTGGCTGCTCCCAGCTTGCACGTGCTTCTTGTGGGACTCCCAGTTTACATAAGTGTTTATTCACAAGCCCAGAACCCAGAGATGCAAAGAGTCAAACAGGTTTTCGGGGGCAGTAGCTCATGCTGGGGAGACTTTAAGCTGCTGAATTAACGTTCTATATCCTCACACAAGTATTTGAGGCACCAGCCTTCAGCTTTCTTCTATTGATGATCAAGTGACAGAGGACAGGTAGGCCAGTCAGTGTCTGGCATGCAGATGCTCAGTAAATGGTAGCTGTTACAACTCCATTGTCTCATTAACATTTTGCCAGCACAATAGCCTTGGTTTTATTTCCTTTAATTTGTTAAATTTTGTTTTCATTTACTTAACTGTTTGTGAGTTTTTGTGTGTGTGTACGTACTTGTACTTGTGGGTTCCTGGGGATCAAACTCAGGGTGTAGACAAGCACCCCACCCACTGAGCCATCTTGCTGGCCCTGATGTGTGATTTTAGAGTATTATATTTCTCCTCCAGTAAACTCAAATATGAGTCTCTGTTAAGCATGAGTGGGGAGGTACTTATACTTCCTTTGCTCCGACTCCTCCCCCAGCTCCGCACAGGAAGAAGCAAAGCTGTTTTTGTGGTGGCATCAAGTCCTGCAGTTGTCCCTGGTCCAGATGGAGCAGAACGACTCCATCCTGACGGAGTCGATCATCCGGATCCTACTCATGCTGCAGAGCCGGCAGAGCCTCATGGCCGAGGAGAGGCTCAGCTCCGGGATTCTCGGAGCTATTGGGTTGGGCCGGAAATCGCCCTTGTCCAACAGGTGAGGAAGCCCCTACACTGCTCTTCTCAGTGGGCCTCAGACAGCAGCACCTGGTAGAGGTGTGATGCTGGAGTAGGCTTTTGGCTTAGAGTGTGTAGATTTTTCTAGAAAGATGAAGGCAAAAGATCAGAGACTGTTTACACCTTCATATTCTAAAAAACATGTTTATTTTTTATTTTAATACAACTTCATTTCAAAGGTCAAATCATACCTTTAGTTCATGCTGATTTCATTTTGGTTTTGAGTCAGTGACGATGAATTGAAATATCTCAGTCTTTTGTTTCATTGTGGTCATTTGGTTTCTGTCTATGGTTTTGGGGGAATCAGAATCTGTGAGGGACCCAGTGTAGAACAGCCAGTAAGAAGTGATGAGAGACAAATCTGGGTTTGTGGCTTAAAGTCCCAAGACAGGAAAGAGTGTGCCAGAGATCGTCCATTGTGAGTCAAGGCACTTTCTTCCTTACGGTTTCTTCCTGTCTCCTTCCCTTCCCCATCACCACCCTCCCTCTCTCATGCTCACTCCCCTTTCTAATCTACACCCCAGCTACATCATATCTTTCTTTTTGAATCCTTGTCACTAGTGAAAAGAGGTTTCATGCTGTGCTAACATGTACTGTGTGCAAAACGTGGGGATATCTTACTCCAGACCAGATAACACCACGTTTGTTTATGGTAGAATGTGCCAGACACATTTTTTTTTTTTGCCAAAGGCAACTTTATTTACTGATGGAAATGATATGCTTAGGATTTATCCAAAGGAACCTGGAAAATACCCCCCCCATTTTTACTCTTGACTGGCAAAAAAGAGTGTTGCTTATTCTAATTTTGCATAACATGAAAATGTTCTTCACATAGTCAGTTAGGGGATTCACCAGAAAGTATGACAGTCACAACTCTAAGGAGCAAGATGGGCAGACACAATTTTAATTTTACTTAAATTTCCTTGCATATCTTTTGCTTGAATCAAGTGCTTTCTTTTTTAATTTTGGTAATATATATATATATATATATATATATATATATAACTTAATTTCCTATAGTAACCACCTTACTGTGTATAATTCAGTGACATTCACAATGTTGTAGCCATCACCAGCTCTATTATATTTTCATCACCCCACAAGGAAGCCACTTAGTCACCAGTCACTTCCATTTCCTTCTTCCCATCATCACTTCATATTTAAAGTCTTCCTAGGACATTCCTAAAACTGGAATTGTATATTTTATGGCTTTCAGTATCTGGAAATGCTTTCCAGAATTATTCTGTGCTGTAGTGTGTGCCAGCAGTTCTTGTGTATTTTTATTTGTGTTTCGTGCATGAATTTTTGCTCATATCTGTCTTCATGTCTTTTGGGTACATACCCAGGAGTGGAATTGCTGGGTGACTTAGCAACTCTGTTTTCCTTATTAAAGCAGTGTAGATTGCTTTCTGTAGCATGTCCATGATCTACAGTGTCTGACTGTCCCAGCTGTCCTATATCTTTACCAACACTTTCATTCTTGAATCTGAATGGGCGCACAGTATTTAGGTGACCATGGAAGGAAAAATTAAGTAGGGTTTCCCTGAAGAGGTTAACTACAAAAAGGACCTGTAAATGGAGTTATATTGTCTTCTTTTAAAATAGGAAATAGGAAATGTTCACTTTAATGGTCACTCACTTCTGACGTATTGTTAAAACCCAAGGTTCCGTGTGGTTGCCCGAGGCATGGCTGCCTTCCTGTTGGTTCAGGTGCCTGCAGAAGACCAGGTTCGTCTGAAGCCTAGCTCTGAATTACATCTGACTCCAAAAGCTCAGCAGGTCAGTAGCAGCAGCCTTAGGCTGGAGGTTTCCTGGTGTACGTGTCAGAAGGCCGTGGTGGTTCTAACTTGGACCCTTCAGGCCTGAGGCTCCCCACTAACCCAGAGTGGTTTCCTTGGCAGACTTGTCTCAGACTAGAGCAATAAAGAGGCAAGGTCAGGGCAAGCTGGCCTAGGGTTGAATTTGGTATGATAAGTGTGCTTCCTGCTACTAGGGCTGGCATTGCACAGAGAATGACTCACTCGACATGGGTGATAGTTGGCTGAGCTGTCCCTGGGAGCCAAAGCAATGGTTCCTGTTCCATGAGGCTTAAGAGTGACCAGGTTTCAGGTACCCGCTGCAGGCTTGTGCTTGAATAACCAGCAAAATGGTAGGTATTAGAATTTACAACATATACTGAACATGGTTCTTGTAACTTGGGTATAGAACTATCCTTGAAATAGTGAAATAGTTGTTGCCATCCTTGAGTGCTTGCTCATGCCATGCTCTTTTAATATTAGTGAGTTAACAATTTATTCATTTCACCCTCATAATAACGCTATAGCATAGAGTGGTGATCTTATAGATGAGGAAACATAGCTGGTCTATCTCCAGGCTGCTCCCTGTTTTCCACTCTGCAGGATGTCTGTTTGTGGCAAGTGCTCAGGGCATGTGAGGATTAGAAGCCAGGTGTGGTGGTGTGCACCTTTAATCCCAGCACTGGGAGGCAGAGGCAGGAAGCTCTCTGTGAATTCAAGGCCAGCCTGGTTTCCATAGTGAATTTCAGGACAGCCAGGGCTACATAAAGAGACACTATCTCAAACAACGAGTAAACAAACAGAGTGAAGATCAGTTAGTGCAATTGGTAGAGTTCTCATGGGGATCAGGATCTCAGGATATAAGACATCTGGTACTAGTCACCCACTGCTGGAGTCCTGAACATCTCCATGAAGCCTCACAGATGTGCAGATGAGCCCTGTGTGGGCACATTGGGAATTTTAAGATTTATTTTATGGTGTATTTGAGGAGTCCTCAGCTCTCCTATGGTACTAGGACCTGGAACTTCAAGATTCTGCTGTAATTGTGGCCATAGGTCATGTGTGTCCCTAGTTTACTAGATTGAAGTGCTGTTTCCTGACATGTCCTTGCATATTTGCTATCAGTGTTTTCAGGTTTCAAATGAATAAGCTTTGGCCGGGTCTTTCAGTAGGTCATTTGGGGGCTAAATTATAAAAAAAAAAAAGAAATTTATATATATATAAATTTATCCCTAAGTTCTGCTTATGGCTTGCTTAGTAATTTATTACTAACCTTCTAGCTTATTTACTGTACTAAAGAAAATCTCCCTCTTTGTATTTTGAACCAAGCAAATCCATGTTTTAACATATATTTTTGATACCAAGGGTTCCCAAAGCTGGAGGGGAGAGGAGGTAGCGCACTCCATGTGTGGTAGGTGTTCCAGGGCTAGGGGACATGTCTTCAGAATCTCAGAGGTGACTGAGTTTGGGCACTTGAAAACACTGCTGTCCTCCTCCTGAGATCATTGTTTGGAATTTTTGTTTTTTTCATGTACTCTTTCTTCTCCTCCAGTGAAGGAAGAAAAAAAATGAAGTTGCAGAGCTAGAATTTTTTTCTGTTGAAAAGGGTTGTGGGGACATGTGTTTACCTCAGGTCTGCCCTGCCTGTCTTATGGAGGAACTTGAGCTGTGTGCTTTGTCACCCGAGCTGGCCACCTTCTCAGTTCTCCCATCAGCTCTCAGCATCTGCTGTGTGTAGGCTTTCTCTCGCTCTTCTGTGATGGACTATAGCCTAAGAAGAAACCCAACAGCCAGCTGCACTTTCACCCTGGTGAGATGCTGCTGGGGCCTGGGGGTTTCTTTTGGGCTGTGAGAAGAAAGGGGCTTGGCATCTGGTAGGGGACAGTGCATTGGTGGACCGGGGAGAATGGGGACAAGGTAGGCAGGGAAATGACTATGTCAGGTGAGAATGGAGAGTAATTCTAGCCTGGCTGCTGCAGTCTCTTGCTAGGAGATAGCAGCACTCAAGAGAGACGTATATGCAGCCTCCTCTGGTCTCCTCTGGATGTGTTCCCCAAAGTCTGCCTTCTGGACTGTTGCCTTCTCTACAGGCTCCAGGGGAATTTGATCATGATGGCATTCAGGAGGTGCAATCATGGAATAATTTCTCTTGTCACTTGTGTCTTTTAGGTGTTGACTGCTCTTGAATCCATGACCCTCAGTAAGCAGTATGTGGAGTACCAGGACCAGATACTGCAAGCTGTTCAGTTCATTAGGCATCCTGGCCATTGCCTTCAGAATGGGAAAGGCTTGCTAGCTCTTCTTGTCAACTGTCTCTATCCAGAAGTGCATTATTTGGACAACATACGATAGTGATGCTGACCTTGAAGCCCTGTTGCTCTTGTGTTTACACTAACTTTGCTGTTGCACATGTACCTTTGTTCAGTTTTACCGCAGAGTTCACTTCTGCGAGGAACTCAGCTGAGGTACAAGTTGGGAGGCATTAGGTAGTTCTGGCTGTGTGGTTATCTCTTATTGTTCAGAGACTTGTTAGCTTTTGTGTTCTTCCACAAGTGAAACTGAGTTCCTCTGAGTGCAGAATCACTCATATTTGGGAAATGAATGTGCCAGTCAACTCCCTAAGAACTACAGAGAGAGTTGTTGCTATGTCTGCACGCCTGTCTTCCTGCTTTGTTTAAATGTCAAGACTCCTGTGCCAGATCTGACCACTTTGGGAGTCATGAAGAGCCCTCTTTCAGACTTCATTTGTATTTTTCACATTCTTCCAATGTAAAAAAAAAATCAGCTTGGGAAGTGTGAGGAAGTACACCAGCCTAGAGGGATTATGTTGTTTCTCTTTGAGTGGAGATGGTACCCTGAATCAAGTCAGGAGCAGTGATACACACCTGTAATCTCAGCACTCTGGGGACTGAAGCAGAGGATCCAAGGGTGAGGTGGTGTGGGGTACACAGCAAGTGTCTGGGCAAGCAAAGCAAAACAAAAAAAGCAAATTAATTAAAATGAGTCAGACTGAAGACATCACTTAACCCTGACCAGTGGACAGCAGAGATGGTGGCACATCCCTCTTCAACTGCATGCTCTCCAGAAGTGTGCCTTTCTGGACCGACATGGCAGCCAGTGCACCGACAACTGCCGTGCACAGGTGTGTAGTGGGCGTGCAACGGCAGGGATGCTGCAGCCGGCAGAGCATCGTGTTCCCTTGGGGCTCCTCATTCACGTCATCTTATCGACTGTCTGTGTGGAAGTGCCCAGCCCTGATGTGTGTCAGAGCTCTCTAGGCCCACTCTCAAGGGACACTGGGGGCCTTTGTTCGTCTTCTCTTGGTTAAGTTTAGGTGAAACTCACGGACATGCTGGACGCATGCCCAGGGAGAAGAGACCAGATCAGGGCCATTTCAGAAATCTGGCTTTTTGCGAGTAGCTCTGCTTTCTGTCACTGCTGACCGTCCGCATTGCCAAAGCCTGTCTGGCACATTGCTTTCTTCTCATGACATCTCTTGCTCATGTTACTTCTTGCAGGAGTTAGAAATTTGATTTCTATCATATTCTCAAAAGCGACCCCAAACTGATTTTTTTGTTGTTGTTGTTCAGCTTAAAATATATCTTTGTTCTTACGGGTTATGGCTCAGAAATATCTGTAAAAATCTCTGGATGGCCACCAATCGCCTTGCGTAAGGATGGGAATAGACCGTTAATGGGCTGCTTTCCCTTCATTGGATGCCTATAGGACTCTTCCTGGAAGAACAGCTCTGCCTAGTTAACATGCTTTGGAACACTGATAAAGAGCATCCCTGTTCAGTGGCACAAAGTGTCATTGTACAGGGATATGTCTCATCCTTTGTTTTTGCTTCTCTCTGTTTCCCAACTCAGTCATCTTCACTCGAGTAGAAGAAAACTGCAGAAGCTGCAGACAGCTAAGCAAGCAGCAGTGATTCTGTGGCCAGGAAATACTGTGTTTGTGTGGTTTCTCTGAGGAGAACGAAGTTACCAGTATCCGAGAATGTGAAATGTTAGAGTGTACATTTTAGAGAATCAATTAATTTTGGAAGTTTATAATATTTGTAAATTTTGTCTGTAAAATGTATAAACAATAAAATCAACTTTTGATTATAACTGACGAATCAGAATTGAAGGTTAATATAGATTTCTATGCCTGATATTAAATATGTTTGGCTTTGTAACTGGTCAGTAAAAGTGCTACGTTTTCATTGTTGTTTAACATCTGAGCGCTATTTGCCTCAAATTCTGTGAGAAGCACTAGGTTAAGTGCTTTAAAAATATGAAATGATACAGAACAAAGAAAGCTGTTTGCAGACAGGCTGGCTTGCTGCCTGAAGGATGAACCAGGCTTTGCTAGGACAATGGTTAACTTTCAGAGTGCAAAGCCATGGTAGCAGAGACAGCAATGAGCACTTGACTTCCTTCTCAACATGCAAAACCAAGGCTTGAGCAGTGTGGAAGATGGACCATCACAGGCTCAGAGCCTACTGCACCATGACATCTAGTGCTTTCCAGGAACAGGAGGGTTTTGGTCTCAGTGGAAGTGCCTTCACTCCTCTCCTCAGAGTGCACATGTGGGGCAGAGATGTTGCTTTGGCCCTCCATCTCCTTGTTCTGTAACCTCACTAGAGAAGGTTAAGGCAGAGGACATGCCAGCAGAGAGGTCCTGTGGCTGTCAGTGCAGTGTGATGGTGACTATGATACATATATTTGTGTTTGTACACACTTCTAAAGCTCTTACACACTTGGCCTTGCCTCTAAACATGGCTGGTGTCTTTCTTGCTGGAGAAGCATCCACTTCTATATTGTGCCTGAGTCTTTTGATTCTTTGGTGTCAGAAAATGTGAAGTGTAGATGCTCCACCAAGGCCAACCAGTCTAGGCTCTGGTGTGCCTAAGCTTTGTCTGAATCAAGGTGCTGATACTGGTTTCGTTTATTTAAAAAAGTCCTTCTGAAGTGGGAAGCCAATGTCTAGAATCATGAATAGGATGAGGGCACATTAAATACCTCGATCTCCTTTGTGGGGATCCTCAACTTCTCTACGTGGCCAGCGTCTTGGAGCCCACTGTTGGCTCAGCCTCAGTTATGCCAGGGCTCTCCAGTTCTGCTTATCTTGGGCCAGAACAGTTCCTGGTGACTTTGCCTATTGGTTGTGGATCTGCCTGGAACAACCAGGCAGGGCCTATTCTCTTTAAGTATACCTTGAGAGATTTCTACTTGTCACATCTCTGACATCTTCTGCCCCTACCCCTTAGTCCTCTCCAAGTTACAGCTCAGAAGTCTTAGTATTCTTCCAACATGATATCCAGTGAAACTGATTTGGGGGGCAAAGTGCCCAAATCAGTGCACATTGCTGTGTGTGCCAAGGATTAGCATCGCCTGAATGGAGAACCTGGGAACGCATTTCAGCCAGTGTTCTCAGGTGCAGAGACGACACACCTTTGCCTTTCTTGTCCTTGGTGCTTTTGCCGCCTTATCCTAGTCCCTGCCCCAGAGTTGTCACTCTCCTGTAGGCCAGGCAGTGCAAATCCCTCTAATACACACCTGGGCAGTATCAGCTCCCATTGTGTTCTGTGGTTGGCATGTTAACCTAGCACTGAGTTAAACTGCAGACCCTTTAATAACAGTCACTGCCCGAGATCAGTATCATGGTGTATCTATCTACTCGGTGGGCCCAATGATCAGGCTCTTTGAATTCATCCTGTACTGCATCCTGAATATCATCCCTGTTCTTTACTTTGAGCTAACTTCAACTTCACAGCTTACTTTGAGGTAATAGCTGGTCATAGTATGTGAGGCACTTGACTTAGAGCCGGGCCCTGAACAGATTCCTCTGCTCCACCAGGACAGACACTCCCATTTTAGAGCACGCAAGGGGTCATGTGACCACGCATAGGTTACATGCTCATTTAGTGTCCTTCAGTCTTCACAGGCCCCTCATTCCTCTTGAGAATAACTTGAAAAAAATTGTGCTACTCCTGTGTTAGTACTGAAAGTGGTAAGGAATGTTGGTTCTAACTTACTTTCAGTGTATCATGTAATACCACTGAGCACTGAGGAGATTTCTTTCAGTGGTTTAAAACAATCTATATTGGAGATCAGTACTGACAGTCATCTTGGCCAGTCTAGTGTGACCGTTAAAACCACAGTTTTATTTTGGCCATTAATTGTGCAATATTGCTCATTGTTGAATGTTTTCCATGCTTGTGTGAGGGAAACATTTTTGTATAATGGTGAGAAACTGGAAGACATGATAATTAGTTAATTGAAATTCTGCAAATAAAGGACATTGTGATTTACCCATGCTGACTGAGCCTGTTCCCATTGTTTTCAGCAAGTTGGTTGGCAGGCCTTTGTACATAAATCACATTAAGAGAACTTTTAAGTTAGTTGATTTGTGATGCTGAGAATCCTATTTAAAAAATTTCATCACAATGATAAGACCTCTAGTTTCAAAGAGAAATTTTCTGTGTGTGTGTGTGTGTGTGTGTGTGTGTGTGTGTGTGTGTGTGTGTGTGTGTTGGGAGTTTGGTGGTTAAGTATTAGTATGTATGGGAGGCCATCAGTTAGAACAGCCCTTGATAGCTGAAATAGCTCTAAGGTGTCCTTGACCCCTGCAGGAGTAGTGTCTTGCAATTGGAAAAAGGGTCACAAGGTATGTGAGGAACAGAAATGTTTGGGGTGCTGAGAGGCAAGGGTGTCTGGCAGAGCCCTACCTAGGTTTGCTCAGGGTCTGCCTTGGAAATCTGCCTTTGGGGTTGATGTGCCAAAGTTCCTGCTTAGCACTGAGGTTGGTGGACACTAAAGACAAATCTGGAATCCGCCAAGCTGTGGATGGATGTTGTGGAATATTAGGTAAAGATGTGTTACATTTACCGGGCAGTGGTGGTGCACTCCTTTAATCCCAGCAGTCGGGAGGCAGGTGGATTTCTGTAAGTTTGAGACCAGCCTGGTCTACAAGAGCTACTTCCAGGACAGTCTCCAAAGTCACAGAGAAACACTATCTTGGGGGCGGGGTGTTGATACTGTGGATATTTAATGATGCAAAGATATGCTGCATTTGTTTAACTCTGTAAAGCTGTGTTACTTTGTTTGCCTAAAATACCCGATTGGTCTAATAAATAGCTAGGCAAGAAAGGTGGGGCTGTCAGGCAGAGAGAATAAAGAGGATGAGAGTTTAGGGAAGAAAGTGAGAAGCAGACAAGGGAGGAGAGGACAGCCACCCCAACCATACAGCCAGACACAGAGTAAGACGGGAAGAAAGATACATAGGATAAATAAAGCTAAAAAGTCCAGAGACAAACGAAGTTAAGAAGAAACGGGATAATTTAAGTTAGAAAAGCTGGCTAGAAACAAGTCAAGCTAAGGCCGGGCATTCATAAGTAAAAATAACTCTCCATGTATTTATTTGGGAACTGGATGACAGGCCCCCAAAGTGTAAAAATGAAAACAAAAAACAAAACAAAAAAGGACTACAGATGGAGAGTCTGTATATTCAATGTGATTCTCCAAGGACAGTCTTCTGGGTATGGGGCATGTCTCCCGATCTTTGTGGGGGATAAGCTTTATCTTGTCCACAGGGTTTAGGGTTTGAAGAACCAGAATGTTCTAGCCTTGCAGGCTGTACCACATTGGTGGAGTCATGGAAGCACCAGGTCTTTGGGATCCTCTCCCTGACTCCTGGCCTGCTAGAGGGGAGTTGAGTCCCAGATGACAACCTGAGCCTGCCCAGAGAGGTTAGATATTGGAGGACAGGCATCCTGTCCCATCTAGACAAACAGTTCAGCCAGATCTGCAACAAACAGCAACCTATGAGTGATGTTGATGGAGGTGGTGGCACATGGGTGCTTTTCCAGATTTAGAGTGTGTGTGTGTGTGTGTGTGTGTGTGTGTGTGTGTGTGTGTGTGTAGATTGAAAAAGATGAAACCTTGGGGTAAAGCCTCCTGAAGATACTGCTTAAAGTTCTAGTCCCTTCCCTTCCCTATGGGTCAGTAGTGCCAGGTATTCCTGACCTAGGTAACCCTCAGACCTCAAGGAAGATAATGGATGAAAGCAGGAAGCCCTGCTCAGCAGTACCAGGAGATTAGCACCTACTCAATCCCTTGAGTCAATCCCTTGAGTGCCAACTGCTATTACCCTTACCCCAGCTAGGTGTGCAAAGGCCCCCAGACCTTAGCAGCAACTGACTCCATGATGAAAGTACTATCCAGACCATAAAACTCAGCACAGCACCACCCACTAAAACAAAAACAAAGACCTAATCAATCAAAGTCCATAGTTGTGGGATGCTAACTTTGTCTTTTGGCTTCTGTAGTTTCACTTTTGGCTAACTGTTCTTTTTAACTGAAGTATGTCAACCCAGGATATGGTTTTTGTGCTTACAAGCTCACCCTGAGAAAGTCTTCATGCTACACTGAAATCCTGAAAACCCAGTGTAGTTGCTGACTGGCTAATAAAGACCTTCTATTGACTTAGACCCATGTCAGTGTAGTCTTCTCTGGTGGGCACCTCCTAAAGGGTTCACCCTCCGTTCAGCAGGTTCTGTCCACTTTGTTCACTTCCTGCCTCTTCCTTCATGCTCCAGCAACAAATAACTGCATTCTTACCATGCCATCTTTGCTTGGATTTTTCGTGTCCCTCAAATGCCCCCCTTCTTACCTTCCAATCTACACTCCCCCATTGTCTCCTGCATCAGTACAGTGCATACCATCTTCACATATGCTCTTCCAGGAAGCCTTCCCAAGACAGGGTCAGTTAGTCCTTTCATGTGCGTGGTTTTGGACTCACTGTGTGACTTACAAGCTTGAGTTTCTGGAAGGATTATTGCTGTGCTGTCAACCAATGCCACTCCCAGTGTTCTCACAACTTTCCCTAGTGTTCCTCATCCACCATTTAGGCACAGTCACCGGTAGGGTGTCTTGTAGAGGATTCGTTTTACCTCCAGTTCAGTGGTTTACAACATCAGAGATGGATTCCTGCGATCTGGGTTCCCAGTTAACAACAATGAACCTCCCTGCCAATCTGCAAGGGGAATAGGGTGAGTGTGGTTGGTGGCTGTTCTTGGCTGTCCACTTGACTATATATGTAATGAACTAAAACACAAGTGGCTGGGTACATCTGTGAGGGCTTTTCCTAAATAAATCATTTGAAGTGGGAAGACCCACTTTTAATTCCGATCGCTTGAGGCGGGAAGACACACCTTCAATCTGGGCCACACCTTCTGCAGGCAGCCTATGTAAACAGAAGAAGGAAGCATTCTCTCTTTGCCTGCTTGCTCTTGCTGGCAAGCCCATTCCTCCACTGGTATTAGAGCCCACTTCTTTGAGAATCTGGTGTATACTGAAGACCAGCTGGGACACCCGGTCTGGTGGACTGAACAACTGGATTTTTAGACTTTCCTTTGGTAGACAGCATTTGTTGAACTAACTGGACTACAACCTGTCAGCCATTCTAATAAATCCCTCCCCCTTCTTTCATCCCCCACTTATATATGTATGTATATATACATATATATATATATTCTGCTTCTCTAGAGAATCCTGACTAATACAGTGAAAAACATATACCATTTTCAGTTTCTATGATTTTAGGGCTTGTTATTAGAGCACAGTCTAGCTCCCCCTAACTGATAATGATGTCTTCTTCAGCCTCATAACCTCAAATACCAATTCCTAACACAACTAAATATGTAAGTAGTAATTCATGTAATTCTCTTGGATATGAAAACAGTCGCTAATCTACACCCTAACCATGTCCCTATCTTATTCCTTGGTGATGTAAGGCTTTTGCTGGAGACACGCTAATGCTCCCCTCTGCAGGGAGGTCCAGATGCCAACTCCTGTGATATCTTAGCAGTTCTTGCTGGATCCTATATAACTCACAGACAACTAGGAGCTGTCATCACCTGTTTGCCTTGGCTGAGGCTCTGGTACCAAGGAAAACCTGGAAGCCCACACCCTCAACCTATAGAGAGGGTCCCCAGAAAAACATGGTCTCTTAAGTCTCCTGTCTTGTGGCGTACTTGGTCCCACGTAACCTCTTCTTCAATAGGATCAGCAAATGAACACTGAAGTAGAACTAAGAAAAGCACTGCTCTTGAGGCTAATCTAGCTGTGCTCGGACAAGTGGGAGAAATTGCCAGTGCTCTTGGACTTTGCACGCTGCAGAGGGAGGTCAGAGTCACAGCTGTCTTATTCACTAGGACCCAGGGCCTCTGCAGATCTCCTAGTTCTTGACATGTGACTTTCAGATGCTTTGAGGCAATGGGTCTTCGGCTTCCTTCTCCTGGTGGGTCCCAGCTCAAAGCAGTGTAGCTCAGCTGATATGATCACAGTTGGGCAGAGGGCTGGGGCAGTCACTGTGTAGATCCCAGGAGGTTCCAGGCTTCTTCTTGCTATCAAGTTTCCAGGGCTTGCTGTTCCTCTGAGCAGTTTACACAGCTCAGCTTGTTCTCTGGCGTACTTTGTTTTCCAAAGGCTGAGCGGGACCGCGCTTACCTCAATTCTGAATGTCCAAAGACCTCTCAAGAGCTACTGGTTCCTTATTACCCAACAAATGGCCAGTCATGGAGCAGCTGAGTCTCAGAGACGTGAAGAAAGTGTCCTGTTGTATACTACAAGTAGTGCCAGAGCAGGCTGGAGCCCGATCCTTCAGACCTTATGGCTAGTTTCCTGTCTGCTTTACCATGTAGTTCTAAGTAAGAAAAAAAGGGTAGTTTTTCCAGAAGTTTCATGCTGAGGCTCAGGTGGGCGTACATATACTACATATACATATACATATACATATACATATACATATACATATACATATACATATACATATACATATACACATACATATACATATACATCCAGGTTGTTGACTCCACTGGCATAATACTGCAGGGCTCTGAACCTCTATGATCAGGGTCCTGGGTCCCCTAGAAGTTGCCTGGCCCACAGCTGCCATGAAACCTGGGAATTGGGAGCTGTACAGGTCTAGCCTGGTACTGTTCTTTATTTCTCATGGTGCATGACTAGATGGTGATGGCCAAGGAGTTCCTCAGAGCAAACACGTGGCAGCTGGTGGCCTGGGGGATTCATCTGGTTCAAATTTTCGTAATTGGACTCGTGAGCCTGAGACCTGCAGATAGGAGACAATTGACTTACTACCCAATATTTGGTGAGGTCCTTGACTTCCCAAGCTGTGTCCCAGTAACAGGTCAAGGAAGACACCATATGGGAGTCAGTGGAGCTAGATCCAGAAAGGCTGATTAATGTAGGACAGGGAGATGTTGTAGGTGACAGCGTCTCCCGCCATTGTCACCACCTCCTACAAAGTGACTTTGTCAGGGGTTTCAAAACCAGCTCCATGTCCCCTGTGCCCCCAGTCTGACTGATTTCCAGACACCCACACCTCCAACCTCCCATCCGGTGTTGTAAGCACAGCACACACCTTTCCCTCACTCCCCTCTTCCCTCCCATCTCTGTGACCTGGGCTTGGCTCCAACCTTGAGTGCCCTCTTCTCCTCCCTTATCCTCAGAAAGCCCCTTCCCTTGGCTGATGTCAGGATAGAAGGAACAGCAGCCTCCTTCTGGGTCTCCCTCCAGAACCCCTCTGTTCAAATATGACCTCTCCCACAGGACCCCAAAGCATTCTGACTTCCACCTCACTCAGAATCACCCCCAACCTTGCCAGCCCACCCCACATTTCCATGCCTCCCATGCCTCCCTCCCTCCCACCTGATCTTTCCACCTGCAATTTCCATTCCTGAGATATATACCCCTACCACCTTGGCCACCCTAGGCTCTAACATCAGGTGTGGTCTCTTCACAGCTGTGTCTTCAGAGGAAATATTCCAACCTAAAGGAGTCACAGCCAACTGGCCACACACTGGGGCTCTGCTTTCTCACCAGGTTCAAGTCCTGTTTCAACGATCTCAGATGGTCTTGCTATGTGGTTGTGAAAAACTGAACACCTTGGAGTGCAAGTCTGGACTTTTTCTGTCTCTTTAGCATCCAGGTTATTGCCTGCTCTACAGTAGGTATTCAGTAAGTATTAGGTGAATGAACTACAGGCAGCGCTGTGACTTTGGTCTTGTTGCGGCATCAGTAAAGGAAATGCACATATGACAGGCTGTCATGACTTGCGCAGGCAGCTGGGAAGAGTTGGGTCCCTTGGCCAGCACCAGGCAGAGTGCTCTAACATCGAGTTCTTTCTCCTTCAACATGGGCCTTTACTAGGGTAGACACCAAAGAGGAAAGAATGGACCCCGGGTTAACGTCTTTCTAGATCCCTTATCTAAGCCAAGTTCTTGGTGATTTTGTTTGGAGTAAACCTGGGAAAACCAGTCTTCCTACAATGGCATCCTTACAGGGCTAGCTTTTCTAGAATGCTGGGAGAAGCAAGAGCAAACAGCTTGGTGGTATTAACTTTTGTGGTCATGGACACCAAGCTCCTTGTGTATTGAGTCAGGGAAGCAAGCCTGCCTGCCCTAGTCTGTCCCAAGAATGGTATGCTGGATGGAGGGGCAGGGTGCTTTGGGTATGATGCAGGGCCTGGTCCAGCCTACTACCCTAACCTTGTCCCATGCCTGTTCTTTCTCATGCCACCAGTTCTGAGAAACTGGTATTCCTGGGCCAATGAGACTAGGCAGGGGTGGGGTGGGAAGGGCAGTAATTGTACTTACCGTGGCGGGGTGTCCTGTGTGACCAGGTGATCTGTGTGAGGGACACAGAGAAAGAGCAGGTGTGATTTTACACTGTAGCCTCCAACCTACCCACCCCACTGTGAGAAGGGGACCCCAGGAAATGTGCAGCAGGCAGCCAGCTGAAGTGACTGTGAAGCCTTAATTTGATAGATGAATAGGAGTTAACTTGTGGGTTAAGGGAGATGAGGTCCAACAGAGCAAAACTGCCTTCGCGAGGGAGGACAATGGAACACAACATGTTCTGTTAAGTTTGAGAAACCAGCAAGAATGGCAGGGTCACAAAAAGATTAGCAGCTGGGGCACTGAGACCAATTCCGCTTCTCATCCATGGAGAGTTTGAGACTAACTGGTCTGGGAGAACAGAAAGGTTCTGAGAAGCACCCTCGGGGGTGCTCATCAAACAGATGTCCCATCAAGGTCAGGGACAGCAGTGGGGAGAGGCTTTCTAAAAGCGGTTGAGTTTCCCAAACAGGTGCACCATTCATGTCTTCCAAGATCATGTGTCCTTACAGTTTTTGGCTTAGTTCTGACCTCACTTATTAAGGCCTCAGAGTAGCATGATGTCCTCTGCCTTCTGCAGTTTCCAGGGTCTATGGTGTGTGTGTGTGTGTGTGTGTGTGTGTGTGTGTGCGTGCGTGCGTGCGTGCGTGCGTGCGTGCGTGCGTGCGCGCGCGCGCGGAGGAGATGGAAGGTTACTGCAAAGTTCTGCGGACTCAAGTCTCCCACGCCGTGCTGGCAGGGAATCACATCCTGGCATCTTTGAGTTCCCAGAATCATGGTGCATAACCCCAGGGCTTCAAGATGCTAGTTACAATGCAGGGGGAAGCCTGGGGCTTTACGTTTATGGGACACGGATTGTGGTATGGTGTTAACTGTTCTACAGTGACAGTCTGTGTGACTCTGCCAAAAGCAAGGTGCTTTGCAGAACCGCAGCTCAGACTCAAGCAGGTCCCACGCCTGAGAAGGAACTGAGCTGGTGCAGGTGGAAAAAGGATGTTCTGATGTGCCATGCCAGGTAGTCCGCCAGAAAGGAGAGCGAGCTCCTGTCCTCCCCCTGGCACCCAACCAGATCTGGGGTGCACCCACCTAGTCGACTGCGGGTGGCGCGCGCACCCAGAACACCAAGCAGCAGCAGCGCCTTGAGGCCCAGAGCGCTGAGCAGGAGCGCCAAAGTCGAGACTCCGGGGGCGCCATGGAAGTGGAACAGGTAGACGCTGGCCTCTGCGTGGCCCAGACTATTGGCTGCCGTGCACGTGTAGCGGCCATCCCGGGTCAGCGCGGGCAGCTCGGCGGTCACCTGGTAGCCGTGACCCTGGCCCCGCATGGCAGCCGAGCTGTTGCCCAGGGCGGGGCCCGACCAGGAGAGGGCAGGCGGGGGCTCCCCCTCGGCCGTGCAGAGCGCGCGGAAGGCGTGCGCGGGCCCTGGCAGCACCGAGATGTTGACGATCCTGGGCGCAGCTGCGGGGGAAGAAGGAGGGCGCCGGTCACCCGGCAGAGGACAGGACCCCGGAAGCGTGACGGGCGGCGACTTGATAAAGCAAGGGGTAGCGACCCCAAGCTGGAGGGGTGGGGTAGGGAAGTGCCCAGAGAAGAGCGGAACACCTGGGCGCCAGGCCACCTGGGTCCTATTGCAGCAGTGATCTTAGCAAGCCATTTGTCGTCTTTGCCTCAGTTTCTCCGTGTGTAAACGGGTGATCACAATTGCCTTTGTTTTACGGGGGCCCTGAGATTTGGCAAACGAATGCTTGTGTGTTGCTTAGACTACCGGGCTTTGCAGCTGGTGGTCACCCAAGGGTCACGATGCAGGGAGGGCGCCAGTTGCCACATAGTGCTCTAGGGACAAGGGATGTGCAGGGGGTGGGGTGGGGTGAGAAATTCTTTGGTGAAGGTGGCGTGCCTCCTACTGCACCCCTTGCCATCTTTAGGATTATTGGCTGCTTGTATTTCTCTCCTTCCTTGCCAGCTACCGCATCGGGACACGGCCTTCCAGCCCCTGCCCAGCCTTTCCCGGGATCTTCTGAATTCTGCATTTCTACCAAGTTCTCAGAGGCCTCCCCAGCACCCAGTACGCTCTCGGGACGGGGTTGCAGGGAAGCTGGGCCCCACGCCCCTCCGCAGCCAGCCCGCCTCACCGGTCACACGCAGCCGGACCCCGTGGCGGCTCTCATAGCGGTCGTGGGCGTCGCCTGCGAACTCCACGCGGCAGAAGTAGCGGCCACTGTCCGCCAGGGCGAGGCGCTCGACGCGCAGCGACAGGTCGTTGCGGCGCGGGTTGCCTAGCAGGCGGAAGCGGCCCTGCAGGCTCAGTGCAGTTTGGCACAGCTCACTGCCTCGTGCCGCGGTGCACCGGAACACCTGCGGGCCCGCGTACGGCTCGCCCGCGCGCCAGATGGCCGTCAGCAGCCCGTCGTAGTGGCGGTGCGGGTGCGTGAAGGTGCAGGGCAGCACCGCCGCCTCGCCCGTCTCCGCGCTTACCTCGGCGGGCACCTGCATGGACCAGCGCTGCTCCGGTGCACCTGCTGGCCAGGGACACATCAGACATAGCCTGGGGAGACTCAGTCCCTGGCCTCTGGTGGCATTTCCTCCCCTACGGGGCTGCAAACACCAGGACTCAGGCAGGGCTCAGTTCCCCTCAGCTGGAACCCCATTTCCTGACTTTAGAGGCATCTCCCTAGATCATGACTAAGGGAAAAGGGACAGGATGGAGGTTTCTCCAGACCATTCTTTGATGGCAGTTTGCCTTATTCATGACTTGTTACAACTCTTTAGCATTTCTCCCCTACAGGAACCCGTGTAGTTGCTGAAACACTATGCTATCCCAAGATTACAAGATTCTTAAGATGATAAAAATCACTCACTATGCGCCTCTGTGTCCAGCAAATCCCCCAGAGCATCTCTTCTAGTTTTCACAAGTGATCCTAGAGATAAGCATAGATACCCTGTTACATTTTCCTAAACCGAGGCACAAAGAAGTTAAATGATTGAGTTCACAGCCAGGTTAAGGCAAAGCCAGTGTTCAAGTCAGACCCTCTTGGATCTACAACCTGTGTATTAGTGCCTTGAAGGCATGAAGCTGTGGATTCATCTAAAAGCAGAAACAGTCTCATTCGTAGAGGTGAAACTGGAGGCCCAGGAAGGGGACAATGCTCTGATGTATACGTGTTGAGTGGTAGGAACAATTCCTTTAGGACCAGGGTCTGCCCAAGAGGACTGTGCCCTGGACTGGCTTCTTACATGGCCAGTGCCCAAGACCAGATCAGAGTGGTAGGCACTGTATTGCCTCCTTTGCTCTGCTCAAGGGCCATTACACTCATTTGTGCTATCTTCTACCCAGTGAATAGTCTTCCAAACGTGGAGCTAAGGGCTGGAAGCTGAGCCCTGCCTCCAGTTCACCCAGTGCTGGTAAACCACAGGACCCTGTGTTGCTGTGGCTTTGAAGGTGCAGGCCTCAGCTTCAGAGGCTAATCCCGGGGTGGTACCTCCCCAAGAGGAGATAGGCAGCTGAGCCTGTCTAGCCAGTGCCCTGGGACACAGGGCACGAGAGGATCCTTTCCCGGGAATAATTAGAATTGTATTATACATACTTCCTTTATATGCACCATGCCATCTGCCCTGAAAGCACCCGAGAGGCAAAAGACAGGACAGAGATTGTAAGTGAAGGCAAGAAGGAAAGAGAAAAAGCCAGTCCCCCCCCCATGCTAAGCCCACTTGCTTGTGAACAGTTAGCTGCATTGACTTCTAGGGTATGAATACCCCAGGACATCACTGTAGGTGTCCCATCCCCCATGGAGCCCATACACCTGTGGATGGACAGGGTCCTCCTGCACAGAAACACTCCAGACCTGCCATTGCTGCAGGAGCATGTACATGCCCATGCTAACGCTGGCGGGAGCTCACTGGCTACTCTCATTACCTTTTCCTGATGGGAGAGACTGGATCCTTCCCCTGTCCCCCCCCTAGTGTGGCTCCTGCAGAGTGCTGTGAGTTCTTGTGCACCTTGGGCTGGGGTGCTGCACCTTCAACTGAGTCCTGCTGTGGGCACACAGCCAGAAGACTATCAAGTTAAACCACAGTTCTTTTTTCATAACACCTGCTTTTTTTTCTGGCTTAATCTCTTTTGCTCTGGACAAGTTGGATTACATGTTTGAATACAAGTGGAGGGCTTGCCATTTATCCTTAGTAAGAACTTGCTTGTACAGTTGTTAGTAATCAAAGGGCTGCTTTTCAAATGTGGGAAAACTGAAGATGGTGCCCATCCAGTCAGTACTTCTAGCTGAAGAAAGTCTCATCAGGTTGTCTGTCTGTCGTCTGTCTTTCTGACAGTGGAACTCAAGCTGCCTGGAATCCACTGTATATTCCAATCTGACTCAAACTTGTCAGTTCTTTGCCGTAGCCTCTGGAGTGCCAGACTACAGGCATACACCACTATGCCCTTCTGATTTTGTTGTTGTTGAGATGTGGTCCCACTATGTAGTCCAAACAGGCCTTGGACTTGGCAATCCTCCCTCCTCTTCCTAGAAGCTGGTGTCACAGGTGTGCACCCTCAGCCCCTACCTCAGTTTCCCTGTGCTTCCTACCCTCTGTGACCTTAACCTATTTGATCTTTGTGTCTTTTGGGCTCCTGGGGTCAGGCACTGATGGCCAACACATTGTCTGTTATCATGCATTCATCAATCCAGCAAACGTGTATTGGATACTTCCGCACTCCGCACCAGGTGCTGGCCTGTAAGCTGTGGCGACAGAGGGGAACAGGATACCCTATCATCTTGCTGGAGCTAGATGGAGAAAGATCAGTGAACATGTAATTAGGCTGTACTCTGCCAGGTGCCCTACCAAAGGGTACAAACAATATTGCCTTTGTCTGAGCATGGTTCCCAGCCGACTTTCACTCACCAGCTCCCTCCTGTTCAACCCCTGTTCTCTGTGGAATCGTGCCCATCAGAACATTCTTCTGTGTCCCAAACCTGACTCTGGCATCTCTCCCTGTATCCTGGGATGAAAGGGGTCAGGCAGTCAGGAGGATGGGGGCTGCTGTAGAGAGTGTACGGAGATTGTGGATAGCAGGCGAGAGTTTTAGAGTCTATCAGAGAAGAGGAGCATGTGTGCAGAGCCCAGAGAATGTAGGGAAGTCCACTAAGACCCGGGGCAACAGTCTGTGCATAAGGAACAGGAGAACCAAGCTATAAGGTATGACACCTAGAAGACATGGCGGTGTGTGCCTATACCCCCAGTGCTTAGGAAGACGGGTATTGGAAGTACTCTTAGCTACACAGGAAGTCCAAGATACATGGAACCCTGTCTCAGAAAACTGGAAAAAGAAAGCATGAGGCATGGGCATCGTAGGGGCAGAGAAAACGTAGTGGGACATGGAGGCCAAACTGCTGAAGAAAGGGGGTTTCTTGGGAGGCCATTCCTCATCTCATTAAAACACACAACCACCCCATGAGACGTCATCATTGGCCCATTTGAGAGAAGGGGAGCTGGGACTTGTAGAGCCCAAAGTGACTTCAAGGCCAGTTGGTGACCAACTAGTAAGAGCCTTGCCTTGCCCCTGGTGGTTTTGCCTCCTGTGTTTATATTCTTAACCGTAACCTCCAGGCTCAGCTGCTTAAGAACAGTTGTAAAATAGTCTTTTTTATTCCCCATGGAAAAATCTTCTGTTGATTTGATTAAACAAAAATAAGTCACATAGTAACAATTTTAAAGATCAAAGAACCAGCTTTTTTTAAAGGCTGCAGTAGTATTTTAATGAAGTCTATTTATTTATTTATTAATTTTTTAATTTTTCAAGTCAGGGTTTCTCTGTGTAGCTTTGTAGACTAGGCTGGCCTCGAACTCACAGAGATCTGCCTGCCTCTGCCTCTCGAGTGCTGGGATTAAAGGCATGCGCCACCACCACTGGGCCCCCCTTTTTTGGATTTTAATGCAGTATTTTAAGGTGCAGTAAAGTATAGCATATCCTTGATATTTTCTCCGCCTTCTGCATTTGGACTTCACGATACATTTATGCAGCAAAATACAGCATTTCTTTGCTACTTCCCCAGCCTTCTACACAGAATGCACGATACATTCAGAAGTCTCTCAGCTCACACAGGAGGTTTGCAAGGCTTCCCCACTGGCTCTCACAGGCTCATTGCCCATCCTGCCTGTGGCCGTCCATAGTAACATTTAAGGTTTTAGAGGTAAAAGTCCTCACAAGGGGAGGGGACTAATAAGAAAAAAATTACATCTTTGCCTTGAAGTTTGGGGGAAACTCCCCTAGCTAGCCATTGCTACGACGAACTCTGAAGTGCCACAGCAATGCCCAAAGTGGGCAGCGGCACCCAGAATCCCAGGTGAGCTTATAGTGAGGGCTCTGCTGCCAGAGGAGGCATGCTGGGGGTGGGTATGTTACTTCAATCAGCTTTGCCACGAGAAAATGGTAACAGAGGCTTAACTTAGTTACTCTAATGTCAGGCAATACGCCTCTGTGAATTCCACCCAGATCTGTATTCTGCTGTGAAATATCTAAAATGTGATCTGAACAGCAGGCCTGTGTGGAGTTTGCTCTAACATAGAGACCCCTCCATCAGAGGCTCCATCTTGGCTCCCATTGGCAGATAGGCTTTTCTTATTCACTATCTGATTGGGTTCAAAGGAGTGATGCTTGGACTCTCTCTTAGGCAGAGTCTTCTGGATGGGACTGCCCAGAGGATTCAAGGTGAAGGTGAGCAGCCCTTAGCAGGCAGGTGTTGTCCAGAGAACAAAGACATTTGATTTGGCAGAGATCCTAGCTCCAGGCATCCGGTGATATTTACCATTGCCTCTGGCAGCTCCTGACTGCCTGCTAAGAAGTGGCAGGAATGACTCCTGGACTCAGAATGTGACACTTTCTGCAGTCTCTCTGCCTGCCTTGTGTCTGGCAACTTCCAGGGCTCACTGGGAAGCCCACATTCTTCTTGTTGCCAAAAGTATCAGTCTTCCTTGGTGGTGGGCCACCAGGGATGGTGGGAGTATGGGAGCTTTGGCATAGCTGAACCTAGGTGACCATTCCAGCTCTGGTAAGGAAGATATAAACTGAAGAGCTAGGAGGTGGCTTAGTGGTTTCTGTTTGTAAGGCCATTTAAGGTAGCAAGGAAAAGGAGCTGACAGTCACCAAGCCATGGAAACAGTGAAATCACGGAGCAGAAATGATACAGTAAAGACATTATTTACAGGAGGAAAGCTGTAGAGCTATGACTCACCAGGACCTTGTATCAGGCTAGGTGACAGGTGCTCTGTTAAAAGATACCCTAAGGCTGAAGTGACCAACCTATAGTGCCATTCCGGGGAGGAATAATCCCTTTGGGCTCTGACTCATCAAGCTCCTGCATCATGCTGCGTACCAGGTACACACAGATGAAAGTTCATCATCCTCAATGTTGCCTCCGTTTCAATGGTGTATCCCTTGGATGGAGAGGCAGGGGCTCCGGTCCTGGCACTGAAAATGACTGTGGGACCTTAGGTGAGGCTCTATACTTGTTGGTTTGCTTGCTCCTCCATGAAATACTGTTTCTGGATGTTTACTCAAGTGACTGAGTCTAAAATTCTGTCTGTCTGGGCATGCAAGTTCTCACTGCCATGACACCATCCCTCCTGTAGACACAGTCAGTCCATGGTAATGGCTGCTCACCTGGCTTTGTCTTTCCCCAGCTTCTTAAATGTATGGTCCTAGTCCTTAGGAGACTTAAGCAGGGAGAGCTTAAATTTAAGGCCAACATGGATTATATGATAAAACTCTCTAATTACGAATACAGCAATTAAGAAAAAAACCAACCTAAATCTTAAATTTGGGTAAAATTGACAGTCTATAAAATATTTTAGAACTATGTGTAGTTAAAACTTTTTAGGTACTTAAAAGAAAGCCACTAACTAACCAGCAAACAGCAGCTAGACAAGATGTCCTCACACCTGACAGGTCCTTTGCCGCTGTGTCCCACACGCGTGGTTCACTGATGCTCCCCGTGTGCCCCTCAAAGTGACCCCACACTCATACTTGTGATGTGGTTGGGTAATTTTTTTTTTGGTTTTTTCGAGACAGGGTTTCTCTGTATTGTTTTGGAGACTGTCCTGGAACTTGCTCGGTAGACCAGGCTTGGTCTCGAACTCACAGAGATCCACCTGCCTCTGCCTCCCGAGTGCTGGGATTAAAGGCGTGCACCACCACCGCCAGGCATGGTTGGGGTAATTTAACGCACTATCCCAGAAGCTCCCTGGAGGAGGGAGGGAGAGGATCCCAGCTGCAGAAGGTGAGCAGGGGGAGTCAGGGAGAGTTGATCAGACTTGGAAACCTTTGCTTTGGTCACAGCTGGCCAAAGATTTCCACCAGTCCCATGGTGATAAAGGAGGTGGGGATTTGCAGGGAGTCTGTGTTGACCATCTGTGAGGTGCTGGACACAGTCACACTTAGTGCTTATCAGTTTGTGGTGGAGTAGGGACAGGCACCATTCAAGTATCTTTTGATGTTTCCATAATGGTTGCGTTATGGATGACACGGACAGGAAAGTGAACCTCCTGGTGCAGCAAGGGTCAAAGAATGGCATTTCAAAGGAATCAGACTGGTTATGGTGGCCTTTATAGAATCGTCTCTATGGTTTGAGGGCGGGGTGGGGAATGCTGTCAGGTGGGCAGTCACATGGGCTGATTGAACCTCCAGGGGGGATGGCCTCATGTCAGTGAGAACTGGAGTCCATCAGAGACTTGTGTTTCTGTCCCTTCTCTCTAGTGCTAACATTTCTAGTAGACCTGGAGCCAGCCTGAAGGCCCTAGTTATCTGTAAGGGACTGTTTTCCTCAAAACATGGGCATGCTAGCAGGGGTTCTCAAGAGGGGCTCCAGTGGTCTGTCTCTCAGGCATTGTGGCACCCAGGGGGCCAGGTTTGGGAGCAAAAAGCTGTGTTCAGCCTAGTCATTAAAGTTTACTAAGCGGCATGTCTAGCTGGGGTATGTTGCTATTCACTGACCTTGTCCTACCTGGCTCTCCTGCTCTTCTGCTCACTTTAGCCATTGTCTCTTTGACCTTGTAGGGGTCAGAACAGCTTTTCAGTGGAGAAAAGTCGAGAGGAGGAAGATGTGGAGAACAGGAAGTCTATCCTTTAATGACAGGCCTAGAAGGTTCCAGAATGGGTGAGTCTAAGGGGTGTGAGCAGAAGGCCTGGTTAGTCTCCGTCTCTCTTCAGAGATGCCTCTTAGTCCTGTTTTTCCAGGCATGTGGGTGTGATGTGTCTGTCTGTGGATGTGTCCCAGTCACCTAAGCTAATGGAGAGGCAGAATTGCAGATTGGTTCTGGCCTGCAATCAGTGCCCACCACAGGGTGTTGTTCATATAGCTGGTCCCTGTCCTGGTCTTCAGGGTGGTTCCTGTTCTGCTCTGCTTCAGTCCTTCTCCTAAGTAGGACTTCCTCAGTTGAGCAGAGTTTCCTACAATGCTTGCTGGCAACAGCAAAGACCTTCTTATTCAACCTTCCCATTTCCTCCTGGCCTCAGTGATCACTGTGACAGGGACCAGTTCTATAGGGCTTATGAGAGTTACACAACTGGCCTGCGCATAGCTTGTGAATACCAGGGCCGGTACCTGAAGTTTGCACTTGATATCCATTTCTGCATAGATCTGCCAGTTCAGGTCGGGGCATGATTGACCCCTTAGATCCCACCCTCACAGAAAGATTTCTGAGTTGGATCCTCTGAGGAAAAAACAGCCCTTACTGATGCCCACCTCTACCACCATAGGATGGCAGGATATGATCTGGAGGCACACACACCAGGGTGCATCTATCAGCTCTTCCCAGGACCCCCACCAGGAAAGTTGACTGACAACTCAGAATGCTATGGTGTTTGCATGTGGCACATGATGGTCATGCATGTGACGGCATAGATGCTATTTAGAAGTGGTTATGAGAGGGATGTCCCAGGCCAGGGCTGGAGAAAGGACTGCTTGGGAGAGAAGGGCCTCTGAGCCTTGTTTTGGCCATTTGTCCTTGCTACTCTCAATTACCCTGGGTATTGGCATCTCCTGAGAAGGTGGCTAGCAATGTTGAGTCTTGCTGCCTGATATTCTGATTCTGAAGGTCGTGAATGGAGCCAAACAAATCGCATTTTAACTAGTGTGCTCCCCTGATTCTGAAGCAGGTAGACCAGGCATCCCTTGAGAAGTACTGTTCCCAGGGAAGAGTTCCCACTCACCACACAGTGTTCCTGTTAGCAGCTTAGTGCAGCCTCTGTCCTTGGCCTGATTCCCCACAAAGAACCATCCTCATCCTATCCCACCACACCACAAGATGGTGGTGTCCTTGTCTCTCCTTGTCCCTGGGGCAGTTGGGTGACAGCAGCCCCCAAGAGTGTGTCCAGAACCGGCACTTTCTTCCTCATTCTAGAGATTTATTCTCACAGCAAATGATAGGGACGTGGCCTTGGTATAGTGGTGAAATCAGGGCATTGCCCCAAGACACTTGGAAACCCAGGACAAGACCAAGATTTGATCCTCAGCCCTCTGTCACCACAGCCCTCTAACACATAGCTTTTCTCCTGCACAGACCTGGAGGCTGGGGGCAAACTCAGTTGTGAAGGGAGAAGACCATAGCTAAGACCTTCTCTGTCTGGGTTAAGAGTAAGCAGGGAAACTCACCCATCTGGAGGACACATGCCAAGCAGGCCAGGAGTTGGATGGGCCCTTCCATGCTCTAACGTCTGGAGACCCAGCAGCCCTCTGCCCTGCCAGGCCACCACAGAGAACCCTCTTAGCAGGTGTCACAAAGGCAGGTAGGTGTGCTCGGTGCCCAGTCTGCAGGCCCATTGGACTCTAAGCAAGCTGGAGGAACTGGGGAGAGGCAGCCAAGCAGCCAGCAGTATGATTAGGCGGAACCCGTGGGCTTTAGTCATGAGGGAACAAACGGGAAGCCCTGGTGGGAGTCTCCCAGGCAGGAACCAGGGAAGCAGAAGGGAAGGAGCAGGGCTCTTGCTCTTCCCTCCTCCCCCCTTCTTTTCCTCTCACTTCTCAATCTCCTGTCCTAAAATTTTAGCGTACTACGTGGTTTTGTCTCCCCCACCCCTTCCTTTTTCCTTTTTGAAAAATATTAATTCCTGCAGAGGCTTTGTCAAAGTGCTGAGGGGCCCGTCAAAGAGTAACACGGTGGTGCGAGGCTGTGGAAGGTTGTCAGGAGTTGCCAGACAAGAATGAGACAACATAGACTCACAGACAGCTCTGTTTGTGACCAGAACCCTCTCCAGAGGGTCTGCATCCTAGAACAGCATTCCTGACAGTTAACGGTCGTGAAGATTGCCCTTGAAAGAAGTCTTGTGAAATGTATATAGTTCAGGTGGTCTAGTTAGGTCCCAGATCATGCCAAAGCTTCTGGTTCCCAGTGGAGTGAGAGGGCTCCCCATCCGATGAGCCATTGGGTGGCATTATTGGATAGAGGGCAAAGCCCTTGGGAGGAGAAGGAAGGGCCTCCAGATTTGATGGGCTCGTGTGTGTGTGTGTGTGTGTGTGTGTGTGTGTGTGTGTGTGTGTGTGTACACTAATAGGGCCTGGAGGACCGATGGGCCCACAGGGACATGAATGTGATGTCCAGATTCCATTATGATGATGAACTAGACTTGTATCCTCTCTTCCCACACAGAGGTCACAATTGCAAGGTGGAAACCTCATTTGAGTTCTTCCTAATGTTGGACATCGGTGGAGCTTGCAACCTTGAGGGGTAAGAGACAGAATGAGATGCAGTTTGTGAAATTCCTGTGAGACAAAGGCTCTCACTACTTAAGACCAGCCTGTCAGTGTGGCAGGATGGCAATAGAATCCTTCTAAGGGACTGTCTTAGTGGTGTTTAGTTTCTCCAAGTGTGAATGGGAGCTTCCCCTTCCTAAGTGAATTCCCGAGAGCCAGGATGAAACATGCCCATGGTCCCTCTGGATTTCATTAGCCTCTTCCATCCTCAGTGCAATCCAGTTCCAAATTGAGCACTGGGGAGAGCTGGTCTTTGGGAAATCTGTAGTGTTAGCTTAAAAACATAGACCTGGGACGTTAAGGTGGTGGTGACAGGAGCACTTGGAGGGTGGGTGGCAGGTCACTTCAGCATGGCAGAGTGAGGCATGCCCCTTGCCCGGTGATTTACGGTTACTTTCAAAACCAACCCCCCATTCCTCTTTCTCCGTGCCCTTACTCTTTTCCTGCTCTTCCTTCTCTCATCTTTCTCATTGGCTCCGTCTCTCTCTTTATCTAACTCCGGACTTTCGCTCAGTCCTTGCCTTACCATTCCTCTTCTTGCTCCGGTGTTGTTGCAGTGAAGTCCAGGCTGGCCACCACTTGAAGGCCAACGTATGGGAAAGCAATTGGTGGAAAGGAATCAGATTTATTGAAGGGTTTCTCCGAAGGAGATGGACAGTCTCGCGTCCTTGTCACAGCTCCTCCTGCGGGATTTAGGAATGCAAAGGGGTTCTATAGGGAGGAGAGAGCAGGGCAGGGCCCTGAGTGGGGTCTTCATTACTCAGGGCATGCCTCTTGTTTCTTCTTCTTCTCAACACATCGTAGTGGTCTGCATCTCCTGAAACTAGCTCCTGTAATTCCTTTTTAGACCGGCATGTCGTGTTTCTGTAGGTTAAAATGTTACCGCGATTTACATGCTTGCTGTTAGCGAACGCACAGAGCTAAAGATGGAGGGGAGGTGTTACAGGGATCACCAGAAGCTTTAGGTTCTGTACACTGATAGAAGTTTTTGTGTCAGTTAATATCGTAACCATTTTGGTGACCTTATCTTTGGGATTTAGAATGTTGGGCAAAAGGGGAAGAGTGATGTAAAAGGCTTAGGAGAGGGCAACAACCTTAGGGGGAGGAAAAAGCAGGTAAACTCTGCCCAGGACAACTCCCCAAAGGAGTGGCTTTGCGACACCAGGGATTCTCTTATCACAATAGGCCAAGTTTATAACAAGAGTTCTTGAGGAACAATAAATAGAGTAGAAGTTTACTTGGCTATGTAATCAGCTGAACCCAAATCCGATGTTTCCAAAGCTTGGTCTGGGTTTCCAGTGCCCAGTCATCGATGTGTGTGAAAGGCATAGGTGTACATAGAGCACATGCATATAGTGTATACACATGGTAACTGCTTAGTTGAATGATGTTTATGTTTGTATTACTGGACAATAAGCTGATGTTGCCTTCTTCTCTCAGCCTCTCTGTGTTACTGGACCAGGATCCTCAAGGCTTGCTTCTTGAAGGGCAGTGTGCATGATACAAGAATTAGCAGGAGGAATTGAGTTTATTCTGACCCTGAAGCAGATGGAAGGTCATAACTCACCCTTACAACTCTGTCTCAGGGAGGCTGGAAGCACACAGGACCTCTCTAGGGAGGGAAAAGATTTGTACCTCAAGGTGGCTGTCTGTCGAGCAGGACTTTGTCACCCAGAGTGTGTCCTTTGTTCTTCTTTGAGACACTTTCAGTGGCCCTCCACCCCTTGCTGTTAGTGCCTACAGCTCTTTCTCTTTTACTTGTTTTTGGACAGGATAAAGCATTTATTGGTGAGCACGACAAAGGAGGGGCTGTGCTGTGAAAGCACACATAAGGCCAAGGCTCACAACCTGCCCAGCAGATACAACTGGGGATGCATTTGACCCCAAAGCCACTGGAGATGAGCGGCCCCTAACTGCCATGTCTTCAGACTTTCGCATTCGCCTTGGTAAAGCCCCATTTCTTTGAGATGTTGATCTGTTGCCAGGGAACTTGAATTTGATCCTGCCTTGGGCCTAAGTGACATGGTGAATGGCTGTGATGGCTTGGCTAGTGTGAACTCTGGGCTTCCTCAAAGGTACTCCATGTACTTCTCTTTAGCTTCGAGTTGGGACAGTGCAAGATTGAAACACAGATATTTATTTATTTTTATTTTTGTTTTTGTTTTTACGAGACAGGGTTTCTCTGTATTGTTTTGGAGGCTGTCGGTCCAGCCTGGCCTCGAACTCACAGAGATCCGCCTGCCTCTGCCTCCCGAGTGCTGGGATTAAAGGCATGCGCCACCACCGCCCGGCTGAAACACAGATGTTTAGTGGAAAGCAAAGTCCTCAGGGTCCCTTTGGGCAACATAAGCTGTGTACACTACTGAGGAGACCACCCACGTGGCCATTGAGTACTATAGTTCTTTGTGGACAGACAAATACTTCTCTGCAAGTTGAACCTCACATTGGTTTATAAGCTGAATGTTGTCAAGTACATAGAATGGAAGACCAAAGACAGACCCGTACAAAGGTCACCAGATGCTCTGGCATCTGTAATTGGAAAAAGGTTATTTAGCAGTTAACATCTTAGACATTTAGGTGGGGCTTCCCTCTAGAATTTAGAATGTCTAGAGAAAGGATTAGGAAAGGGCGGGAGGGCAGAGGAGGAGAACACAAACAGTTCTGCCAAGGACAACTCCCCAAAGGAGTGGCCCCGAGCACCTGGGCAGGCATGTTTCTGCTTTACAGGTAGGCTGGTGGTGTAATACACTTTCTGGGACAATTGTCAGGACACCTGTACAATAATCACAAACCAGGACTGCTCTGGAAAATGAGCCTGTACTTGTCTTTTTCTAGAAATTTTGTGTGCAAGTGTACTTCCTGCAGAATGTCTTAAAGGCTTTCTGTGTCTACACACGAACTCTTGGGGTAGGTGTGGAGGGTGGCGGAAGGACTGAGGTGAAACAAGTCCATGGTGAAAGGCCTATTTTATTCAGGAGGACTCTACGTGTGATTTTATGACTTCAAGGTGAGGTGAAAGACATAAGCATTCAATAGAAACTGTACTTCAGATTTCTAATTTTAATCTTCTTTTAGGTCAGTACTTTGTGGCATGGCCACCTTTCAGACACTGGACAGAGGGAGGCAGTGAGACCATTGTCTCATCACAAGTCAGTATCACAAGGAGTGCTATCCTAGGTGTGTGACAGCTCACTTTGTTGCAGCTCAGTAGATCGGAGTATTGAGTGAGTTTTCAACTTACCATGGGTTGTCAGGGTGTAACCCATCATAATGGAGGAACATCATTATTTCCCAATTACCCAAGGCATGTCCTTTCTCTTTCTGTCTATGCTCCTTTGCCTCAGTTTCTCCTGTAGTCACTCCGGGAAGATTGTGATGTATGTGGTAGGTTCTCGGAGGGGAGCTCCAAATGAATGCTGACATCTCACGGTTCAGGGAACGGTTAAGAGAGACTGTGTGCCTTGGAGGCCACAGTGATTTACACGCCCTGTAAAACTGTGCAGGACACAACCCGCTGAGGGGTAGGTCATACACCTGTGTGAATGCCCTGGTAAAGGCAAGGAAAGGTTGGAACATAAAAACAAGATTGGTTCTGGGGCACTTAGGCTGCTCTCAGCCAGGTACTCTGAAGCAGGTTGAACCTGGGGAAGGTAATACTTCAGCCAATCTAGGCCAGCGAAACCTAAGTAAGCCCAGGAGCAGGGTGGAGTGTAGGGGCAAAGTGGATGGCAGAGGATCTGGTCGAGTCTTGAGGCAGTGGGTTCAGGGCTTCAGGCTGGTGTGATCTTATCCCTCAGTCCTGGCTGGCTCTAGTCTTACCCCAACTAGACAGGGCGTTGCTTCTACGCAGGTACTGAGACCAGACTTGGGTGGCTAGAAAGTCATGGTTCTGCTTCAGCAAGCAGTACTTTCTCTAATATAATTTGAGTGCAGGCCGGTGGACCAAGCGCTTAGCACACTTAGACTGCGAGCAAGGACACAAAGCTGAGGATTTCCAAGTCAGGGCAAGTGAGGCCTCAGCCTCTGGCCAGCCTCTGAGGATGTTCCAACCACGTCTTGTCACCATTTCCCTCTTGTAGAAATGCTATTTTCAGTTTTCCATGTCACTTCCCCCTTCACCTTATT